TGTGGCCCATTACAGCCAAACTATGGCTGAGTTCTTTAGTAAGACTTAGAATGAGCTTTTGCATGATCGAGCTAGGACCAACGCTCAACAGAAGTGTTGAGACGCTCTCTGCCCATCTTATGATGCGAGGCCCATTTGGACCCTCCGAGGTTTGATGGGATTGCCCCACATACGATTTTCCGTTGTCTTTTAGTAGTGAAGCAATGTGAAGCAATGCGGTATGGCGCAGCTCATCGAAGACGATACTAGGATGTTGTCGTATGCCATGTCAAATTTGCGTGGCAAAGCGTTAGTGCGGGCTTACGCTGCGCTTATGGCAAACGCCGATGCGCTTCATCCTGGGCGATCTTTAAGACAAATATTCGCGCCATGTACCATCCATTTAAAAATGAAGTGCTACGTCAGGTGTGCTACTTATGGAGCACACCAGGCGAAACGATCTCTGCAAGAGTAAAAGCAGGAGATGCATTCGCTGTCGGCGTTCATTACTGTGGGCCCGATAAAAGAGCTCATTAAGGTGCCTACGTTTATTAATGGACTATGGCACGGTCCATCGCGTCAGGCCCTTTTCATAACGTGCCTAAGCTCATTAATAGGCTACTTTATGAAGCAACCTCCGACTATACTGATAACAGTATAGTCTACCTTCACTGATGACAGTGAAGAAGAAGCCTCAATCACTTCACGTACACGTGAGCAGAAGAAATAAATCATGTAAACAAACGCTGAGTTGATACGAAAAAGAAAACGTATTCAATAAATTTAACTATCTAATAAAACTAATTATTATAACTTATGTTAACTATATTAACTACAACTATGTATGTTGACAACTTGCCCTCCACTCATTGCGCGTGTCCGTCGGTCACTGGTCAGCGCGTTGGTTGATATGATGGCCCATATATCAATTAGAGGGCATCTCCAACTTCAACGAGATTTAGAGACGATATTATAAGAAAAGGTAATATTGTCAAAATATTATTAGTTATAATAATATTTTTATTGACACTTCATATAAGTGTCAATGTTATGTAACGGACTCACCCCGTTACCCCCCCCCCCTCAACCAACAGCCTCATTAGTGACTGTTTAGTTACTATGGAAAAGGAGCACTTGTTGGGTTTTCTTTTACTCCAACAATTTTCACGCTATGACCAAGTCATTTTGCGTCGCTGCCAAGGCAGCCAAGAACTCGGCTGCACGCCTGTGTGCAGCCGCTACTGAGGCTTCACAGCCTCGCCAGCAGACACTAATGTGTCTGCTGGAAGTCAACATCAGCCTGCAACGGCTGTTGCAGGTTCACGTGGCGAAGCGCCACGTGAAGATGTTGACCCAGAGTCAGTCGTTGACTACTCTGGTGAGTCGGATGACGCATCCGACTCAAAGCCAACTGTGCCACTCCCGGGCTTCTTCGGGGTGATACCTCGTCGTCGAATCTTACGAAGAGGGTCCGTGGTACATTGAGTGAATGAATGTACCGTGAAACGTTCGGGTCGTTTGACTAATTAGACGACTCACTAAACGAGTCGAGGGATAGTGACTCGATTGGGGCGGTAAGGGTGATGTCAGTGCTTCTACTGACATCAATGCACGTGGTGTCGGTACTTGACACCACGCAGGAGGCTTTAGACCGCAACGTATTGCGTCTTGCTCCTGATCGCAAGCCCTTGATGCTATTATAGCATCTGCTTGATCGTTGTTCTGGAAATTCCAACGAACGGTTCCCCATATCGTTGTTTGATGCGTCAAAGCTTTACGGCCTTGAAGCCAGTGCGAAGAACTTTCGCACTGAGAACGACTATTACATCGATGTGTTTCTTGAACATCGATGGTATGGTCCACACAAGAAGCGTGAGGCAAACGCGTTTCTCCAATCGTGGAACGCGTTTGTCACAAACTTTTTAATCGTTTGAAAAAGGCTTGGTTTCAAAGACTTTATGCTGCTGCCACAATAAGTTTGAGAAACGATACACGTCCGGTGCATGCTATCGTTTGCACCGGTTATCTAGAGAGGCACCTTCACATGTCGAGGGACTAGACATTCCTTGATAGCCTTTACCTTTTCTGGGTATGCTCGTACACCATGTGTACCTACGATGCAGCCCAGTACAGGTATCTCGGGGACATCTGCTACGTACTTTTGCAAGTTAAAGTACAATTGGGCGTCACCCAGTGTCTGCAACACAGCTTCCAAATGACGCTTGTGCGACTCTATTGCTCTCAGACCGTCCTCCGCCCTACTATGCACGAATACATCGTCAAAGTAATGGGGCGCGTAGGCGCGGTGCTGAAGCATCACGTGAGCCACCACTCGGTTGAATGTTGTTGGAGCATTTTTCAACCCTTGTGGCATCACAAGCCACTCCCACAGAATACCGCTTGGGGTGCTTACTGTCGTTTTGGCTACATCAGTATCTCTCATAAGAGATTGATAGTAGCCATCCTTCAGATCCAACGCGGAAAAGATAGTTGACTTTCCCATGGAGTTCAACAAGATATCTTTCCGAGAGATCGTCGTTTGAGCCGGAATGGTGGCCGTGTTCAGCTTGTTATAAGCATGAACCACGCGCCATCCACCCGTTGCTTTACGCACATAGAAGGTCGGGCTGTAGTGAGGCGACTTGCTCTCACGTACACGTCCCGACTTGGCTCGTTTGTAGAAGAACTCATCGATGTAATCTACTTGTTCCTTCGGCAGCGTTCATTGCCTGGTCACACAATACTTGGTGCCAGGCTCCAGATCAATCTCGTTCCTGATGCCCCTATCGGCCGGTAGGCGGCTCAGAACTTCTGCTGGAAACACATCACGGTGTTTCCACAGAACATCATAGAACGGGCTTTCCTTCAAGGCTTACCAGACTTGAGCAGCGAACCGTTTCTTTTTGTCGGTCTCCAAGACGCTTTTATCCGCTGTGGACGACGAGCAATAGTCCACCACATTCTTTTCTGGAACTGGCGCGACTATCTCGTGGATCTTTCCTTCCTTTAGTTCGGACAGAAACAGATCCCACGTCATCTCCGAGAGATTTACTATCTCCTCGACAGATGCCAAGACAAGTTGGACCACCTCAACTTAGGATGCCTCCGACATTCGGTCTTCGGCGGCCTCGAACAACTCGTTCGTAGGTCCGTACTCTTGGACGGAGACTGATCCAAGGGTCTCTCGCTTCGACGTGACCTTGATCATCTTTATACGTCTGGTGCTCGTTGTTCCGAGTCACCACGACCTTTGACCTGGAAGAAGGTGTCGTTGCCGTATTAGCCAGCGCACTCCTTCCAACCGCACCAGGCTCATGGCTCTGTTCTGGTTCTTGTGGCGCTTGACTTCCTGTCAGCCCACCATCAACTGCCACAGGCTCTCGTCTATGTGCAGGACTATTGGACGCATGACTACCTGTCATCGCCCCATTCACTACACCAGTCTTTTCGACCTGGATAGGAATATGTGTCGCCTGGCTTTCTGCCAGGGCACTTCCAACTACACTAATCCTTTCGATCTGGGTAATTCCTGGTGTCGATTGACATACCGTCATCGCACCCTCGACTGTGTTGGACACAGCATTAATCGCATAGGCCTCTCTCAGGAGCACATCCTTTACGGTGTCTTGCGTAGAGTTAGTGACTGTACGTGTACTCCAATCTATCCATGGTTGGTGTATAGCCAACCAAGGCATGCCTCGGATGAGATCATACGGACTCTCCATACCTATCACTGAGAACTTCTCTTTACAAAAGAAGTCACTAAAGCTGAAGGCGAGCTCAGCTTGAACTCCCTCCGATTTAATGAGCGCGCCGTTCGCTAAACGAGCGATCGCCTCTTCTCGCTTGCCATACTGGCAAAGCGACTCATAACTCGCCGGTCTCTTTTTCAGAGCCGCGAGTTTCACAAAGTTTTGTGATGCACCCGACTCCACGAGAAGAGTCATCACTTGGTCATAGCCTCGTACTCGAGCGCTATAGACCAAAAGGGTTGAGATCCGACCTTTCGGAACCTCAGAAAATATGCTACCCATTTGTTCGATCACTCTGAACTTAGGGGTAGCTTCAGAGTCCGCGACCGTAGGGCATCCCGCCCCTACTGCGCTCCCACATTTCCCGACCCATCTTAAGCAGGTGCTGACTTCAGCACAAGCGAGGAAGCGGTTAGACCGTCTTACCTTCGCGTGCGAGGGTGATTATGCGGTTGGTCGACTCGTACCACCAGTTGTATCTCGCTTAAGAAAGAGTGCAACGAACTTTTAAACGAAAAGTCCCCGACGTCACGCAGAAGCTTTTGCAGCATTTCGTGCGTGGTGCGTATGTCTAAGCAAATTCAAGACTGAGCTATATTTAATGAATTGTAATCAAATATAAACTTCACTACTGATTGGCTATATATATATAGATTGGATACGCGACTCTTTAGAAGCGTATCCTGACGCATGAGCTTAAATCTAGATTGAAGCTTGCGACTGACGTCCTTCTAAGACGTCGCGATGCCTAGCTTCAACTAGCGCCATCCCTTTCCATGTGAATCCATAAATGGATATCACCATCACGAGGGTGGATCACGTTTGTGTATCGCACCCAAGTGACAGGTCAAAAGTAATCATGGATACTTTTAGACTTCCCGTTAAGTATCATATACTTAACGGACTTTCGTGTATAAATTGGCCCTTTACGTACCTTATTAGACCTTCCCGTGAAGTAATGCGATACTTAACGAGTACGTGTAACATCGAACTCGTTACATCCTAAAAGTGTTCGTCTACAGGTTGTAGCATCTGCGCTCTTTCTTGAATACTGCTTGTAATCGTTTCGATGCTAGTTCTATGCTCTTACCTGTGTCGATTTTTTCATACGATGCTGAGTCACCTGCAAAATCGTTTAGATTTACGCCATGAAGTGGGTCTAGCTGAGGCACTTCAATAGCAACGGAGATAGAAGAAGACAGTCGTATCGTAATCGCAAACTTCGTGCGATCTTGAATCATTGAGCTGATTTTGAAGTATTTATGCTGCTCAAGTTTTCGTGCTTGACTCCGCCTGCAGCGTAGCATACACGGCTTGCTCAATGAGCATTCGTGCAGTGTCGTTGCTTGGCTGCACTTTTAGCAATTGTACTGCGGCGCTGTGCGCTATACTCCATCGCTGGAGCCTTGTGGCGCAAATCCCGAGACCTACAAGAGCATCGAGAAGTTGCGGCTTCAACTTGACCGCAGTTTCGAAGTGACTCAGTGCTTTGCCAAACTTGCCTAACGTGCAAAGCAAACGCAAGCAAACTGCAAGTGAGTACTAGGAATACCACAACGCCAAGCCAAACGCACCGCTTTGATACTCCACCATGGCAAGCTTGTTCCATGCATACGCATACTCTGAAGAGTCATGCACGACCTGCTTAAGCATCTCGCGGGCTTCGTCCCATTTCTTCTGATCTGCAAGCTCAACAGCACGCTGCACCTCATCTTGTGCACTTTGCCCACCCTCACCGAGCCATATTCCCTCAAGACTAGCCATAGCAAACTGGATAATCGTACTGTCGTCACAGCGCAAGTACATCAGTAATTTGTCTTCGTCGGCAGATTGGAGTTGAATGATCGACGGGGTAGCGACAACTATTGCAGCATCTTCAGGTTTTTTTATAATGTCACTTGGATATCTAGCTGCCAAAGCTTCAGACGCGATATGGTGAGTACCCTCAAATCCGTCGAAGTAAAGCAACAGTGCCGGATGTACAACAGCCTACAACAGACACAAGCAGATGAAAGATCATTGAGAAATGAGAAAAATACACATGAAAGTAGTAATTTCTTCGCATGTTTTACCTTTGGCGCTTGATCAAGTCGTAATTCATCTTGTGGCACGTCATACAACTTACTAGCGAAGCTGGTGGGGGGCAAAATAGCAACCAAAAGTTATGACTTTTTCTATACCTTTTGAACAAAAGAGGGTCCTTTATCAACCAACCTAAAGTCAGGACTGTGCGGCAGAATATCGTACACGATCCGAGCACCTGTAGTTTCTTCCACTGTATCAGCGATGACATGCCACGCAACTATCACTCCTCTTTTCTCTCCTTTCACTTCTACCACATCTCCAACTAAAAACTCGATCGCATTTGTCCGTTTCTAAAAGACATACAAAACATCAAATAAGAGCTTCCAATTTGTTTGTCATACGTAAAACCCGACAACAAACCTTTGGTTCAAAAACCCCTTGAGTCTTATACTCGTGAATTAATGCATTATGATCATCGACGCCTTTAAGAGCATCAAAGGCGGCATCAATCCGAGCATCAAGAGCCGCTTTATCCTCTTTATCCACTAATTGGGTAAATCCAGCGCGTACAATTGCAGCAAACGCTTTGTCGCTTCGTCTCCGTCGTGTTAACACTGTCATGTCCTCCAAGCGACGTACGAACAGACGTTCACGCTGCCAGTCGCTCTTGACGCCAGTATATGAGGATACGGCACCTGAGCGGACAGCATTAAACAGCGTCCGACCAGCTTCCACTTCATGCTGCAGTGTCTGAGTAGACCGCAATAATGTACTGAATGGACCTCCTTAGTATCAATTATTCCCTTAATTTGACTAAAACAGTACAAACCGATAAAGCGCAATCACCAATGAAGACGTCATTTTGAATACTGTAAGTAATTTTTAACAATGCAAAAAGAGACACGGTGGTTGGTCATATATTACAAATATTATATACCCCTTTTCTACTGGTACAAAAAGAGTTATCGGCCGTCGAAAAAATACCGGTAAAACAAGAAAGTTTTTATTTCTAAGTATCTTTAAAACCCATAGATAATGGCAGCGCTCGAGGGCTTCGACGTGGAAGCGTACGTTGCTAAATACAGTGGCCGCAATCGCACTGAGCGACTTTTGTTCCTGTACAAGACATGTCCAGCGTTGCAGGCCGAAACGAAGCGTGTGCTGCTCCGAGAACTAAAGGGAGGACTGAATATGGGGCTGTACGTCGAGATTTTAGGCGACAAGGCACAGGAAGAGACCATATTTATTGACAGTGTAAAGCACACTGCAGTCAAGCAGCATGAGCGACTGGAACAGGAACTCAACTCGTACAAGTCGACGATGATCAAAGAGAGCATTCGGGTACTACATTAAGAGAAAGAACCGGAATTAAGAGAGAGAACCGGTTTTTAAAGTACTGATTTACGATATTTTGTGTTTTTTGACTGGGTTTTTTAGATGGGTCATAATGATTTGGGGGATTTTTATTTCAAGTTGGGTGATTTGCCTGCTGCGCTAAAGAGTTTCGCTCAAGCGCGGGATTATTGTACGACGGACAAACATATTATTGAAATGTGTCTGAATGTGAGCAAAGTGGCTCTGCACATGCGTAATTTTGGACATGTGACCAATTATTTGACCAAATTGGAACAAGTGAGCAGCTCTCAAAGTGACGCTGTGTATGTATTATATGACCGCTACTTTCGCTTGTTTTTTGGGTTGCTGAATGACAGTTTGGATTGAATGTCTTTTTTGTTCAGTTTGAAATCAAAGATTGCGTCAGCGTTTGGACTTGTAGCTCTGCATGAGAAAAACTATCATGCTGCTGCTTTCAAGTTTATAGAGTGCAGTGCCGAGATTGGGGCGAGTTATAATGAAGTGCTGCACGCGGAGGACATTGCGCTGTATGGTGGAATTTGTGCTTTGGCGTCTTTTAAGCGTGAAGAGCTGAAGGAAAAGGTGATCAACAACTCGTCGTTCAAAGCGTTCTTGGAGCTGCTGCCGTGGCTGCGCGAGCTCATTACCGACTTTTACTCCAGCAACTACGCGTCCTGTCTGCAGACGCTCGAGCGTAGAAAAGTATGTTTTTTTATAAACTATAGTGCTGCTGCTACATGTTTTTGCTAACACTATTATGATTGAAACGTGATGGCAGCCTGAGCTCAAGTTAGACTTGTATCTTTGTGAGCACGTGGATAAATTATGCAAGGAGATTCGCAGTCGTGGAATTATCCAGTACTTCTACCCCTATCTATCAGTGGACTTGCGCCAGATGGCATGTACGTTCAATACGCCAACAGATGACCTGGAAAAGGAGATTTGCGAGTTGATTACTGCGGAACGTCTCCGCGCGCGAATGGATTCGTACCAAAAGGTATATGCGCTATCGCGCGTACTGTGCGCCCGTTGGTGTTCGAATCACCCACACATTTTGTCTGTTATTTGCAGGTGTTGTATGCATATCACCCGAATCAGCGTGCTGCTACTTACGAGCGTGCGTTTGAAGTGGGACGCAAGTATGCTGCAGAGTCGCGCAACCTGCTTTTGCGCATGAGCTTGCTCAAGAACAACATCATTATTCGCGACACGTAAACTCACGCGAGCCGTTTCATCGTAATGATCACTCAAGCTAGCATGGACTTTGGCCAAGCGGGCTTTTTTCTAATCGTACCTGACTTTGCTATTTTGTATGCTTTCACTAAATTTTTCTTGTTCTTGGGATAGGTTCTCTAAATAGCCAAGTGGGCCATTTTTAATTAAGCTATCGGTTTTGCTTGACTAGCAAAGAGCTATCTGTCTTAGCTTACTTGTCACAAAGGTAACTGATGATGATTGTTATTGTATTAGCAGGTACAGTTATTACTGTAATCAGGTGCGGTGGTGTTTCTGGCCATGTTCAAGTCAGCATACGAGTGTTGAAAGAGTACGAGAATGTCATTTCGGTCCTGCTAATCACAGTCACGAAGGAAAAAGATTCCGTTGAAGTCGTGGACACGGCACGACGAATTAAATGGTTGCCATTTGTTTGGAAGGTGTTGTCGTGCTCATTTCAGATTAAGTTGAGGATAATCACCAGGATTCTAAAGATCGACTTGCGAAGCTGGCTAACTACCACACCACTAAAACACACCTTTGTGGGAATAACGAGCTTGTCGTTGAGCAACGATAGCAATTTCCGACGCAGCTCGACTTGTCATCCGTCATTGGTGTCAAGGATAGTCATGTCTTGTAAGCAAGACACAAGTGAGAATGACATGGGCACATCGATTGTCCGCAGCGTGTTTGCGTTGATTCTAGCAAGCTGTTACATTGAAGTACTTTACAAAAGCCAATCTCTTCATACAGTATCTTGCTCTTGCGCTACGCGAATAATATAAGTCGGCTCCGGGACACTTGTAAGAGATGCAGGTTTCTGGTCGCGAGCAACTCTCTACACAAGTCGACAAGCATTTTGTTCTTAGAATATGTACCGAGACACAGACCACAGCATGTCGGCATCCTTCGAGCGAAACTCTTCGTCCTCCGAATCGAACGCAGGCTCATCATCAATTGCAGTGACACTGATACGTCGTTTGGCGACGTCTCCTTCATCCACTTGTGGAATTATGACAGCCTCACTCAGCGGCGTAGCCCAGACTATCCGGTCAACCTTGTCAAATGTCTCTTCCGAAGCCGACTGCGTCTGCAGTCTCAATGTCGGTAATCGAGAAGGTGTGACCATGCTTTGCGGTGAAGACGGTGGGGAGATGGCGGCACTGCATGTGAAAAAGCGAATGATGCGCTCCACAAGGCTCCCTCCCACAATGGTCTGCCGGCGTAGCTCTGCGACCTCAAATCGCTTGGCCTGCAGAGCTAGCTCCAATTCTTCCACGCGTTGATGCTGTTGCTTGGCTTCAGTCGTCACTTTGTCGTATGATACTTGTAATTGCTTGAGCTGCAGCTTCGCGGTCCTGGCTTGCTCCTGAGCCTTCCTCATCTGGTCTGTCACAGCCGCCATGCCGTTCATCAAAGTTGCATTGTCTTTCTCCAGCCGGTCTACATGGATTAGACGCAGTTGCCGCTTGAACAGACCAAAGACTTTTACATTCAGAAAAGCAGCATGCCAGCGATGGCGAGCAAGAGCTTTCTTTTTAAGCTTGAGGAAACGCGTTCTAGCGATCATCGCACGGACACGTGATTGCACACGCACTGCGCTGCGGTTGCGTCGCACAGCTTCATAGAGCTGTATAAAACCACGCTTCGCCATATACTGTGCAGTGATCTTCTTCCAGCGCTTCTGCAAGTAAATGACGCGCTGTAGAGGGCCCAGCCACTTCAGCAACCAGCGTTGCTGTACAGAAAAGTAGTTCTTGGCGAGCAACTTGTCAAGTAGCATCATCTTGTCCTCGGGGCGGTCCTGATACGCGCGCATGATCTGTGCTTGGTGCGACATCCTGGTCCATAGCTTGTGCATCCGTAACTGCACACGAATCTGCCGCACACGCTTCCGAGCAAGGTGCTGACGCACCATGCACTGAATCATCGTGGCACGGCGACGATACCGAACATTTTGGAAGATTCGCTTAAACGCGTTAAAAGTGGCCACAGCAGTAATGGCACTGATCCAGTGCTTCTTGCGCAAGTAGAGTAGTAACTGCTTGCCCAAGTTTTCGCTCGACACCGGAGCTGGTGTAAGAAGCTTGTCCAACAGATCGATCTTGCCAGTTCGGAAAAACAGACGAGTATCACCCAACCGATAGGCAGCAGTCGGGAAGTCGTAAGCCCACAGAATTGCTTGCGTGAAGAGCTTGTCGTTCGAGTCAAAGCGACAAAATGCCTTGTATGGCAGTAAGTTGCGGTACACATCGACCACTTCGGCGTAAAGAATACGAGTAGGCAAGCCAACACGAAGCACTTCGCAAGCTTGCACCGTACCTGAGCATCGTAATTGTTCGACGACAAACTGCCGATCGAACAGCCCAGCCTTCATTTGCGTGTTCGGCTTAATGCAACGCACAAAGTTGCAACTCGTTCCTTCTAGCTCTGTCGTGAGGCCCTTCATCTGCGTAGAGAATAGATTGGACGTACTTCCTCCCTTAAGACGTTTTGAAGATGCTGAGCCGCCACCGAGAGGCGATAACCCCGTGGACTTCAACGACACAGTAGATGCTGAGCGCGCACGGTTGCCATTGCGAGTATTGCCAGTCAAGTCCTGCAGTACACGTGATGACGAATTCTTCAGGAGCTCCTCAAACTGGTCTGAGACGATGTTGTTGTTCTTGTCCACGAACGAGTTGATCGTGTAAGACACTGTGCCGGCGTAGTGGCATATAAGGAATGTGTCGCGAATGTCCTTGGGATGCGGCGTCGGGAAACACGGGTGGCGTTTGAAGAGTGTGTGTAAGCGCTCGTTAAGCTTTCGGTCTGAAGGCATCGGCAGCCGCGACACGTTGTCAATTGTTGCAAATAGGCCGCCGTGACGACTGGCAATCAGATTCAAGCACTCGCGGTTGTCCGAGTAGGCCACGAGGTCACCACTGGGCGCAACTTGCTCCGCCAAGAAATCAATGTCATTCTCCGGATCTGTATCCATAACCGATTGGCCGGCAAGAGGGAACGGAAAAGAAAGTGTGCGGTTTGTCGGGTGGTAGATGTGCTCGCTCTTGTACAGCTCCTGCTCAGCCTCAAAGATGCACGTGTTAAACAGACTCTGCAGTGTTTCGTTAGCATAGTTAATAAGCAGCTGCTCAAACGAATTTCGGTTCTTTGGTTCGAAATCCTCGAAGCCGAAGATATCAAGCACGCCGATATAAGGCACCACATCACTTCGGAACGAGTCATAGTCCAATGCCGCAGCACATTCCGACATAAGCCATGTGAAAGTGTTTTCGTAGATCGTCTTGGCGATCGTGTCACGTGAATACACGGCATTTCGAACATCACGTTTGATGTAATAGATCGAATTGCGTCGAGATCCACGTGTCATGATCCGCTTTAACAAGATGCTGTCCGTGAGCTGCTCCGTGGAAACGCCCAGGAGCTCCGAAGCGTGGCGCACTGCTTCCTGTGACTCGACGTCATCTTGGCGGATGCAGGCTGTTTCTCCTTCTTCAGTGTCTTCTTGGCTAATTTTGATGTTGCCCACATGCAGTAGGCCCGCCACGAGACGGAAAATCTCGTGCTGTGCGCTTTCACGAATACCAATAAACTGCAGCGCGCACTTCAAGTTGCAAAAGTTCTCTGCATCATCGATAAGATCAGAGCGCATGCAGCCCGATTGGTTTAGGTAGGAATAAGCCTCGGGCGTCTTAGGTTTCAAGTGAAAGCTCTTCTCCAGCTCTTCAGTGTTTTCCGAGTGCAATAATTCATAAAACACATGAAAATTCCTCTCTCCCTGCGGTTGAAACACCAGTCGACTCTTTTCCAGCAGATACGTATCAATACTGGCACCTGAAAGCTCGTGCGTCTCGTTAGCAAACTGCAATCTCATGTACTTGCCAAATCGGCTCGAATTATGGTTGCGGTGTGTCTTGGCGTTGCCAAACGACTCCAAAATGGGAATCGTTTCCATCAATCTTTCACCCACTACCACCGGAGATAACTTCCTCTTGCCGCTAGACTGCGGGTACGACATGGCAAGTGTCGACGAGCCAGGTGGGCCTCTACATCCCAGCACAGGTCGATTATTCACCGTAAATTCCGGCTCCATCTCATCGTCCGAAGTGCAGGATGCTGACGATAATGCCGGGTTGTGGACTGCCCTCATCGTCAAGAAATCCAGGATCATCTTGGACGTTTCAGTCTTGCCAGAACCGCTCTCTCCACTGATGATAACGCTTTGGTTCTGCATCACAGCACGTACCGCACATAGTTGTCGATAAGCGTTCTCTGCCACATTGTACGGGTGTGGTGGACATCGGTCCAAAGGTTGACCGACAAACAGGAACTTGTCCGGGTCTGGCAATTGACGTAACGGGTTCACCGCAATCAATACATTGGCCATGAAAGTATATGGACGCTGGTGCTGCAACGCTGCTCGGTCCTCCAAGTTTTTGGCCAGAGCAGCTTCGTGTAGATGACGTAGCGACGTCATGTCTGCTGCGGTACTAAACAGTGGATTGGCAGCGAGCATTGGCGACTGTCGCAGGTCCACGACTTGCTCCGTCTGTGGTAATACTTGCTCACCCGTGGCTTCATCAATCAGACAAAACGTAGCGTTCTGCTGCTGATAATCAAAAGCCAAGACTTGACCCAGTGTCCAGCCGTATGGTCCCTCCTGTTTCCAGTAAAGTTCTCCTACTCGAAGTTCCATCGCTGGAATGCCGTCCATCTTGAGCTCCAACAGTGTGCGAGATATTAGTGTCTTAGTTGGCTGCGTCGCGCCACCTCCGCTAGAGTACGTCATCTGTAAAATAGAGAAAGACAATCGACTTATATTCTGTCTTTAATGACGCTTATTGTTTTCAGTGCAAATTACAAAGTGATTGGGTCAAGTCCAGGTGTCGGGGTGTTGTCGCCTAACGTCACGGAGACTTGATTTAAGTAATGGAAGGTATCTGATAGGTCGAAATTGACAACTACGATTCTTTTTTTGTGAAGATAACGCCAATTTGTGACTTGACTATTTTTAAAAATGGGTCAAAAGCTTATACTATGAAATAGTGGCTGCTACAGTATCGGTGTGTTTTGCTTAGTGAAGGCCATTTGGTATCACCAGCCTGTCTATTACTTCCACTTAAGACTGAATGCAAATCATCGAGGAGGTCAGAGTCCTGCTGACTCTTGACCGGATACGGCGTTTAAAGATCGCTTTTTACATGGAAGTTTCAACATGATAGGAAAAGATTTACGATATATATATATATATAACCCCCAGTTTACATTCTGAACATACAATTCTGTAGTGGATCTGTACGTCATTTGTACGTAGGCTAATAGCCTGTCGACTTGATAAAGTGACGCACGTACCACTCATTTACACATTCACCTGAAAAGGTGAAGACAAATACAAGACTATGTAATGCAAACAGTTTCAATAATCATCGAATGTCTATTAGTTTTTGTAGAGTCGAAGCAATTTGTTACAGCAAGTCAAACGCTACTGAACTGGTGTTAATGACGAATATATTTGAGACCATGATGTTTATCCTTACGAATTTTTAGTTCATGTAATTATACTGAATGCTGAATGGAGGAAACGTCAAACAGTCCCAGGAGTGGACGTAGGATTGCTAATATACAGGGGGGATATCCCCCTTTTTGGGGGTAATACCGTATATTTAATCACACTGTCAGCGATAGCACTCTCCGAAAGGAAAAGGTTCAGGTAAAAGTCCAACATCCCTCCGTAAACTTCTGTTTCGGTGGTGCTGTCAATTTCAATGGTCAAAACAATGAGCGTTTTTTAGACACGCGAATATCGTTATCGACGTGGAATGTCTTGCATCTTCGTTACTGAACAGGATGAAAGTCTATTCTACGTGTACAGCACCAAACTTTGCTTCTTCAACACTTGCACGTAAATACAACTAACTAACATTTATTCGCACATGCATCATTAAACGGCCTCCCTCAGATGAACTTGGAACCCACAACTTTAATGATCCACCGCCCAACGCCGGAATGCCAACAAAATTTGGTCGCCACCGGTCTAAATACAACGGTTTCTCGTGCAGCTTCGTAACAGTAGAATTCCAAATCACCGTCGTGCCTGCAGCCACTAGAACGTTCGCAATGGGGCTGCCACCTGAGCGAATTACTACCTCCACGTCCTTTGTATCGATGCTGGTGAAAGTAAGCATCACAACGCCGTCACCCTTTTTGTACCACACACCATAACTTCCAACAAACGCTTCGTCAATAGTTTTTAAGCCCAGCGCGTCGTGCAGCAATCCATCGTCGATCTCACCGATGAAAGCAGTAGGTCCACAAACCGGCTGAACGAATTGGGATGCCAGCCAGACAAATCGTGTCGGATCTAGCCCAGACAATGACGCGAGAGCCAAATTTAGGGTCTCAAGCCCAAACTCACTCTCCGCTACGAAAGCTCCCATGTCAGTTGTGGCCGACTGGACTAGCTGATCCACAATTACGCCGAACGTCTTACGCAGCAAGTCGCGAGTTTTAAACGCGGCAACTGGAGTTTTGTAGGCGAGCATCTCGTTCATACAATTGTTGGTTGCTGTTGGAATATCATTGAGAACTAGTGAAGACCTGCTGATGTTAACTCGAACATCGCTGGTCGTGGCTTTAGGATTCTCATCACGAACTTTATTGACCGAGAGGATGATATGATCCGTGAGCCGCTTGAGCTGGTACCCGCAAGTCGAGCCGGAATCCAAGAAATCCTGTAGTTCGTCCACGCTCGTGTGGGTGGTGTTGACCGCGGTAACATTGTGTATAAGGCGATAAATATTGGATCCGTACTCCAACACTTGATCTCCTTCAGTAATGGCTACCCTGGCAATAGCTTCCACGACCATCATCACAATACCAGAAAATATAAAGTCTGATGACACAGGGAGGCCAAGGCAATGGCTTACTGCGACAGGTAAGTCGACGACTAGAACATCAGCTTGGAGCGCGACAGCAAGTAGTTCTTCAACATTTCCTTGGGGCGCTGTCGTCTGTTGAAACCTAAGGAAGAAGAGAAGAGATTTGATCACGCCAACAATATTTGCCGCGCACAAGAATTCTCGCTTCACATCTTTGTATATCGAAATGACAGCGCCAAAGATGCCGGCCGTCGCCACATTGATAACAGCGGAAAGCAAAGCCGAAACCTTCTGCACAATTTCAAGGCCACAGTCATCATTCTGGGGAATGCACTCCAGATAGCACGAAACGGGATACGCTAACGGACATTGAGCAATGCAGGCCTCATCATTCCCATTGTAGCCTGCCGGACAAATGCGATTGCTGCCAAAAGACTTTGTCTGCCGGTAGCATGCCGAGTCAGTGGAAGAGCCAAGGGTGGGCCCCACCCAGTTACGAATTCTCTTGCCATACCATTCAGTACCCATTCTATCTGTAAGGTGTGCTGTCTTGGCTGATCTTCTCGTCCAGATAACACCGAGTTGATCGACCTCACCTGCCGAGCGGCCAAAGAATCCACTAAGCTGAAACCCTTTAGGAGCAGTCACCGTAGTGCTCTTTGACGTTTTTGTTCCAGCCCAGACATGGTTTCCCGCACTTGAACTAATGTTGACGAAGAAGACACGGAAATGTTTTTTTCGTTTGGCCCAATGAATTTCCATCTTGTCGACATACTCGTTAGTATCTAGGAGGAGAACAGCCTCTACCCCATCCGAACCACCGTGATTCCACGTTGCATGAGCCGGTGTCGCTACTTGTGTCGTAATGGAGATAAGTCGTTCGCCACCACGGAGTGTAATTGCATTCAGAGTTTGGCCAAGTTTAATGAAAGGCATATCAGAGAATGCATCACCATAGGAACCTCCATAAACTTCACTCAGCTGAATGTCTTCATCGATCGAGGCGATATGATTCGTCGTCGCGACTACTTTTCCAATGATTGCAAGCAAACTCGTCAGCGTCTGGAGCGCTGCTATCGCCCAGTGCGACATTCTTTGGCTTGACGAATCAAATACAAATGTAAAACTTGATGCAAAAATAACAAGTGCTGAACAGGAAGACCACAGTGGGATTCGACTACAAAGTACAAGTATAATAGTGTCACTTCTAAGGAGTGTTTGGTATGCATAAATGCTACTACACGTCGCATGTCTAGCTCTTTGATTTGCGAGAACCTGTGCTATGTCGTCGGTATACTGCCTACTACATTTATATACTTTTTCGTATTATGGTTCTACATATGTCGATACATTATTATATATCTTAACTTCAGCTTCTGTGCTGAGGCATCACGAGCGGTTTTGGCGCTTAGGACTTAAGCTACAAGCGCATCACTAGACTTTTCAACATCATGACCAGTTGACATGGGCAGATAGATATCAGACCCTAGACATCGACCAATCCGGATCAGAATGCAGACATTGTATAAAGTGAAAAAGACGAAAAAGGGTCACAAATGATTGCTCGATGTGTGGGTATTTGTTATGTTTTGCTTATTATTATAGTGTTCAGTATGTAAAACCTTAATTTATCGTGCTCGGAATTCTAGATTGCTATACAAAAGTACATAGCGAACGACCTGTAAAGTCTCGGTCAAGACAAAAAAGACTCATTTATCGACGAAAATGGTAACATTTGACACCATGAAAGAGCTATAATAGCAGGTAAACACATTTGCAGATAGGACAGCATCGCAAGACGCGATACATACAAAATACTGCATCTTGTTGTTTTTGAGTGCACCATACGACATTCAACCCCTATTTAGTTACGAGATATCTATCTTTATGACGCTTTTCTCGATAACAATGTAGTTATTTTTTGATACAATTCAGCCGGCTCAATACCACGTGTTCTTAGGCACAAAAGGGTTAGCAGTTCATTCACATCGTTGAGATATGATTCCACATGACTTTCCTGAATGACTGTACAAACGTCGCAAGTGTCGCTTTTTTTAGAAGTGGTCGTGGCCGTGTGACGTTTATGCAGTTGTGGATCCTTCCAAGACAGTTGGAATTGCAATCTACAACGTTAAAAACAGCATCCACCTCATGATTTATCGCTGCTCAAATACGACCGAGTTGTATTCAAGCACGCGACTCGTGAGATGCCAAAAGCTTTGCTCAGTTGAATGACTCCAGTAGCATTTCTGACGCTAAACGCTACAAACAAGAGCAAGAAAGACTGTCATCATATATATCTATATCAAACTAGCTACATTGGTTGGAGGCGAGTGACACCAAGAAGCGTTGCAAGAGGCACCATCCGTCGTTTTCATCTTGTTACACACTTAGAGACTGAAGACTTGCCTCATGACTTATAGACTGGGCTATTGGCAACAGCCATACTAATGACAAGTTCCTCTTTTCGCGTAGTACAAGTGCTCACCTAACGCTTCGATACGAATCCGAGGTACTAAACAAGTATACATGGACACGTGAAGTGCGACCAGAAAATTGTTCAGGATAGATAGGTAAGAAGTCGGTACTCAAACTACAGATCGAATGAAGCCGCCGTTTGGCTAGTGGGAAGTGATGAGCGGGCGGATACCTGTATACACGTACATTATACTTGGTGCGCTTGTTGGTAGTTATCCGAATGTTCGTGGACGTAGCTAAACATGAGGTATAAATTGTATTTGTTGTGGCAATGGCAGCTACGCTCAAGTCGCGCAACGCCAATGCTAGTCAGCCCACCCAACAAACCTCATGAGCCGCTTTGTCGTAATAGTGCCGTAGAAATCGAGCGGATACACACTGTCTGACTAGCTTACTGATGATACTGTCCATATTATTTGGAGTTGGATACCTTGACTTATGCTAACTCACATTGATGCGAGCACTTGTGTCGATATCTAGAGCACCAACAAGCCACGAGCCCTGATATTCTTACGATACTTGATGACCATTAATCCAGCCAGAGATATCATCTCGTCTGTAAAAACACCTTGCGTGTCTGCGTAATGTTTCCACTCAACTGCTGCCACAACCTTCATGTTTGTACTGTTTCAAGCACCATCCCCCGTTCATCTTACTTTGTCGAAGCTCCGTAGCGGTTTGTTGTGATAGGGGACGTCGGTCTGCATGTAGACTGCAAAAAAAACTGAAGACCATCATGTTTGATATAGGCCCGCATGAACTATCAAACGGTGCTTGAATTCTTTGTGACTGACGCTCTAATAAATGTTGTTGTATGACCTGAATCAACTAATCAATGGTCACTCACAATCATCTTTCCAAGCAAATCTCGTGTGGCGACCTTTGTAGATTTGTAGCCCAGAACGTCTAACACCCATGCAGATGTTAGGGACGAACTTGGGCAAACTCATGTTTTTATCACCCCATGGGGTAGTGACAAAGGTGGTGATAGAAAGCCAGCGTACAACTTACAATGGACGGTGAGAGAGCACGTCATGCTAATCCTGGTATCTCTATTTGCCCAAACGGCGTTCGGACGACATATGCTCGCCCCATGCTCTCAAGAGTCATTTTCAATCTGCTGAGACTACGATTAACTCACTCCAACAGCTGGGATCATGCTATTACTGACGCTATTGCAAGCGTTCGTACTTCTGTGTATCATTGCTGTCGACGGAGTGACCTTGGATGAAGATATTCAGCTGAGCGAGGCGATCGGTGGGTCCGGCGGCACTGCGTTCTCCGATATCGAACTGGTCAAGTTTGGTCAGAGTCCCTGCTTAATCTCAATCAGGGCCAAGAAGCGGATCACTTCAGTGGCTTTGCGAACGGAGACACCAACGGAACTAATGTTGTCTCATGGTGGCTTAAGTGGAACTGACCACTCACTCTTTCTCAAGCAAGGAGAGTACGTAAATGCCATGGAAATTAATTCGGGGAGGAAGTTCCGGAGCTCGCGGATCTTCTACCTCAAATTTACCACGAACAGAGGCAATTCAATCGAGGCAGGAACAAAGACAAATGAAAGCACTAGTATCACCGCCCCTATAGGCTTTCAGCTCAGTGGATTTTTCGGTCGTGCAGAAAGCGAACTCGATCAATTGGGGCTTATCTGGACAAGAATAAATGCGACAACTAAAACACTTACAGATACAATGGGCTCTGACTGGTATGGCAATCGAATACGGAATTGGGTTGGTCATACAATTGGCGACGCCAAAGACACAGCATGCTATAGAAAGAGAGAGCAATTTGGCAGCGGTAAATCGTGCCCATTAGGGTACAACGCCAATGGAGTGAGCTGTTTAGCGCAATGTCCGCTATCGTACCCGGTGACATGCTACGAACAGTGCATTCCGCAGAACGACGACTGTACCGGAGAGATTCTTGCCAAGTCTGCGGCTGTGGTTGCCGCAATTTTTAACGCGGTGACTGCCGGAGTCTCTTCCATAATGTTTGAGTCATTCAAGAAGGCAAAGCAACAATTTCTTTGCGCTGCAAACATTGTTGGCGTGGTTAAGTCTCTTATCTTCTATCTCAGTGCCGTGCGGGTGACGGCTCCACAAGGAACGACGGAAGAACTACTTACTGCTGCGTACCAGTCCGATGTTGTGCTATTTGCCATGCCGATGGCTGTCGCCACTTGCCTCGGTGTGGAAGAGTTCAAAAAGAGATATGTTATCAGCAACTATGTGTACATCACTGTGGAGGTGATCGTGAAACAGGTTATAGTCAATGGCGACCAAATCCTCTCGACCGCTAGTAACGTCTTCGCTCTTCTACAACAAGACACTGCGATGAGCTCTCCAGATAATTCAACCGTGCAAGAGCTACAGGTCTTTCTCGACTCGAACACAACTTGTGGATTCCAGCTCAAAAACCTCACAGATCATATTACCGCTAAAGTAAGCGAGATTCGCAACAAAATGCCCACCGCCACGGTCAATGACATCCGCGTCGAAATCAGTGATTCACCTCTACTTCTGACGGACATTCCTGTCGCAACCAACAATTGCATGCGCGAGATCATGGAGATCAAAACCTTAGAAGTTGCGTTTCAGACTCGTGACTTGCTCCGAAAGACGCTCGGAACTATCGTCGACCAGCTTGTCGAAACAAACCAGACGGACATGGGTCGAAACGTTGCTGAAGAGGAGTACTTTCTGGACTCAGCAAACATGGCCCTTACTGTACTAGGTGGTCTTGATCCGTCGGGTCTTTTGTGGATGATGTCACAATTTGTACAGCCGGTTTGTGGACCCACTGCTTTCATTGGTGAGATTGACGACGGGACGCTGTACGATGCTCTCGGATTGAAAACCATGGGCGAAGCATTTAAAGGTAGCTATGGCACGTGGACGAAGGAAGGCGATGGCAAAATGGATCTCATCTTTGAAAGTATCGACACGAAAGATGTGACGGTCGTCATTCATTCAGGCAGCGAGAAATACCAAAAAGTGCGTGTGCCTGCTGGATCTACGGTAAATGTGACCGAAAATATCGCAAACTTGCAGGACAAAGTTTTGTATCTAGATCGTTGGCGCCAGAACGTGATCGGTATACCTTTGACCGCCGGTGGCTCACTGACATTGTGGGTCCCGCGAGCTTCTCAGGGTGGACATCTTAGAATGCATGTCCGAATCAATGTAAGCTAAAAATGCCAAAAATTGTCAACGTCATCGTTTCCAGTAGCAAAACTATTCATTCACCTTTTTCAGCTACAGACAATGTCAACTTTGTCTTCATCGTCACTTGAATCCGAACTTTCCTCCAGAGACATCAGCCCCAACAAGACACAGCGGCAGACTTGCCGTTCATGACGGCAGAGCTGCTTGATAGCATTCAAATCGGAGGCGGAATTATCTGAAGACAACGCGAGCAAATTGCTGTACCACTTGTCCTTTTCTTGCAGAATTATAGCCAACACATCGTAAAGTCGCTCTGCAGGCAATTGGGATGCCATGACGAAACTCAGCAGCGCCTCACTCAGCCCAAACTCTTGCTCAGCATTTCCGTTTAGAAAGAAAAACAATGTGTTGTCGTCGTTCTCCGGGTGAGCCAGTTTTCGACGCTTGGCCAGATTTTTAGTCTTGGCTGTTCCCTTGCCTTTGCCAACAAAAGAAAGGTTATGTTCCTCAGCCTGCTCATCTCCTTCGTCCCTGTTCCATGGGCAAGCTTCAAAAACGTTTGTGAGCTCGGAACTGGTAATGTGAATCGAATCCGACGGCAAAAGTGTGGGCAGCACAAAGCCGTAGCGACATAGGAGCTAATATGTTCATAACGTTAGCAATGGGATAGCAAGTTGATTTCTATAGACCAAAACCACGCTACATTACCTGTGCGTTCGACATATCGCCGTACGAAATCGTCACAGACTCGCCCTTCTCCACTTTGCGCAAAGCAATCAGCTGTTCAACAACCACAAAGAAGTGAGGAATCCATTCACAATATAAACGTGGCTTTCATCATAGACCACGCACTTCATAACTACCAAAGTCGGTTTTGACAATATGCGCTACCGGTTTGTTGGCCTCATGATTGGCCATATCAATTACCGGAAGTAGCGTTGGCTCCAACATATCTGTGGCTTGAAAAGCACTATCCGTGCAAAAGTACTTAGCGATAATCTTCACAAACGTCAACAACAACAACAACAACAAAAGTGATCGTCGTACCGTGACGAAACTATTGAGTACGCCCATTGAAATTTTTCTAGCGTACACACGTTATGCGGCCAAATTGTTGCAAACTTCTTGGCCAGTGGTACGACATAGTCCCAGTACATTTGAAGCACGAGTTTGTCGTCCAAAATCGAAACCCTACATCAACATCTCATCTCTCCAATGTAACCACCTTTCATTTCTCCATGAAATACTCAACTACGTACACACTTGTATGTTGAATCATATCTCGAAGGGTGTTGTCCCATGTAAAAGGAAGCGAAAGAGTCGTTGGCAGTTGCTGGATGTAGCCAATAAAATCACTTTTGTCACCTCGTGCAACTTCGGCCAATAATGCCACTGTGGTTTTCACTGTCCCATTGAGTCTTAATGAATGTATATACTCTTTAATTTGAGTTCCATTGTTATCGAACCAGTAAGTGCCATTTAGAAATGCTCCAGTTTGTAACGTCACCAATTTAGTACCAGCCTCGAATTCATTTTGCGCTACAATAGAGCGATCATTTGTACCATACGATTCAACAATCGATACAGGATCAATGAGATCTTGCGCTACTGCTACGGTCGATACGTGTCGACTGATCCATTCCAGCAGTGGAGACTTGGGGGTCATGGTTGGTGAATGGCTACGTTTCTAAAGCATTTCTATGTATTTTCACTTTGAGAATATTATATGTTTTTGTTTAGAGCTTATTATTAGTGCTCGAGCTCTTTAAAAAGTAGCTTTCTTATTTAAAAAGTAGCTTTCTTTTCTTAAACAAACGACAAACGTGTATAAAATTTTATAAAAGTATCATTAAAAATGAGCAATAGTGAATCGAATACCCTGCATATGGAGCAGCCCGAGACAACAACTCCAGCGGAATTGGCAGTCTCTACTACTTCATCAGCTGATCAATGGCGATTATTTTTAGGTCTTACGATCCTTGTCGGGTCTTACATTTTACGTGTCGAGGTCGTGCGATTTTCTCTACGAGTTGTGCGTCGGATTATTCCTGCTTTATTTACGTGGTTACGGGAGTTTGAGAAGATGTTATTACGCCCACTTTCTTGGGTTGTTTTTGTGCTATTGGCCTGGTTTTCGACGTACGTAATGGATCTGGAATCATTAATGGACATGGATGCAGGCACTTTACAAGGAATTGCGACTTTAGTGTTAGGATTTCCTTTGATTTGGCTCGTGATTTCCTTTTGTAATTACGTGGCATGGGGAATTATTCGTGTGCAAGGATGGAGTCGAGCTGTGTCAAAAGATGACGATGATTATAGTCGTGTGTTGATCATTACAGAGGGCATTGGAGTATGTGGTTGATTTGTTTACAAGTGCCAAGGTTGTTGTGAGTTAATGTTATTGTTTTTATTATTGTTCAGGTGATTAAAGTGCTTTTGGTAGTTGCTGTTGTGTCAACGTGCATCATTGATGAGATTGGTCGATTTACGGACTTTGAGTCCGGTCAGGTGTCTACGGTTGCGGTCATTATGGTGGAGTTTGTGTTTGTGTTTGGTGCGCACTCTTGGGTATGTGATTATGGAAAATGCTGGTGTTTTTTTCTCGTTTGTCTTGGACTGACGTCTTGTATGTTTTTGTTTGTTGTGGAATCATGTTGTAGCTGAAAAATATTATGGGTGGATTGATGTCGCTGCAAGATGAACAGATAAAGAGCGGGCTTCATGTGTCGTTTCAAGGCCACGAAGGGGTGGTTGAACGATTGTTCTTGCAGGGGTTTTCGCTGCGTCAGTATGACAAGGGTGTGGCGTACATTCCCAATAGTATCATGCTAGAAAATTCGGTGATGGTGCAGACCAAGATTCTAGAACGGCGATGTATCGTTCAAGTGCATTTGAGCCACTCGACACCCACGACAGTGCTCCGCATTTTTATCCAGGAGCTAGATAATTATCTGATGCATCACATGATGGATTGCCGCATGAATTTGAAAGCGAACGTTCTTGGACTAGACAAGCCACGAGGTGGGTGGGGCATGATAAACGTGTACGAATCCAACAAGCAGCTTGCGATGAAAGAAAATCAACCGCGGGACCGCTTCTGGATCAGTATTGAGGCACCGTATCTTGTACACGTTGTCTATTATTCGCAGGAGCGACACAAAAAGAGATTGTTGGCCGAAAAGACAGAGGTTTGTTGGTATTTGCGAGTGGCATTGGCTGTGTGTGTAAAGCAGTTTCTCATTGTGGGTGCTTGATTCAAATGTATTAGATCGTCCTACGCATTACAGAGCTGATAACTAAACTCAAGCTGAATCTACACGGGAAAACAGAAGAATACACTACGTCAAATTCTGTAGCCCTTCCATCATCGGCTGGAACTGAAGCGTCAGATGTAAATGCACGATACCCGAGCTTTAGCCCAGATTCGCTTGCTGAAACATCGAGCCGTCTCCGACGGAGGCGAGCACCGCCGGCAAGTGAGCCACTTGGACAACGCATTCTGAGTGATGACAATATGTTGCAATACCGTCGACCTCTTGAAGACCATGCCGACCATGTATAAACATACAAACGTTGGTGCTTAATCGAAGGCAAGTACTATTAACAGTTACTACATATGCAATTCATGTCCAGTCGGAGTCTGCCTGCTTACTGCTCACAACGATGCATTCGCTAACCTTGCATCAAAGTATGACGAGGCACTCTTCATCGGCAATCCGTGATCTGTTGCTGCGCGATGACACCCAGCCGTTGGGTCGTGTCAATAATCGCAAGATTCACCTACGAGCAAAAGCAAATAACGCAATATCACAATTGGTATGCACTTGATGCCTACATGACAGAATACAGGTACCGTACCTCTGTCTTTGCTTTTTCAAGCGTGCTAAATCGTTCACGATCCATAAGTACAGTCACTTTCACCTTATACATTGCGTAAAGCTCAACGCGGACAGGTGGAGGAGGCGGTGAAATTGGCCGGCCAGTTGCGTCAAACGCGCTAGAGTTAGCGCTGGATCGTAAGCGCGTACGAGATATGCCAGCGTTAGCGTTGCTGCTTGCATTTGATTGGCACTGGTCTCTCAAAACGCTTTCGTCACTTCCAGCACTTGCACTCAAACTACTAGCACTTCTCGATTGGATGGTATAAGCCTCGCGGTGATCTCTGCGTAGAGCAGCAACTGCTTGGGCCGTGAGAGCAAATGTCGGCAGTACCGCTTCCAACTCGTGCAAAAGCTCCGTTATCTTATGAGCAGGTGTAGCAGGATGTAACCGCAGCATAATTGAATGGGTGTGAGCTTCCAAGGCATTACCGCTGGTCTGGTAATTATCAGCAAAGATGCCATTTGGTACAAAAATCATCGATCCATCCGTACGTCGTATCGTCGTTCTAGCAAGTGATACTCGATCGATAAATCCCAACATCCGTCGAACTTTAACCTCACTACCCGTTCGAAAAGGTTCGGCAAAGATAAGAAAGAGTCCCATTGCTACATTCTTTAGCTGTCCATAACCAAAACAAAAATAAAATACACAGCAAGATAATTGCCGGAATGAGTTGTAAATAAACACAAAGAAAATGGTGCACCCCCCTTACCACTGTAAACCCAGACAAAACAGCAATTAATTCGACACTTAAAATCCCCACGACAAGCAAAGAGCGCATGACGGAATTTGAAAGGAAAAAAATGTAAAAAATCTCCATCAATACGAAGACGACACACACAAACTTGATTGATTCGGTGATGACAAAAATTCGTGCATCATAGTCCGCCGAGTAACGGTCCCACTTGAAGTATCGGACAAAAAGCTACGCCCATATTTTTTTTGTTGCATTAGTAAGAAAAAACAAATAAAGAACATAATGCTCTACAAACCGAAAGGGTACGAACCATACATTCGTCATGACTTTTCGCATGGCAAACGTGCCAAGTGCTAGCGGAATGGCCAGGAGGTAACCGAGATATTGCAAGACCTCGTCCTCTTCGCTACCAAGATCTAAAATCGATCGAGCAACGACATCGCGCACCAGAATCAAGAATAAAGTCCACCAGATATACGTGAGCATATAACGCTGTACATCCGCAATCCATCTGTACAGCATAGTGGCAACAAACAAATATCAGCTTAAAGATATTGTATTGTCTTTCATATATGATATTAGATCGTATGTTGATTCGTACAGTACGTGCTTGTCGAGACGAGAACGAATTGTATGAAGCAGCACTTCAATCACAGGTCGTGACAGTAAGAACGCAGCTACTGTCACTAACAGCGCCAGTCCCACGCGCCAGAAGCTAAAGGCCATCATGACTCTATAAGTTGATAAAATAAAAAGGGGAGTACGGTTTTCTGATTCAAAGTGTAGCCTACAGTATCATAAAGTACACGTCCGTCCCACTTATGTATTTCTTTCAAACCGTAATACATTGCACATAGATAAGACATAAACTACAGAAGTGACTGGTTGTTGCCATCATATAGACAGCCATCTGTAATAATGGCCGTTCTCTTGTCATGCCACATTGTGACAAGATACAGTTCAAGCAAGTCTTTTATCACCTGAGAATCAGAGAAAGCATTTTTTGGTGGTAACAATTGAGTGAATACGTGAGTAACTAACTAAGTGAGCCTTTAAGGGCTCCGTAATCACTTGAGACGATCCGTGACGACATATGAAAACAACGACGTTGTATCCACGATTATTGACAACGACAGATTTGATACGTAATCATTCAGAGCTGTCAGAGTCTCAACGGAATGTGCTGTATACGATGATCCTGTGCTGCTCCACGCTCTCACTGGTCGGTTGTCTATACATTGTACGTCATCACTACGTCTCTGCAAGACTGCATAGTGGTGTATCCATGGTACAGAAGATGGTCGTTGTGCTCTCGGTCTTTGACGCTGGTCTTTCGTTTCCGAGAATGTTTGGGAATTTGCACACATCAGATGACATGAGTGAAGCTTGCAACGTCCAGGCGTTTGTATTGTACTTGTTTGGCCTCATGTCTGTCTTTTGGAATGCAGCAATTGCTCATTGTTTGTACCGGAAGATTGTCCATCGTGACAGTGAGGCGAGACTAAAGAGCAGGTTTAAACTTTACGTGCTGCTTGTCATTGTACCTGCAATGGGCTGTAGTGTTGCGCTTTACGCTGCGAGGCTGTTTGGAGATGCTACATTCTACTGCTGGGTCGAGTCGCGCTCCGATCAGTTCTGGACCTTTTACTTGTTCGTCATTGTTGCCATTCTCTACATCAGCGTGATCCTCTGGGTCACGCACAACCGCATCTCCCGCGACTTTCAGGACGCTGATTTGGATGCACAAGAGTCGTGGGCACTGATCACCTCAAAGCTGAGGATCTATATAGCAGCGTTCATCGTGCTCTGGACGCCTAGCACAGTCTACCGACGTGAGTACTATGTACCTTTGTTTTCGTTCATCGCTAAATGTGTCGGTGTGCTAACGATGCGCTACGAACCATGTATAGTACTTGACGACGAGCTTGGACCGGCGCGGTTTGCGGTGGCACTTTTGATGCAGCTTACTCTTTGTACACAAGGCTTGACCACCGCCATTATCCACGGAGGACTGCTTACCAAGCTGTACCGAATCGTATTGTGCAAGCCATCAATCGTACGTGCGCACAAGTTTGTAGCCTCAGAGTCGTTTCCTTCAACGGGTACTAGCACCGATCGTAGTCTGGTGAAGCACTATCGTCAGCCTGCAAACATCTTCGTGACTACTTTCAACATGGGTGAAGCCAGAATGGCACCTGCTCAATTGAACAAGTGGATACCGCTCGGACACGACATCTATGTCATTGGCCTTCAGGAGTGTCTGCACTTGGCAAATACTCGTAGCATGATTCGCCAGCACCTTGATGGAGGTTGTCCAAGGCCAGCAGCAAGTGAAGCTGCTCGCAGGGCACCAAAATATCACCAATATAATCGTGAGATTGGAAGCAAGAACACTTCGTTGGGCTACCATGGCCATATCGCTATTACGGTGTTCATCAGGTCCTCAGATGTGGAAAGTGGTGCCTTCTACATGCCGCCTGTGGTGCAGCAAGAAATCAACGTGGGCAAGTCTTTAGTACTGGGCCGTGCATCAAACAAAGGTGCTGTAGGCTTTGCCTTTCGATATTTCGACACCTCTTTTGCATTTGTAGCGTGCCATTTGTCCTCGGACCCTAAGGTAAGTTGCTGCTGTTTGCAATTGATGTGACGTAACTTGTTGACTTATGGAGGCTGTTGTGCTGAGTTACAGGGAAAATCAAAAGTAAGACGACGAAATCGGGACTCGCAAGATATCCTGCAGGAACTACATTTGAACCTCGAGGACGTGGGCTTCGAGTTTCCACACGTACATCACCACAGCTTTGTTTTAGGTGACCTCAACTACAGGCTGACAAAGCGTGATGCGAACGCAAATTCCATTCTTGAGCTCGTATCCATGGTACGGCAGTGTGAAACTGCAAAGCCTGCTCCACCTAAGCGAAATTGCAGCTTGCGCCGCGGGCTGCTGGGCAGACGGTGGAGCCCCATGAGTAGTCGCGGTTTCAGTAGCTCTTTCGGCCTCGGTAGTTCTCAAGATGCTAGCAGCGACAGGGACAGCAATGAGCTTAACGTGAGCATGCTTGAGCGTGGTATCAAAAGCACTTCGTCAGCAATTGCTTCGTCGAACGGGAGTATCAACAGCATCCGGTATTCAGCAGATTGCGAGCTCATGGACGACGACAAGGTTGTGTGGGATGATGTGCTAGCACATGATGAGCTGCTAACTGGTATGCGAGACGGGCAGATTTTCTACGGCTTTTGTGAGGCCAAGATTGCGTTCCCGCCTACTTTTCGCCGTGTGCGTGGGGCCGCACTAAACTTTGATGCGGCAAATTGGTCAATTGAGGAGCTAAAGGAGTGTTACACTACTGCCGTCGGGGGTCATGGTATGCGGGTTCCGTCGTATACAGACCGAATATTGTTTTTCTCTCAGCTAGATATGCGTCATCGTCTGCGGTGCGCTGTATATGCCTCCTGCGAAGAAGTCACCTGTTCGGATCACAAGCCAGTACTAGCAGTATTCCAAGCTCTTGTAAATCGCGACATCCTGCCGATTGAAACGGAGCTTTCAGCCAAGAAGCTTCAGCGAATGCAGGATGTAAATGGTGTCCTCGAGTGTCGAATACGTTTGGACTTCAGCAACATATCGTGGCAGCCTGATATCGAGGCCGGCTTTCCTCTCCTTTCGTTTGGTAACTCGGTTGATATCGATCAACGGTTCTCGCACTATGATCGTCACGGATATCAAGTCATGGTGACGATCGTCTTCCCCTTGCCATCAGAAGACATTTTTTCAGCGCAGCGCAAGCTACTCGAGCTAGCGGATTCAATGAGTGGTGGTGTGTACTTGGAAAACACTGATCGACTGCTATGTAAGACAAACGTGGCTCACGTCAAGTGGGCTGACTTCGTGCGCAGCGGTATCACGCACGCCACCTTTGCGCGACCAACTAGAAACATGCACGTGGCGATTAAAGTGCATGCTGGCACTCAGGGCCCGTGCTTTGGTCAGGGTGTGATCTGCATTCCGCAGGCAACGAAAAGTGACAATGAGGATCAAACGGATGAGATTCAGAAGCTGAACAATTTCGTTGTGGAACTCGCCCATGGCGGACGACATACAGGGACGATGTCAGGCTCCATGAGTCTGCAGCTCGTCCACCGCACCAGCGACGCTTAAGTTAACAGCGAATGGGAGGAGTTATTACTAGAGGTGCTAGTCAATGGCTTTCAACGTCATGTCGATTTCAATTAACCGGTGGTGGTGGTGGTGCTATGCTGGATTCAGTGAGTTGATGGAGAGAGGAATTGTTACAAACCATCTACAGTTCGTCGTTGATGCCCGCAGCTTTCACCGTCTCCATCGGTTCCTCCTCGAGCGTCGCATACTCATCATATGTGAGATCCTCGGGGTGTTCAAAATGCTTGGCCCACGGCTGGAAGAACATTATAAGTGCAAACACCACGAGCAACACGAACGACAAGCTACAAAGACAAGAGCAAACATCAAGAAACTTCTTATCATCTACGCCAATCTCATCAACAGAATAGATCACATAGCAGTACTGACATGGCCTTGGTTCGATTGTAGCCAGCCACAGAGAGGTGAAATTTGTCCAGAGCTTCCCCCAATTCCTTAATCTTCTTCTCATAGACCGCGCGTACCTCTGGTGTCAACCGACCCTTCTTCAAACCAGCCTCTTCCAGTTTCTTGTCCTGAAACACAAGTGCATTGTATTTTGCCAGCTCTGCACGAGCCATGGCTACAGCCCGTGCACTTTTACCAGTCTAGTCATAGAAGACCACAGTTGTTAGTTTTTCAGACGATAATGGAATAGATTGTTTGACGCTCAAGTAAGTACCTGCTTCGTAGTGTAGCGCTGGAATTCCCGGTCAAATTGTTCAACGGCACGTTTCGTGGTCGTAGTCTCGGCAAGGGGCGTCTCATTCGCATTCATGATGAACAAGTCTCAAGTGATGAGACGCTGCTAAAAAAGACTTGTAGGTTTCGATAGTGTAGAAAAAAAACCACAGGACGGACGTGAAGGCTCATTTGGAACGTCAGGAATATTTGCCTTCATCGCTGACGATTCATTCATTCACGTTATGCGGTAGAATACTTGTGCTTTCTGTGTGTGTGTGTGTCTTAACTTTGGTGGATAGAAGATAGCTCGTTAGCTTTCATGGAGGCTTGCAACCGTCAAGACGTAGAACATGGTCCCAAGATGCAGCGCGTACGGATTGTTGCCTTCCGTCGCGGTCTGCTCGTCGATTAGTACAATGCGACCCACTACGTAGTCTGGGTATCTGGTAATGCAGTTGCCACATTAGTAAGGAGCACTAGAGAGTTGACAAGCACTTGTTACATCGTACCTCTGACCGTCGTTGCTGAAAGAAGAGATAGATTCCTCCGAGAGAAAACGGTGTGGACAGCCCAGATGGAAGGCCAAATACACTCGCTGGGCATCGCTTCCGGGCGCTGAAGTCGGCAAGAAAAGTGCCAGATCATCCACACTGAAGCTTCGAAACGAAATCTTAAACGAGTCATTAATGTCCTGCTCGGACTCCAGGAAGCGAAAGTCGGACCGCCGCTGCTCCAATTCCGACTGCAACACCTGATAGCACCGCAATCTCGAATCATTAACTGGTCCGTTGAAATGACACCACAATGCAAAAAGCAGCTACTTACCAATCCTGACTCAGCGCTGGCTAGCAGCTCTTTCACACGCCTTTCAATGACATCATAGGTAGTGTTTACAAACGTGATATCGTCCTCAATGTCGGGAGGCTCAAGTAGCCCAAGCAGCTGGGCCAACGATGCCCGCTGTGATCGAACACTGTTACTCAAGTCCTTAATTGTCTGCTGAAGTTTGGACTGGTTGTCCTTCAGTTGCTTCTCACGCTTCGATCGCTCCTGAATCTCCGTAAAAACATCAACAGCAAACAACAAAGGCGCCGCACCGGTTAAGGAAACATAGAAAATGTCAAACGCAATATCACCCCACATGCAAGCAATCAGTTGGAAAGGATATTCTTCAAAGGCCGCCGCATTCAGCAAAAACTGCTGGTTTTCACTCTGCTTTGACAAGCATCACAGCGACTTAGCTCAAACAAACCTGCTACATGTCATATCGCGTATATACTACGAACCTCCAGCTTGGCAATCGTCGCGTCCTTGTTGTCTGCACCTGATCCTTTTTAGACAGAAGAAAAATGAATCAGATCGCCACTAAATGATCACTTCCTCATCTTGCTGTGCTCACCAATGTTTCGCCTCACAGCGGCTAATTCTTGGTCAAGTAGGTTCGACCGATCAGCTTCCGTGGAGTTGGTCATGCCGCCCGCCGTTGCTGCCAGCGCCATTACCAACGGGAATTCGCACGAGCTGTCTCCCTCTTGTGCGCTAGTCTTGGATGTGTCTGAGCGGGCAAATGATTCGCTTCCAGACCCATCATAGTACGAGTTCTTCTTTGACTGTTCCAGCTCTGTTGAGAGCTTTATTACTCGCGCCTCCACTTCATTGTAGCACCCGTGGAGGTCCACATTAGTGGCCGATTCAGAAAAACTACCACGATCCTCGCAATCAACAAAGTTGTCCAAAGCTTCCTTGTCTTCGTACGGATTAAAACCTTGGTCGTTCTCATCGTCAACAAGAGGAAGGCTCTGGTCAAATGGACGCATGCGGAACTCACAATGAGACGGCTTTTCTGCAAGTCCTGCAACAAAATCACGGGGTAAGTGCTGACCGTAGCTGCGCAAAAACTCCTCACGGTGTCGGACCTACGTGAATAGCACAAAGTTAGCAGTAGGCAACGTATCTAGCTATTGTGACCACTAGCGACATACTTCATCCTCACGCAGCTGAGCAAGTTCTTCCGCCATTGACTGAATTCGGTCCGAGAACATATGACCATACTTGAGGCGCCTTGAGATCTCCTTTAAACAAGCCAAGTACGATTCTACCATATCCACACAGTAAAACATCTTAACAAACCCACTCCAGGTGTTGCGTTTCAATGACACGAAAAAGTACCTGGCAGTTTGTCCAGATGCTCAAGCTCGTAAAAGTGCTTCTTTTGAGCAGCTAGAGCTTCACGAAAGACAGACAATGAATTCTCAAAATCTCGAATCTTTGACTGTGAGATTGAAACTTGGCGCAGGACGGAGTGCACCCGTGCGAATGTGGTAGATTTCCTGGATGCTATCTTATTCATTTGCGCCACACTATCTTCAGTAAGCTTCTGTGCATCAGGAACCTACACCAACCACAAAATACCCGTCAGCATCATTTCACCCAAACCTTGCTAAAATGCAACCATATCCACGTTCATACCATATTTTGTTGGCCTTGGTATAATTTATCAATGCGCCGACACACGTCTAGAGCATTCGTAGACGCCTGCATAGGATTACTTCCGCTTGCTAAAGTCGACGTTTCCTCAATGCTGCTCAGCACGTACTGTAGATTGCCACGCAAGGTACTTGTGATATTCATTTGCTTGCTACCCAACGCTTTCATCTGTTCCAATTCTGCACTTGCTTCATTGTACTCCCGAATAGATTCGGCGTGTACAGCCATCATATCGGTGACTTCCTTGCAAATCTCGTCGTGAACCTCTTGAAGTTTTAATACCTGTCCTTGTACATGCGTGTGCGACTGCTCACACTGCGCAGCCCATGCACGTTCCTTCTCGACAGGGATACAATCATAAAGCGTCTTCCGTTCTTCAGTAGTCAGTGCAGGATGAAGCTTCACGGTAGCCAACGCGTCAAGATAGCTGTCAAACTGGCTCAACAGACGTTCGTTCTTGGCGCTTGTTGCCTGAAAATCCGCCCAAAACGGAGAAAAGTGTTTCATCATTGACGTCTTGAACAAATCCAGATTAGCAACAGCTGCGTCAATAGCTTGTTCCTGAACCTGCAATTCCTGTGCACTGCGCTCACATGCAGCAATGTTGGCACGCGTGCCATTTTCCAATGCTTCACTCTGGCTGACCTGTAGCTGGAAATAGCCTTCATACTCCACCAATGCTCTCATCATTGGATGTGAACTTTCACTAAGCATCTTTGAACCTTCTGACGAAGCCATTGGCTGTGATGGCACTACAATAAACCAATAACATGAGTATCACACATGATGACGACCGAATAGTCACACACAAAATGTAAACAGCATCGTACATTCTACATAAACTGGAGTTAAATCTCTTGTTGCAGATGGAGACGTGACTGCGTCTTGTGACAGCAGTCGACGGTCATATAAAAACACCTTTTTGTCCTCCTGTACATTAAAAAGTAGGATAATTTTCAGTTCAATTTGAGTCAAAACTTAGCAGCAAAGAATTAAAAATGCAGCGTACTGATGGTAATCCATAGTACTCTACGGCACGACGTGGGTCTAAACGAGCAAAAGGCGGACCGCAAAGTAAAATCTGATCATCTGTAGGAACGCCACTGAGTCGTTCCAGCTCTTCCCGTAACTCTTCAACCACGACACTGTGTCAATACAAACATATAGAAATTTGTATGAGCAAATGCGACTTTTTAACACGCAGTGCGGGGCGAATTAGACCCATTTTAACCCCAAAAAAGAGTAAAAAGTACTTGGTAGAAACCAGCGTCACTGCATGCACGACGCCCGTGGATGCATCTCCCACACGTACTACAATATCACCACATGCTTTGTACTTCTTTTTCTCGTCTGTATGCTGCTGCGCCATCGTCCTGGCGACGTCCATTGAGCTCTCTTCCCATCAAGGCACGCGCCTGCGGAATGCTTGTATTCTAACGACTGGACCCTTTTCTGCCAGAAAAAGGACTGTAATGGAGAAAAAGAGACTATTTCTCTACCTATATAAAAATACGGAGGTATGTCAGAACCCTTTTTAGGAATAAAAGACGGGCTGCAAATGAAATATTGACTTTTTTTATCGATTATTAGGCAGCCATGCACACTAAATCGTCATTGCAGCTCATATAAAATAACTAGCACACGCCTTCCGATATCCCCTCGGAGAAATCCTCCGAAAAGTTGCGAGAACGACGGAAGAGCATGTCTTCATTGCCAAACGTCTTCATGTAATGTAAACCCTCAGTCGCCACATCTTCGCCAACAGTATTCAACCGCGGTGACTTCGTGGCAAATGCCGACGGATTTCCTGAAAAACTAGGAGGTGGCACGGGTGTCAACAGAAAACGCGGCGATAGCGGCCCTTCCTCAATTTCGTTCACCTGCTGCACGACCGGAAACACATCTTCCTCTTCGTCCGTCTTCGCAGCGTCAACACGCTCCACTTCATTCTTCTTGTCCTTGTTTCCAATTGATTTCTTTACCTTTGCATAACTTGCTTCCCACTCCGGTCCGAGCATGTTCGTTAGCGCCTTCAGTACTTCTTCACTTGAGCGGACACGGTACTCCTCAAAAGCGGGCAAACGGACGACGTCGTGAATGTGTCGCATCAAAAACGGTACACAGTTTTTCTTCAGATCGTCAGCGTTACATTCTTCGGACAGCGTCAATAGATCCACAACGTTTTCCACACAAATCTGGCCGCTAAGGAAAGCCTCCGTACGCTTCTGCAACTCGTACACGCAATAATAGGACGACGCCCGAAGCAACTCTTCAGCCACATCCGCAGTCATGTCAACTTTGCCGGTATACTGCGTATCAGAAAGAATACATCGTTAGCGTTTTCTTCTTGCATTCACATCGCTTTCGCGGCAGACGTACCAAAAAACGGAGCAGAATCGAAAAGACTTCGTAACTGCAATTGTCAACTTCGATCACAGCGGTCTGACTGGTTGTTGAACCAAACTGCATCACGTAAACAAACGACGAATGTTAGATCATAAGTAGGCACACCTTGACAAAGACAAATAGCAACTGGAGATCATTCATTATGCAAATGGTACTCACTTTGACCAAGTTCTTGAAGTAAGAATTGCGGAAGAAAAGGACGACCTTGTGAGCATTGATAGGAGCAATGTGGCCCTTCACGAGGAACTGTAGGTCCGACAGAGACGAGTTTAGAAAAAGCTCCTCGTGGTCATCCACAAGATACGGCGGCACATTAATCGTCACATCCGGGTCATATCCAGGTGGAACCAAATGCTTTATAGCGTGAGCAGCAGCGCAGCGTGAAAACTCTGCGGTCGACTGCAGCATGTTGTACAACACAGAAAGCAGACCTTCGGACAATAGGCTTGGAATCTCCTCAACATCCATCATGTGCACGAAAGTAAGCAAGATGTTGCCACGAAGTTCTCCTGTACATATAAACGGAAACACATCAGACCATGCTTCAACCAAGAGATTACAAATTGCTGTGGCATACCAATTTTAGCGTCGGCAGATACTCGTGCGACAGCGTATAACATCCGCCGAAAATCTTGTCGATTAATCTGCTTCCAAATATTGCGAAGTGCTTGTAAACAAATGGCCCATGTGCTTAACATTTCTTCGACTTCCAGCATCTGTAAAACTGCTCCTTCGAGCACCATTTGGAGTGTGCTAGATACACTGCACGATAAGGCACAAAGCGTGCCAGCAGCATGTGACGAGATTGATTCATCAGGGTAATGGATTGCGTCCATTAACAACAGGATACCGCCAAAACGAGTTATATAGTCATGGTTCAACGGATTTTCCATCAAAGACTCCAATGCGACCACCGCTGTGCGCTTCTTGTCGGGATCTTCTTCCCTCAACAGATCAAGAAGGTCTGGAATACAACTCTTTACACACATATCACACAGCCGCGCACGCCCTTCGGTTCCTTCTACAACCGCTCGAGACATTGAACAGTCATTGCAAATAATCACGCCGCATTCCTGTTGTAAACATGACAAAAAACATGGTGAATCTTCAAGTCATGAACAAAGACAAGTTCACGAAGCTTACCCGGCAATGATGTTTTCGTCGGTAAAATGTGAACGCATGGTGGCAGCAACCACATTCAAGTGCCTCATGATCCTCTGCCCAAGGTTTTATAAGCCCCCACTTCAGTAAATCGTTTGCTGATTCCACAATCGTCGTATTAACCGAGCGGAAACGGATGTTTAGATGCTCTACCAGTTTGTCACCTAGATACGGCGACGATCGCACAGAGGTGGGATCGTAAGTGTACAGTGAAGCGCCGACTTGCCCGAGCTGTGCCGAGTATGCTGGCAGACGCCCAACCCATCTAGGCAAGCCCACCTTCCACGGCAAATCACGGCCACTATAACCATTGCTGGACAATACGTCCACAATGTCCTTCATCCACACACTTTTATTGACGCAAATGTATCGCCCACGAGCGTCGTTGTTTTCCAAAGCCGCAACATGCGCTACGGCGCAATCACGAACGTCAATCATGCTCCAATTCAGATCTACCAAAGCCGAGTATTTGCCCGTAATTAAGTCGTAAATAACTTGGTTTCCAGGCGCGAGTTTCGACCTCAAAAGCATCGGGCCATACAAAGTCCCCGGGTTCATCGTTACCAAATCAATGCGACGGTCGCTCGGCAATTGATCCACAAGCTGCCATGCAGCTTCCTCGGCCAGCTTCAAGCTCAAAAAGTGCGGATTCTTCTCCAGCGATGAAGTTACATTCCAACAGGCGTCATTAATGATCGAACCCGGTGTCACTGAGTCAGCCATTGCAGCAATAGACGAAGTCAAGACGACCCTTTTGATACGTGATCGTGCGCACGCTTGTATAAAGTTTGTCATCATGGGAATGATACAGTGCATTCGACTACCAATACTGTGTACTCCTGGCTCCTGCTTCTCAGACAACGGGTCTCGCACCGAACAGGACGAAGGAGTTCCTGTGTGAATGACAAAGTCGCACCCTATCGAATCAAAAAGAAAGACAACAACAAGCATGAGATCACCACATAAAAACTTGACAAAAAACAGACCATCCTATCTTGAACCTACTACAGACCTTGAACAGCCATGTCACAAGCCTCAGGTGTCAAAAGTGACGTCTCTACGACTGAAAAATTCTTGCTCGCGTTGGGGAGTTGCAATAGTCCCGAAATATCGTCCTTACCGTTCTGTACGGTGCCTCGTACTTGGTAGCCACGATTAAGCAGCTCACACACGATCCACGAAGCCAAAAAGCCATCTACACCCGTCACGCAGATGGGTTTTCCACTTAAATTAGTGGCCAACTGCACGACCTTTTTCCGGAATTGCAAGTGCTTCCAGACACTTGGATACATACATTGACAGTCCACTGGTCGCTTGAGTTTTTTCAATCTCTCTCCTTTCTTCTTCATGCCTCGTCGTCGTAACTTTGGCAGCAACGCTGCGACATTTACTGCTGTATTATTGTTGCCATAGGCACTGGCCTTGTTCTCGAAACCCGGATGATTCACGTTGCCATTGCTGCCGTTGCGCTGACTGGTCAGTAAATAGGACACAGAGGTCGTAGAAGACGAGGGAATGGAGTCAACCGAAGGGCTGATTGGACTCGCTGCAATGACAGAAGCAGTGGCGCTAGGACGTCCTCGGTCTCGATCTCGACGATTGTTGTTCTTGCTGCCTTTACGAGACAACGTCACGCCGTATTTTTTCTTGCGTGGTGTCGGTGGTGGTGGTGTCGCAGGACTGCCACTATGATCAGTGCAACCATCTTCGTCGTACTGTGAGCCAAAGAGCATGATAATTGGCCCAATTACGAGGGGTGATCTCTTTAAAGGCAAGTGACTACTTTTAGAACCGTGAAGTAAAATCTCAGCACCTGAGTTTGTGTCGCTGGCGTTTTTTTTAAAAGTGCTAAATATATATCACGAGGTCCCTCGTTTTAATGTATTTTTCCTTGGTGGGTGACTGACTGACTGACTGACTGGCTGACGTCGTTAGGAAAGATTGCTGCCCCTTTGTGGCTTCCCGCGAGAAACTTCTTTGTCTTTTGGGAGAGACGCTTTTTTGGGTAAAGTGGTCGGTACTACTTAAACGTTACTTTGACGAAATGAATCGCTTTTTCCATATAAGAGCAGAAGGGTGGATGGATTGAGAGGTCTTGATGATGCAATCAAGCTTTTGTCGCATGTTGGGGAGTGTATGTATGTATATCTTCACATTGTTTCGAAAATTTATACGCTTTTGGGACCTTTCAGTTCTATGGCGACAAGGTGATGATGAAAGAAACATCCAGCAGAGAAACAAGGTGTTGTAGCTTTTAGTAGCCACTCGTCTGATATGTTGCTTATTGTGCACTGAAAAAAGACTTACGATTCGAGGGAGAGAGAGAGAGGGCAGACGACTTGATGGAACTTGTAGTAATTGCAGGATGTCTAGTAGATGGCCGTCCAAGCTCCCATCATTCTTCTGTAGTGACAGATGAGCTTCTGACAGCAGAGTTGTGCGCACGGGCATGTCCAGCATATGTGTTTTGGTGATTCTTTCACTCGTTGGCAGCATGGAGGCTTGCGGCAACGGTTATCTTGCCCTCGGACGAAATGAAGAGATTTAGTTGCTTCACTGTCTCTCTCTATTCACGACCCATACTTGGTATGCGGTGAGCTTGTTTCTATGAACCCTGAAAATTAGTTGGCGTCTGCTGTAAAGCTGCTGTCTACCACGCACTTCTTCGTGCTGAAAAACTGGGCTTAAGATGGTTTATTGGTAATGAACTATGAGCGGCAGAGAGTTACCGCCAGCTGACCCATTGATGTCAAAACGCATTGACAAGCATGATGGATATGCAGCAAAAGTCTGTTGTCACTTCAGGCGATCTTCATGGAAACTTTTCTAAATCTGTCATTTTGGAACAATAATTATTTGAAATGACAAATTTGGAAAAGTACTACTAGCTTGGCAAGTCGTAATCTGCCATTCCAGGGTGGTGAGAATAGCGATTGGCAAGCCGAATGCCAACACAATCTCAAACGAGCATCAGGAGGATGTTGCTATACTTTTGTATACGAGCAACAACCTCTTTTTGCGCATGCTATCATGATTGCATCGTCCAAAAAACATTACAAGGAGATCCAAGCGAAGAGTACTCGTTTCTATTTCCAGTTCCACCTTGCAGCTTCTGCGTGGTATAACCATGTAGTGCTCAAGCTTCATTGACAACAATGTAATCAGCTTTGCAAGTGTATCATCGTACAACGTACTTACTATAATCACAGGATGCCACATTTGTCAAGCTTAGCACCTGCGCCACCGCCCATGAGAATGTTCGAGAGCAGTGTGACGACCTACGATATTTCTAAGCGCTTTTTGGCTGCGAAAGACTAGGACAATGTGAAAATGCAATGCCGTAACCAGACCACATGCTCTAGTTCAAGGTGAACTTCACGGCTTTTTTTCTTTCGCAATTCATACGTCACACGCTCGGGACAGCGAGCAGAACGCGGACGCCATTCACAAGATGAGATAAAAATTGTAGCATTCCATCGTGTTGAACTCGAGATCCGACACCAAATCTTGTTAGATTTGCTTTTGTGGCACCATGCAACGTGTAGTAGCAAACCCATTCGTGCGTGTCCACGACATCAACCTCAAATCTCCTTGGGGGTCACATTTGGGGACGCTAATGCTTCATCGAGACAAAAGCAAACAAGAGACAAATTCCCGACATTTTACTTCCCAATGTTTCCGTCATTCTTTTCGTCGTATTGCAAGTCCGCGGAATGTCGGGGATTGTGAGAAAGATCAGAACGTCGATTAAGTGTTTATGACTACACGATATCAGTAAGCTTTTACCAGAGCTACAGCAGTCTTCTCCTTGTCGACTCAGTCTGCTAGCTCGAGACATCAGGCTTTACGGAAGAAACGCCGCAAAGGGCACGTGGAAATGGTTATCCAGCCCGGTGCATACAGAGCGTGGGAGTTTGCGAAAAAGCGCCTGATACCACTTTGATCATTCCCGATGGGCCACTGACCCACCTGGGCTGGTCCAGTCAAGTCACGTTCAAAGGAAGTTTGTTTCGTGAAACTGGAATTCGCGCTTGGCGACCGGGTCAGCGACTTGAAGGCTAACGTAGAATAGCAGGAACTAGGTGAGGTGACAACTACTGTTGCCGTGCCCCTCCCTCCGAAGTGTCTAGGTTGTTGCGCCCTTTCAGTTTGCACGTTGCGATGCCTCCCGTAGCGCACGCAGCGAGAAAAAAGCCTCCTCTTTCGAGGGACTTCCCGCACCAAGCCAAAGGGGCCAGTGCACCGGCTCTTGGTCTCTTGGCCCATGTTGCTTGGTCCTCCGCTGAATTTGATATTGCAAAGAGCATTGGCTTAGAAACTCATACAAGGACGGAAAGTGTGTCTTCAAGAGGCAGATAGCGTTGGCGGTCATCGGGCGAGCGTTCTCTAAACACTGAATAGAGCAGCGTCGTCCTGAAAAAACACACAGTCAAGCTGAAGACGTGCGTCTACGGCAAAGATCAAGTAAGATGACGTGCCATGAACAGTCTCATGGTCCATTTCGATAGACGTTGTCAATGAATGCATACGAGATGGAAGGACGATGAGGTCATTGATGTATTCGATGATGGGTAAATGCGAACGTGGCAGACTGGACTGACGCACCCTTACAAAGTATCTTTCCAAGGTCGTCGTCATCAAGTGATTGAGCTAATGCATTAGTGATGGTGGAGTTTCTTAAGAGAAGGATGTACATTACAGAGTGTGACTTTATATGTGGACGACAATTGCAGTTGGTCGGCAACAATTCAGCTTCAGTCTCATATAATTACATTCATACGAAAGTCTTAAGTTTTGTAGCCATGTTGGTGGGGACATGTGAAACCGGTGATAAACTACTTCAGTCAATTGTTTTCCAGTAGCGTCAAACTGACGCTATTTATTGGCTGAAACATCAGACCATTTAATCCGTTTTTTCATTGGCTTAAAACTTACTTCTCCACATATGATTCGTCTAGAAGTTTGTAAAATCGACGACAGGGGTAGGGAGTATTCGTACCTTCCTTTATAGTAGCCTCTCCTCCAGGACTCCTAACAAGCAACAACAACTAGAGCCACAGTCAGAGCTACAGCTTAGAGCCACAGCTAGAGCTACAAGCACGGACGAAAAGTGAATGGAGTCGGCAGTTGAAGAGGCATTTGAGGTGCAAGTATTGCAACCTTTTCATGGCTGGAAACTCGAGCGTTTCTGCGATCGTAGCGGTAATACGTACGAGGAGCTTACACGTGCTGCATTACGAGTCTTGGGTCGTGACGACCGTTTAAATGGTATCGAAGAAATGCCTTTACTTGAAGTGGGTGTATTGCATTCACCTGATTGGCTGTGGAGTCATGCTTGGATGGCTGATAGTGAATATACACAATGTGATGAGGAAGGATGGACCTACGGCTCGTCTATTGAACGGATTAATTGTCGTTTGGCTGAAGGAACAAGTAAAATCAAACGAGGTTGTTATCACTTTTTAAGACGAAGACGATGGATACGCACTCGAGTTCGGACGCCCTTGTCTACGGAAGGAGCTGCACTCACTATGAAGAACAGCGTAGCACTGTCACGGAGCTCCGAGGACCATGATATTTGTGAATCAAAATTGTTGGAGAGTTTAGTAAAAACACATCGGTACTATCTCGTGTATCGAGACTCTCTCAAGGCATATTTTCAGCTAGGATCAACGAAACGACCGTTGAATTTCGTGCATGTGGACTTTACAGATGATGATATTCAGAAGGAAGGATGGTTGGGTGTTAGAGGCTCACTGTCACGTAAGTGGAAGCTACGCTATTTCTTGTTACGATGGGATTCATGCAGTCTTGTATGCTTGAGAGATCGAGCGTCGATGGTACAGGTGAGCGAAGAGCTTATTGATCGACACACGACGTTGTTGGTCGAGGAAGAGACCAAGCCACGTCAGTTCCACTTTTGTATATGTAATGGAGAGCATACACTACGATTGAATGCTGTGGATGGCACATCACGCGCTTCCTGGATCTCAGCGCTTAGTGAGATGATTGTTCGTAGTCGAGCGTCGTTTTTTGCAGCGGACGAGTCTGAAAGCAGCTCAAGAAGTCGAAGCTTTCGACGTGTGCGCTCGTCGGTGGAGGAAGACGGTTTGATCGTCAGTGCCTCGACGATTAACGAGGTGAATGGAGAAAGCAATGGCACCAAACAAAAGCACACTCGTGATGCTTGGAAACCATACAAGTTTATTTCATCAACGATGCAGTCGAAATGCAAAACGGACGCGAGGTGTCGTCGTGACTATGCGAAGCAGTTCAGTGAAGCTCTTCATGAAAGAATTGAGATGGCTATTGCATTCATATCCGAGAATATTGATATTTTGGAGGAAAATTTATGTACCGCGCAGGAGCTCTTACCATCGATATGGCCCTGTGTGCCTATGAAAGAGATTCGGAGACTACGAATAGAAACACATGCATCTATCACAGCGTTTCAGGATGACGCAAATGCATTGCTGAGTTCGGGTCAGACCAGTGTTCTTGAGTGTAACAAGCTGTTGAAAGAGCTGTATTTGTTAGTCCGTCGACTACAGGAAAGTGTCATATCCCTTGCCCCATCCCAGGAACACGCAACCATCAAGAAGATTGTAGCCGATTCTCCATCCAAGCGCCGAATTCCGCTTGATTGGTTTACGGAAGGCGTTTCCGCGGAGAAGGGGCTGCAGCCAACTAGTCTAAATGAAGAGAGTTATTTGTCTACAGCCACGTCAGACTCATTTGTTGGGAAGCTGGAGTCGTCATATACATCGGGATCTTCGCTTGAGATGAAGAGACCAAATTCTCTTAGTTTATCGAGGCATGACAAGCGAAGTTTATCTGTCCCAGAATCAAATCGCTCGAGCAGTACTGCGACCAGCTGCTACGGTCACGGCTTGCACTTTTCCGACACGATTAGGATAAAGCCGTACACCGAGATGCCAGCAGCATTGCGTGATGGTCATTTCGAGCTCCCCGAAGGTGTTAATGGATTCGTCGTAAAGGTTCATGACAAAGACGTCGGCTCTTTAATCGGATACACCCTTTGCTCGACAGCGTACATCAAGCAGCTGGAGGCGCATTTTGATGAAAAGGTGAATATTGCGGAAGAATTGCTTGCTGCTGAAAGCACGAGAAGCAGTGAAGTATCTGCGCCACCGCCGCCTTCAAGTGAGGAGGAGCTTCCTGTGGTTACCACACCAACAAATGATACTAAGTATACGCGCTCATGCGCCTCGACTACTACAGCCTCCGACGAGAAGAGAACGATTTATTTAAGCAAGTTGCGCTCGGCAGACTTGCAACATACTTCTATGAAGTTTTCGTATGCGGTTGGTTCGACAAATCACGAGTTTTGCTGCGTGGCATACTTTGCTGCGCAGTTCCACGCGCTGCGTGCGCTAACTGTTCCGGGGAACGCGGAGTTTCTGAACTCCATTGTTGAGAGCAAGCGGTGGGATACGAGTGGAGGTAAATCTGGCGCATTCTTTTCGATGGTAAGTTGGGGCTGTCTTTTGCTTTTCTCAATAAACTTTACTTCGCGGCTGTCACTTACGTAGCGAATGTGTTTGCAGACTCATGACAAACGTTACGTGCTGAAGGGTATATCGGTGACTGAGTTCAACATGTTTGTTCATATGGCTCCAAAGTATATTAAGTTTATTTCGCGAGTGGTGGAGGTTCCAGCGCCGACAGTCATTACAAAGATCGTTGGTCTGTTCAAGCTTAGCCATAGTCGACGTTTACTGAGGCACACGGAATACGTGGTGATCATGGAGAACTTTTCGTATGGATTTCCCCCGGGACAAATGTATGATCTTAAGGGAATTCTTCGCCGTCGATACAATGCATCTAACAGCGATGACAAGGACCATCATGCATCATTCAACAGCGTATCGAACGTTCAAGTTTCCATGAATCTGCCAGTATTGCTGGATGGCAACTTTTCGGAGCGTATCCCCGTGCCTGTGTCGCAGCCAGATCTGGAGATCATTGAGACTGCCATTCAGAACGACACTGGCTTCCTGTATCGTGCAGGTGTCATCGATTACTCACTGGTAGGTTTGTTTGTGTTTTTCAGGTAAGGTATTTTGTCACATATATTGACGTGTTGTATTGTTCTGGATGTCTGTAACGATAGTTGCTTCGCTTCGATGAAGACAAGCGGCAAGTTGTTGTAGGACTCATCGACTATTTGCATCAGTTTGATTTTTTAAAGAAGATGGAGTCGACTTCAAAGGCAAGCTTCACTTTCCGTGATCCGACAGTGATCAGTCCGATCTCTTACCGCCGTCGATTTATGAATGCCATAAGCCGTTATTTTGTTGGAATTGAGAAGGAGCTTGAGATTCGGATGCGCAAACGCTGTGGATTCAAATTGAAGTCCGACATGCCGCGTTTAAGCCCCGCTCTGACTGTTTCATCTGCAGTGGTGACTGCCGGTATCCTCAGCACATCAACTGTAACCGCTGCCCACAAGCTGCGGGCAGACGAAGAAAAGCACGCAAATGTTGCGGCACGGCTGGTCGACAATATGTCCCTTATAAGCGAGTCTTCACTCATCTCCGAGCCATCTCCAGCTAAATCGGAATGTCACTTGTCTACACTCGATAGCGACTGGACAAGCATGAAACCGCGAGGGCACTCGATATCGCACGTGTCGGATTATGAAGTTTACTGCGGCCGCGTCTCGCGAAGCGATTTCGATTACAACAGTTCGCCATGCTCTTCGTACGAATCGGTCACGAAATACTCGGCTTCTTCACACAATAACAATGTGATTCTGGAGGAGCACTGTTCCTGACAATACGACGCCCTCGGGCGGGTCTTGGCGAGGAGTACGGTCTGTTGAATTACCAAAGCTACATGTACTTAGGTACATGTAGTTTCGATGCTATAACGTGCGCGTGCAATTGTTATTGAAATGGTGACAAGCCACTTTTGTTGGAAGGATAATCTCGGTGTCGACTGTGAAGTTTGGAGGAAAGGCTGAGACAACAACACTATGACGTGATAATCAACAGCCTTCCATCCCACCGATCCGACGTTGTTGGTTCAAACGTCAGTGTATTTGGGCCAATTTGAGCAATAGTCGAGGATATTCCAATGCTATAGGAAATAGCTCTAGAGCTTCAAGAGCCAATATAGAATCAGTAAAGATGACTTGAGGTGCATACACGCATGCTTGTCTGACGTGACCGCATTAAATAATAAAAAATATAGAAACGCTACATTCAAAGCTCGAAGCGGTATTTGACGTAGCAACGAAAAAAGATCATTCGTCTAGCCTTTATACACGAGGTGTTATGCCACCTCGGAGCGAATTCCCCTAGAACGTGATTATGTCCGTTCCGATTCCGACCGGAGCTGCATGTCAGGGATCAGTCAGACTGGCCCGTCTGGGACAGCCGATTTGGTACCCGGTCTTACTTAGAAGGCACGACATGCCCCCTGCATATGCTCATGTTTGGTCCTACGTGCCTTTTTGGAGTGTCCCTCGTGAAGATTGTCGGGTTAAGCCAGCAGAATAAGCTCGTGCATAGGAGAATGACGTAGTCATGACAGGGATTTTCCTCTCCGATATATATCTGAAGCAATCATAAAGATGTAATAGACAATCTGATCATCATCATCATCTTGTCATCATCTTGTCATCGTTACTTCCAGACGATGTATGAGCTCACTCTACATTCTACAATGTCATTGCAATACTTTTTTTCATTAGTAGAATCCATCAATGGGTCATGAGGAACACCACTGATTAGTCAGTGGTTATGATACAAGGTAGCAAAAGTCTTGGCACGGCCTATGAAGGATGTATGGTTGAGCCTGAGTCTCAGTTTATTAGGATAACACGCCCCATCCTTTGCCAGTCTAACTCCAGTCTGAATACGCAGCAATGGATCAGCCATGGTGATGCTCTAGCCGACATTGCAGCTGCCGGTCATTGCACCGGCTCATATCAACCGTTGAATCTTCAAGCGTACTCCATCTTTGGTTTGTAAGAAGGATAGCGGACCACTGACAACCACTTGATATTTTCCATTGTGCGCTCCAGAGCACAAGTGCATTGTTCAGTAGTTCGTAGAAAACTTTCTCTTCCTCTGGGCAGTACCACCTGCAACAATTATGCCATCGGATACTGCGTACCAGGTGCGATCTTCTCCAAACGGGTCATTGAGCACTTGTGAACCGATAAACAATGACGAAGACCTTTCATTGAGAGAGTACTGCAGCACGCGGATTACCACACTCAAGCCGCCCATGAACAACGTCAATAACCCGTTCGTGGTACTCTCACAGCTCAACCGCATACAGTGGCTACAATTCCTGGTGGCTTTCGTTGCTTGGACGTGGGACGCTTTCGATTTCTTTACCGTTTCCATGACGGTATCAGACCTGTCCGAGACCTTTGGGAAGACCAAGACTGACATCACATGGGGTATTACGCTCGTGCTTATGCTACGTTCCGTGGGCTCCATTACCTTTGGTATTGCCTCTGATCGATGGGGACGCAAGTGGCCCTTTGTGGTAAACAACGTTTTATTCATCGTCCTGGAGTTAGCCACTGGTTTCTGTCAGACCTACACACAGTTCCTATGGATCCGTGCGCTCTTTGGTATTGCTATGGGTGGCCTGTACGGCAACGTTGCTGCGACAGCCCTTGAAGACTGCCCTCTAGCTGCTCGTGGTATTGTATCGGGTATGATGCAACAAGGATACGCTTTCGGCTACCTCTTAGCTGTTGTATTTGCTCGCGCTCTCGTCAATACCACGAGCCATGGCTGGCGTCCACTCTTCTGGTTTGGAGCTTGTCCACCAATTCTCATCATCATTTTCCGCTTGTGCTTACCGGAGACAAAGGTGTTCCAGGAACGTCAGCGTGTGCGTGAGGCGAGTCAGAACATGACCCGGACTTTCATAGCTGAAGGCAAGATTGCATTGAAGCGCCACTGGCTGCTACTCTGCTACATGGTTCTTCTCATGGCAGGATTCAACTTCATGGTACGTCCATGTGTCCGTGTTACTGTACTCATGATAATACTGATTATTCGAACGCATGTGAATACAGTCTCACGGTTCGCAGGACCTGTATCCGACTATGCTGAAAAACCAGTTCGAGTTCAGCCCCAACCAGGTCACTGTGATTCAGGTCGTGGCCAACCTGGGCGCTATTTGCGGTGGTACTACGGTGGGCTACTACTCGCAGGTCTTTGGCCGTCGCTTGTCAATTCTCGTCGTGACAGTCATCGGTGCTGCGCTCTTGTATCCGTACTGTTACCTCAGCAATGAGACCATTATGATCGCTGCATTTTTTGAGCAGTTCTGCGTTCAGGGCGCTTGGGGTGTCATCCCCATCCATCTCATGGAGCTGTCACCTCCATCCTACAGTGCCTTTGTCGTTGGGACGGCCTATCAACTCGGTAATCTGGTTTCGTCGGCCTCGTCAACCATTGAAGCTTCACTTGGAGAGCACTTCCCGCTGCCGGACGGCGAGAACAGTGTGAGCCGATACGAGTACGGCAAAGTCATCTGCGTCTTCTTGGGTATTGTGTATGTCTATGTATTCTTGCTCACGCTTATTGGGCCTGAGGCTCGTGGCAAGGAATTCGATGCGAAACACGATCACGATCTTGAAGAGGCTGCTCACATCAACTCTGAGGATCTGGACAAGATTTTGTACGCCAATGAAGAGACCTCTACCGGAGCAAAGTCCATGAACGGATGAGCTTGTGAATGAATCACGATGCCGCCAATTTAATGACTTTGTGTAGTGCTGTATGTGAGATGCAAGAAGTAATGAAACTTTGGTATTCAACGCTGCCATTTAGATGTTCTGACGACGTCGGTGAAGGCTGGAGAGACACAACGTATTATCAAGTGTCTGGATGTGCGCAATGATGTTTGGAATTAAATATGCGCTACCAACAAAAAGTAGCCTCCTCCTGCAGTATGAGCAACTCTTCGATGCTGACTTGCTAAGGTGCTAGCTAAGTCAAGCAAGTTTAGTAGGGTGGACTGAAGTAGAACTGGCCTTTATACACGCACTTGGCGAACAACGTGGGCTTCCTTGACGGCATCATCACCCTGCTTTGCTTCTGCATGTGTACAATTGACTGACTTGATTACGACGAAGATATCTTCGTGAGACGGTAGAAGACGTATTTGTCCTGGAAAAAAGAGACTGTCGCGGCGATCGGCTCGATCAGACCTTCGTCCAGGAGCGCCTGCCCGATCAGCACAGCGTCAATGAGTGTAGTAGCAATGCGCATCTCGCGGATGACATTCACAGCCTCAGCGCCCAAAAAGCAGCCAACAAAGCCCTTGTAGAACAGAAGTTTGTTCTTGCGCTCGAACATCTTATACAGCACCTTCGCCAGCACGTGCAACGTCTCTTCCGTTACAAATGCATGCACCTCGTCGGTAGCTGTGGCAAAATCGTACTCGACCAAATCTGCGGACTCGTTCGAGAGCACTGACTCACGGTAATTGTTAGCGTTGATCGACGTGCGTCTCCGCGTAGCTGTATCCGAGGCAAAAGCCTCCGATGTGTCTTCATAATCAAGCACCTTGGTAAATCTGTAAAAGTTGTCCTTAGAGTTGTGCAACTGGTCGTCCGTTCGGGAAACATGCTCAATAAATCCAAGTCGCACAAGGACATTGCCATATCTCGTAGCTGTCGGATGGTCTTCAGCAAAGCCACTTGTCAGCATCTCACGAACAGCGTCACCTCCCGTAAAAGCATCTTTGTAAAAGTTAAACCTCGAGTGTCGAGTCTTGACCTCAAGCGCGGAATTGAGAAAACGGCACAACGACTGGAAAAACTCCTTCGGCAGTCCCTCATGGAACGAAATGTTGATACTTTTGAGTCGTTCCAGTCTAGCTTCCTTCAAAGGTGCGAGATCTCCCACCATTGAGATGGAGCTAGCAATGGAACTACTGCTGGCTGGATCATCATCATACAGATTTCCGTCTTCTGTCGTCTCCATTTCCAGTTCATGTTGCTCACCATCAGAGTCCAGTCTGTTCAGGGACAAGTGTCCATTCGTATCATCCTCTCGGTTCCTGTCCACGTCATATTCTCTGTCCTCTTCAAGCGACGAAGATGAGTTGATCGTGGAATTCGTCGATCGGTCCATCGCTAAATTGTCCTCAGAAAGAGACGATGCCTCAGTGCTGCCATAACTCGACGATGGCGTCGACCTCGTTGGGTTTTCCCCAAGTTCTGCGATGCTAGAGCTAACACGCGACGGTCGCGAAAGACGCTCCGTCTTTCTATCGAACTGTTTAAAGTCTACGAGATCCTCCATAGACTCGCGAATGCTTACAATTTTGTCCAGTGCCTGTGTAGTCCGTGCTAGCAACGCGCGAATCTCGTCCTGCGACGACCGATGGCCTACAAGCGGCAGAGGAGGATGTGATCGACCCGCCATAGAGGAAAACTGGATGGGATCGAGCTTGGGACCTGTGACGGTAGCGTCCGGCGGTAACAGTGACGATTTAGGTACCAAAGAGTGTTCGTACTCGTGCTTCTCCTCGTCTTCGGGTTGCTGCTGACCTCGAGACAAAGCACGAGAGAAATACCTGCTCATAAGGACGACCAGAAAGTGACCGACTTACTGGCTTTTTACGACGAGCCAGTGAGACAATTTATAGTCGACCCAAATTAATGTTTATGTCTACTTTGTGAACCTTCTCTGTGCGTCCATCTGGTTGCTAGCTTTTATCCATATGGGTTGACGGAACCCTAGACATCATCACATTCGGTTTTTCTATGTACTGTCCACGATGTTTTTACATCATCCTAATATGTCTCCTCTATCCAATACCTCGAAAGTCTCTTGCGTGTTGCTTTGTACGTGATAGTCGCACGTCATAGATACAGCCAATCGAGCTTTTAGCACTAACTGCCTCGATAATGGAACTGCCTTGATGATAGAGCATTATGCACAAACCATTCGACAAATCTCTACATTTTGGGTCGGATACTTTCTAAAATTGGGACTATCCCCAAACTAACACGTATGTGTCTGATTGGTCATAAACATATTAACCACAATGAAGCCATGTCCTTCATTACCATCTGTTTTCATTACCTATCAAAGATCATCATTATTACCTATAAAAGATCATCATCATTTTAGATTTTTCTTTTTCTGGTTGAAGTTGCAATCCAAAACACCATCACTCTTCGACCATGAATGCATTCCATTCAAATGTAGCCATCTTCAAAGATACCAATGCCTGTCTCCGTATCGGCGCCGCCATGTACGATATCACAGGTCCCGCTGCTGAAGCTGGTATGTTTGGTTATGTGAAAATGGGTCAATTGACTTCTGGGATCCACATGCGTCTACGAGCCCGTGCTTTTGCTTTCCATGACATACAGACAGACACTCACTGTGTCTTTGTCTGTGCTGAGCTTGGAATGGTGTCGGAATGGGTTACACAGGCAGTTGTGGATAGACTTGAGACACATTCAAAGCTGCCAAAAGGCACGTACAGTCGAGAGAATGTCATGCTTAGTGCTACACACACCCATTGTTCACCTGGTGGCTTATCCCATTACTTTATTTATAGTGTACATCCACCTCTACATGGTGCAGATAGACAGAATTTAGAATGTGTTGTCTCTGGCATTGTTGAAGCAATTGTGAGAGCTCATGAATACTTGCAGCCAGCAATGATCCGAGTTTCAACTGGACATTGTCTTGGTGCATCCGTTAATCGATCAATTGATGCGTATCTATCTAATCCAGAAGAAGAACGTGCTCACTATAAATACGATACGGATAAGACCATGGCATTATGGAGGTTTGATGGACTAAATGGATATCCTATTGGAATGATCAATTGGTTTGCAGTCCATCCAACAAGTATGGGGAATTGGTACACGTTAATTACAGGAGATAATAAAGGATATGCAGCGTATGAATTTGAACGGGAGCAAGGTACAAAACACTTGATGGATAGACCGAAAGCATTTGTTGCAGCCTTTGCACAGAGCAACGAAGGAGATGTAAGCCCGAATATATGTGGACCGAGACATCCGAGCACGCAACACCAGGACTATGAACGAATGGTGACGGTCGCAAATGCACAGCTAGATACTGCAAGGAAGTTGTATGCTGAAGCACTGACGACGCCGCCTATTGCAGGACAGATCAGGTTCGCCCACGAGTACGTCGACTACTGCAGTATTCCGCTTCAGAAACGTTGGCAATTATATACTGAGTGTTCGACGTCGACTTCGTCTGGGTGCATTGGCGTCTCAATGGTCAGTGGCACGGAGTTTGATGGTCGAGGTGTGTATGCAGTGAAGGAAGGAATCAAGTGGGGAATGTATCCGAAGATGACAACCCTGCCGGAACTTCAATCACTGCATAAGGAGAAACCGATCATTTTCCCGACAGCACGATACGGAATGTCCCCACAAATTTTACCGCTGCAAGTATTTGGCTTTGCGGAGTGTTTGCATATTGCGGCTGTTCCCTTTGAGATGACGACGATGGCTGGAAGACGTCTACGAGCATCACTTTACACATCTATTCAAGAGTTGTCACCGAGAGGCAAGACAATACACGAACCTGTTATCGCTGGACTTACCAATGCATACTGTGGCTACTTGACTACGAGGGAAGAGTACGCTGTGCAGCGTTATGAAGGTGCATCAACTCATTTCGGTCCCAACCAGCTGGTAGCTACGTGCCAACAGTTTCAAATTCTTGCGGCGGTCATGTATCACAGCCGCAAAGCCAAGCCTGGTCAAAAGTTGCTTGCCAATTCTGGGTTACCACCTCCAAGCATCAAGGGAATGGGGGTGTTAGACTACAATATTTCTGTCATTCATGACGGTGTCGCCTATGGTGCATCATTCGGTAGTGTTGTTGACGGTGCTAATGCGCTGGCGGAATACAGATCGGGATCTACTGTCAAAGTACGCTTTCACGCGGCGCATCCGAAGAACAATTTGCGAATCCAAGGTACATTTCTGGAGGTGCAGCGTTGGATGATGGACACCAGTCGCAAAGGTAAAGGCATTTGGGTAATTTTTGCGGACGATGGCGACACGAATACTACGTTTAGCTGGGAGCGACAGGGTACCTTCCGATCCGTCGTCACCATTGAGTGGCTAATTTCAGAAACCACTCCTAGCGGAAAATATCGCATTAAAGTCAACGGCGACTGCAAGCACATGCTTTGGCAAACTGTGACTCCCTATTCTGGGGTGTCGTCCACTTTCCAAGTTGTAGGTCCAGGTGCTCCTGCTTGACAGCACTGAAGCGCTTCAGTGGGGATATTCGATACAAAATATCACCATACTCGTACTGCCATTTTGAAGTAAGTTGTTTTTTGCTTACGACGAGTTTGCAGCGAGCAGTTTAGGACGAGTCGATTATAAATATCGGGGCATGATGGAAGTCGTGCACAAACACACAATGGTAACAAGGTACGGATTGATTTACGTTTGCAGCTACACTTTTGCTTTGACTACAAATCAGGCAGGTAGCAAGAGATAAGGTAGCTGCAAATGGAAGCGCGTCAGCGGACGATGCAACATAAAATCTGACAAAACGGTCTGCCATCAAGTCACGCTACAACTACAACTCTCGATACGTGCACTGTTTGATTTGATGCATCGCTGATCTTTCAACAGCAAGCATCAAGGGTGTTTGTGGCTTTTCTTGAAGTCGTCAAGAACAATCGGATGGAGTACGCAACAATGTGGCGTTCAAAGAACATCTTGAAGCTCACGTGATAGCGATTCGATTGGCGATTCTCTATTACGTGAGCTTTAGGATGTTCTAGGAATGATCGATCTTTTAGTGAATTCGCCATGGAGTATTACGGAATACGATGGACTTTGTCAGACAAAGTGACACAACTTTATAATGCTGTACGGTTGGGTGTAGTTCTGCTTCTACTTACAGACTACAGCCGTGCAAGTGAGGATGCTGAAGACGAGGCAACTAAGTGCCACAAACACTACGCATCCAAATTTAGGTACTTGAATGAAGAGATCGACGTGACACTCCAAGTGTGTATCACAACCAAGGAGAAGGATGCTGGCTAGAGCTCCGTTGGTCTGGAACTATACAATGTTTAACCGAGATCCTCGTACCGCTCTTTGATCGCCGCGCAAAATCAGTTTGAAGACGCTACTGAGAAACTAGCAAGACTTCGGAGAGAGCTAGTGCAGCAACATTGATAGTTTCAATCCAGCTATCTGTAAGATCGTGGTGAGTTGCAGCCAATTGATCGTGCCTCGACAGCAACGGAATTACAGGCTTGTAATGGCGTGTACCTAATTTGAAGAACAACCGTCTCGCTTGCAAAAGAAATATAAACCAAACGAACTATTGTGGCACGTAGGACTACAAACAACGTAACGAGGAGCTTGGGTTTCACTAGGCTTTCAAATGGCTGCACAATGGCTGCAAATGACATGTAAGGTATCATTGTGTAACGAATTCTGTCGCAACGTCCGTGTAATCAGCTTGTAATTTGTTTTCGTAGATGCAGGCAAGTTTTGGCTTTGCCACTCTTGATGACACCATGCACAAGGAAATGGTGCTAACAAAGCCTCAGGGAAGTCAAAGTGGCCTACGCACCAGAGCCATCGCCATCGTGTTGATTACGCCTTTCGAAAGGTAAGACAAGACAAACGGTTATGTTAGAGCAGATAGTTAACGGAGTAGTGGGCAGTCCTAAAGGCTTTCTCCTGCAATATTATATCGTCATATTCAAAGCGTGAGGTATGCTCGCAAAATACGGCTATGTGCAACCAAACGAGCGCTGCCTTAGGCACCCGAAGCGAGCGGACGTATACACCACGACACGATTAGTCCACCTTTCTTGCCCCATGTATTTTTTATCATCTGGAGACAAAGTTTATGTAGCATCTTGGCCCGTATATGTCGCCACGGCAATCAATGAAGGACTATCCATTAGTGCTTAAATAAACATGAACAGCCTTGCTTTGTCGACTCAACGGTTGACTGACTTACAACATGCTGAACGTGCTTTGCTGCAGATGAGGTAAGATTGCGGTCATACTACCTGTGGTCATTGCTACAAACATTCAAACAACGATACAGTACGTGCGAAGCACGGTGCGTTGTTTTTCTGTGACCAAGGCAGATGTCGGAGGTGGAGCTCAAGAAATACCATGGAGCACCAAGTAAGTATGTTGTTATTAGGCAGGCAAATGCGACCACGATCGTACGAAAGGAAGGTATCGATGCAAGGTTTACATACCACCTATAAGTTTACGATGCATATTCTTCCGACCTGCGTCCGACGTTGCACGCTATCTACGGAAAACGAAAAGCACCGTTGGGGTTTAACTCGCGGTGCACTTGAAAAAAGCACGCTTTGCCATAAACGGTTGGCGGGGGCTCCGAATTCGAAACGTGCCAATGTGTCCAATCTTTTATGTCAGGGGATGTCCCCTCTGCCGGTATCGTTAGTCTCGATCGAGACGATGGCACGGGATATAGAGAGTATTCCTGCTTGACGGCACGGTCGAGCAGAGAAACGGCTTCCCCACCCAGTTGATTTGACATACCATGTGGAAGTTCATCATGGATTTGTCGGTCTATCCCTCTCTTCGTACCGCCTACACTGTGCACATGTAATGACTCGACGTGTTTGCGGCTTAGTAAACCGGCCCCATGAGAGCAAGTTGCAAATCTCATGTGGTTCCGATTCTCTTCTCGCCCCCGCTCCATTTTGCGTGCGCCAGTGCAAGACTGACTTTGTGCAATGCCCTACCTTTTTGAGCCATCAGTTTTTGTTTTCGGGTTGAAGCGAGACTTCCGAGCTCCTCGTCGGTCGCGACAAGTCGTGCATTACTTAAAGCATCAGCGATTGCACTCGTACAGTCGATATGAACATGACCTTTAGTCGCGTGGACGCTCAGGCCATTGCCAGACGCAACGAGATACCAAAGCACTCTTTGCCTCTTCGACGAGGCCATTTCGGTCGTGTGCGCATGACCAAAGAAGACGTACGCAAATACATCGCCTTAGCCAAAGATCTACTGGGTGATGCCCTGAACAAGGCACACGCAGACCGTCAAGTAGGCAACATCGACTACCGCACGTGGAAACAGCTCGGATCGCACGCCGGATTTAAGCGTCTCACCACAACGGGTGACAATAGCAGAGACATGCATTACCGTCTACAAGGTCATGTGCGAGCCTCACTTGATGACCTCATGGACGTCATATACGCGGACTCGACGGCGCAGGTAATAAAGCGTCGTCAAGTTCTTTACAACGACAGCTTGGATGCACAGACATTGTGTGTGCTTAAGGAACGCAATGCAGAGAATATGCACGAGCACATTTCAATTCGTTGGGAGGCGATTAACCTGAGCAACAACAGTCCTATCTACCAGCGGGATATGTGTTTCCTCGAGTTCACGGGCGTGGCCACAGACATAGATGGTCTTCCAGTGGGCTTTATGATCAAGCAGGCTCTCGAACGCAACGAGTGCGTGTCGCTCAAGGAGTCGCATGGACTGGCACGACATGATTTCACGGAGGTCATGCTGTTGCGAGCAAAGGATAATGCCAGCCACACAGAAATTATACTGGACGGTGCTATCCGGCATCCTCAAAACCTTCCGGGATGGCTCGTTCACTCTTTTCTTGAAAACATGGCAACGTGTTTAAGTAAATTGCCGATCATCGTGCAGGAAAAGTTGTTGGCCAGGTTGCCGGTGATCAAGGACTGGCAGTTTGTGCCTCATTCGACTCGCAAGAACTGCCACGTTTGTGCGAGCAAATTCGGCATGCTATCGAAGAAAATTAGCTGCCGTAGTTGCGGTGAAGTGGCCTGCAAGTCTTGCATCGTGACGCGCACGGTGGGCGAGAAGACCAAGTTCTGCACTAAGTGTATCCTCATGGTATCGTCCCAGTCCGAATCCATCGTTCAGTCCGAATGTGGATCGGCCTCCTACATCACATCCTCATCTTCTGAACGAAGTCGCAGTGATCGGAAGTCTCAAGTCTCATCGCCCTCCATGCACAGTAAGACCGACGCTAAGATTGTGCCCAGGATGCGTGTCGACATGAGGCTTCTGGATGATGCCAAGGCTTGGCGCCGCAACTGCAGCATTGCTAGTATTGCTAGCAAAACGAGCTCGAACTCGTACTACAAGAACCGCTGCAGCGGTGACACTGCATGCTATGGTTTAGTAGACGAAGAGGTTATTGAGACGTTAGACACGACTCAAATGACTCGATCCGGTCGTGGCTTGTCACCCGTGTTGCTTAGTCAGTGTAATCGATTGGCGCCTACGGCCGAAACTGTGGAGGACTCGATTGCTCACCAGCGACATCTGCTGAAAAAAATGTTGTCGCAGGCAAAAATCTACCAGCAGCAGCAGACAAGGGCGTAAGGATGCTTCTCGAATTTGCTTTCCAATGGAAGAAAGTTTAAGCTACGGGCTACGAGAAAATGTGTGTCTTCTAGCCACTATAGTTGATGGTGACTGATCTAACCTTTTACTGCAATTCTAGGAAAGCAAGGAGTGGTTAGTCGTGGTATTTATTCCGTAATGAACTTTGTCGCCTTACAGTTTCAGGTCTTATAGTTTCTCGGTTGAATGTCTCCATATATAGGCGTTTACAAACATAAAAGAACCGGCCTCTGAGCCTTCAGCGACGATAGTTATCTAAGATGTTCAGCCTAATTAGCAAGGGCTTGTTGGCAAAGCAAAACACCCAAGTAGACGGCACAATCGTGGCATTACGCAAATTCAAATAAGATTATGCTGTCTTGTGCAGCCAAAGCAATATCAAGTAAGGAACTTTTGCCGTGGCTTCGGATGAATCTTGGAGAAAACGTCAATGAGGTGTCGAACGAACAAATCTCTGAAGTCTGAAACCGTCTTCAGGTAGCACCTATAAAATAGTAATAGGACCAGTCATAAAAAGACTGTCCATGTCAAGTATGACAGCTGTTAAGTTGATTAGGCGTGATCCCATGGTAAACATGCTTCTTCTTGAGACGAAGCCTTCTTTTTTTTATTCGAAAGTCCTAGTGGCAAATGTAATAGACTCATCTATAAGGCTCGAATGCTCGGCGTAACAAACATGCATTGTTTTTTACACATGGATTCATATTTATCCCTATCAATATGAATTTAGAACCTGTCGATATATTTTATTGTAGCAGATCTGGAACGTCTAATGTTTTCCCAATTTTCAGTTCAGCAAAGGCATTAAAGTGTCTGCTTCGACGAACAACAGGTAGCACTTGGAGCCACGACACCACGCAACACGCACCTCCCAAGCAAAACTACTTTAACAAGCACAAAGCTTCTTCTACTCCAAGATGCCGCTAGGAGAAAAGCTTGGTCGTCCATTTGAGATGCTGTCGCTCATTGGCCGTAAACGCAAGGACGAGTCACCGGCACCCCACCACCGCCTCAGCAGTGCGGAGGCACGTGCCTACGCCAACGCCACAGGTTCTGCCTCTGCAGGATATTCATACAGCTTTCGTAACAGCAGTAGCTCCTACCCTGGGATTAAATACGAGCGTCTCACGTCGGCCACCCGATCGGCTCCCGTCGTTCAGTACGAACGTCTTACTCCAGGTTCTGCTGCATCTACAGCCTCTGGTGCTGCTCCTATTGGCTCTGAAAGTACTCATCCATTGCCTCTAGATTATGAGGCTGCAGCACGTGAAGCAGCGTTTCCCAGCCCTGATTTAGTGACGTCTGCGACGGTTGCCTCCAGCTCGTTCCGCACGGCGCCATCCCCTGCCTTGTCATCTCTACCATCTCCTGGAATGCTCACGCCGCTTACGCCCGCAGTTGGAGTGACTTATAATCCTGTTGGACGCAGCCCTGTTGTCGATACGATTCGGGTACGTCCGCCGCGCAATGTAGCAAGCCCGGCTCAGCTTCCGCTCGGCCCTGCGGGTGCACCATCCGCACCCTTCTCTTGTGTGATGGAGGAGTGGATGAGTCAGTTGAGATCTCCTACACCAGATGTGACGCTCTTACCATCGCCCTGCGACTTCAACAAGGACACACCTACACCCCTGGATACCAACAGTATGGATCTCCGACGGCTACGGGATGCGCTATTACCCACACCTCCGCCGGATATACATGATCAACGACAACACCCTAAGAATTCGGCGTACGTGACTACATGTGGGCCTCGTCCACTGTTTGAGGACATTGCGTCCTTGTGCCGTGATTTAAATTCACAAGATCTTTCTGGCGCTAATAAGGGAAGACTGCCGTCGTCTAGCGGACAGATAGCAACCAAGTATAACTCGCTCCCGGCTAGACCGCTGCGTGCTCGTGAGGAAAGTATCTGCAGCGCATATTCGGACGAAGGAGAGAGTCAAGCGAGGATGCTGGCAGCAGCTGCCGCGCTCAGCAGCGTTTCGTCAATGGGGATGTCTAGTACTTCGATGTATGCTAGCTCTAGCTCGGGTACTAAGGGCAAGCGACGCAAGATGTGCACAGCTGAAGGATGCCAAAATCTGTCGCGTTCTCGAGGATTATGCAAGGCCCATGGAGGAGGGAGGCGGTGCAGCATTGATGGCTGTTCACGTGCTAGCCAGAGTGGCAGCTTATGTATCACTCATGGAGGTGGCAAGCGCTGTACAGTAGATGGATGTATGAAAGCAGCACAGTCGCGCGGCATGTGCAAGGCTCACGGAGGTGGTGTGCGCTGCCGTGTGGAAGATTGCACTAAGAGCTCGCAGGGTGATGGGTTCTGCCGCTCACATGGTGGTGGTCGACGGTGTGGCCACCCGAGTGGTTGTTCTAAATGGGCCCAGCGTAATGGAATGTGCATGGCTCATAGCGAGGGAAAGTATGGCAACAGTTATCGTGGCCGCCAATACCGGATGGAACTGAGCGATCCTGTAGTCCAGCAGACTTGAAGAACATGAGTGTGACGAATTACACCGCTCTGAATCATCAGCCGTGATACGTTTGTAGCGAATCGACTGAGGGGCACGTACCAGCAGTACTATTGAGGAGAAGATGAAAGGGGTAGACCTCCCCTTGCACGCGAGCGTGTTTCTCACGAATGAAGTGAGTCACCGCCGAGTGCACCTGTGTCAGTTGTTTTCATGTATATATTATTCTTTCCTCAATACCGATTGCGAAGTCCAGAGTACGTGTATGCGCTACTCAAAGATATGAAGGAAATTAACTTTGATCACTTGTTTCTTAAATGTATTAAATGGATTGAGGCAAGCGCATGTGCGTAGTAATACGAAGATCACTTCGTTTTACTGCACGTTCCCTTACCTCAGTCGTACTCAAGTAGCTGCAGCAATAAGCCTTAGCAAAAACCTTTTAGCTGCAGACGTGACTGGTGGAGTTTCTATATCGGTGCACTTCGTAAAAGCTACACCGCTGAGCCAGGGGGAACGGACGCCATAGACCCCCATATGATTGTACCTATGGCTTAATCATAGGATTACTCACGTGTGAGTACAGATGCAACACAAGTACCGATATTGTCTGATATTTCCAGTGTGACAAGCAAATTCAATCTGAGCGAGCCTTTGCGTGGGTCGCTTCCTCGCGCTCGATGACGTAGTATTTTTGTCACAAGACTGAGTCTAACAGAACCTCGTGACCGACCGTGAGATGCCGACAACAGTTGTTTGTATTCGAGCGTTTCCGCTTATTTGTCCTGATGTCTTTTAAATTTGTCACTACTGCGAAGACCGAACAAGTCGCTACGATAATGAAACCAAGTCACAAGAAATTTATTCTTAAGGGGGTGTTGCCTTACAGAAACTGCATCATAATCGTGTTCGACCAGCTTTCTCTCCATCTATGTGACATGCCGGATGAAATTGTGGATACATTGCGAAATAATGGCACCAACTTGAATTTACGAACGTGGTTTAAACACTATCTTTTATAATTACACGACTATTTATGTGAGCTCCTACCCTAATCCCTCCTTGCGTATTTGAGTGCACAAGTTCGACAAAAATCTAGCGTTCTAAATGTTGGGTTATATACTACTCCGTTTATAATCGAGTCTGTCTGGGAATGTGAGTATCTATTCTCAAAGAATAAAGTGAGTTGGATGCACTTTCGGCAGTGTGACAATGCAGGTGGCCAGCAGCCAGCATACAGTATGATTATCGGATTTAGTAGTAGACAAATTTTATTTTATGATATTCTTCTAAAAAAAATAGATCAACCAAGTGTTTCAGAGCCTACCCAATTATTGAGTAAATCAGGCGGCGTACGGCTACGTTCAAGGCATTAAAAGACATAGTGCGCAAAAAAAGAACGTGTCACGTGGCTTCCCGGATGCTATGACACTATCAAAGCAACATCGAGATATTTTAATCATTTCCCGCGCAGATTGCCTAGTATAATCAACAAATGAAAAACACCGACTCAAGTAACTGAACGTGGGGTGGAAAGCCAAAAGCGCTGAGGGATCAGCTAAATGAGCAATGACGTAGATCTATCAAGGCGGCTAGTTTCAGCAACGACTTACGGGATGACGCCTCGTAAAGTACTATGTCGAATCCGACCAAATAAGGTGGGAAGAGAATCTTGTTGAGTGATGATGACGATGATGATACTTTCGAGGTTTGGTGAGCACTTGCTCGATTGAAACGATTGCGAGATAGGTTTGATGCTAAGGACCTTCCTTAATAGCTCTGGTCTCCTCGTATCCATTTGTGCTCATCACTGAGGCTTGAAAACGACAACATCCTTATTACAAATTGATTGTTTGGGTGCCCGATGGAGTTAACGTATGGTTTAATTCTATAGCATAGTACTCCGCTGAAAAGGTGACCTTGTTTCAATATTAAAAGAGCTCTTTTGTCCTTTTGTACAAAAAACAAAGAAGAGCAATTGTATTAGTACTACTTGTAAAACTGTTTTTATTATAGCAATCTTTAATTGTAGAATTTAAAAACGCCACAATGCGTTTTTACTCGTTTCGTCACTACTTCCCACCCTTCAAACTCGGTATCGAAGAGACAATCCTTACAAACGGGCCAAAGTGAAAATGGCAGTGGACGAGGCTCAGATTAGTGCAAGCGTGCAGGCTCGAGCCGTGCAAGTGCAACAGCTGCTTAGTCAGCGCAAGCACGAGGATGCGGTGCGTGTGGCGCTGGAGGAACCGCCGCTGTACTCAAAGAACAACGCGGTGAAGGACGAGAACGCCAAGGTGGTGATGGGCGCGCTGTTGGCTTGTAACAAGGGCGAGATGCAACGTGCTATTGACTCACTCAGTATCCCAATGGAGGACAGTCTTATGAAGTATCTCATGCGCTTCCTCGGGGCTGCATCACAGAGTGCAGCTATACTCGAATGGCACCAGAAACTTGTACTCAAAGCTGGCTCGGGCTGCGTCATGCGCGCCTTTACGGATCGGAAGCAGGTCTGAGCAGTTGCAGAGCTTACAGATCTAAGCGACATATACATAAAGGAGATAAGTCATTTGGACATAAGGAATTTGCACATTGTTGTCATGGAAGAGGAGTGCGTTGTTCACGACGCGAGAATACTGTTAGATAAATTAAGCTCAGAAGGAAGGGGGAGTCTCACAGGAGGTACTTCCAGCTACAAACGCCTTGATCAATTGCAGAGTCGGGTTGGTATCAAGGCCTTTGCCAGCGAGATGCTGGACAATGCTAAAGTGGTTGCAATCAGATACGGTGTGTCGTCGAATGCTGGTCTGCACAAGCAGCAAAGTAGTTAGTAGACCAGAAGGATATTAACGCATGGTGATACTTCAGAACGAACATTTCCGGCTGCAAGTAGCCACCGCTCGAGTTCTAAAGTGTCTTCTTGAAAGTGAAAATCCTCTTGGGCATTTACTAGCAGCAGTGGCATTCTTATGAGTGGCGAGGTCGATCCGATTCGCGCGACAGTCATCCCGATTGACGCCTCTCTCCATTGCTCGACACGCTCACCAAACGATGGATTTGTCACGAATGGTCCATAGAACGACGCGTTTGCGAGTCGCACGATGTTGTAAACACCCGAGATGCCCACAGCTCCTCTGACAAATGTATCAACCGGCTGCTTCATTCCTGCTGCTGTCAGATATTGTGGGTCAGCAAGGAGCTGCATGACCAAATGGGCACCGGCACTGTATCCGACCAGCACCAACTTGTCGGGATCACCACCAAACTGTTAATTGGAATCAAAGATTCATGAGTTCCATCAAAACTTCTTTAGCCCAAGCTCAACGGTATCACCTTGTCAATATTCCGGTGTAACCACGTTACAGCAGCTGCAACATCATTGACATGTATGGGGTGTTGTACGTCCGGTGACAATCGATAATTAACGGAAACGCCTAAATATCCAGCACGAACGAACGCTTCATCAATGCCTTGGTTTAATTCACCGCTCTTGTCCCCCTGCTGCCATGATCCGCCATGAACAAACACACACGTAGGTAGCTTAGCACACAAAGGAAGTCTCTGTGGGATCGCAATGTCTAAAGCCTGTAACGCATGTGGAGACTCTGCCACATACGCCACCTCTTTCCAGGTATAAGCACTAAGTAGAGAAACCGTTTGCCGCAGCATCAGATCGATCTTGTTAAAGTGACGATATCAAAAGATAAGTATACATTTACCGCTCGTCAAAAGCACACTTATTTCGTATAAGTAAACATAATATAAGACCATTGCAACAATGGCGGCGCGAGCAAACGTACGTATATCGAGAGCCTTTGCGTCTGCCTTGGACTGTCTGTTACTTACCTTTATTATACTGTCATGTCTCATTTTTAGTACCGGGCGTCGATTCAGTTCCCAAATGCACATAGCGACGGTATCTGGAGCACGTTCTGGACGTCGAATGACAAAATTTTGACAGGATCCGTAGACGAAGTTGCTAAAGTTTGGTGCGTCTGCATTTGTTAATGATGTGCTAATACGAGAGAAAAAGAGGAAATGTGAACTCTATTGTGATACAATGACCTGCTGTAGGGACGTGACTGAGGACGCTGTGTCCATCTCGCAGCAGTATCCAGGTCACGTACTGGGCACGATCTCCATTGTCGGCAATAAGGCGGGTACACACGCTGTCACAAGCTCTCTGGACTGTCAGATCCGTGTGCTTAACCTCTCGTCGGGTGCAGTGGAGAAGACCATTGATGCCGGTCCTGGTGAGCTCTGGCAGCTTGCCTACAGCCCTGACGAGACCAAACTCGTGTCGGGCAGTCAACAAGGCAAAATCAACTTCTTTGACATTGAAAAGGAGAAAATCGTGCAGGAAATATTGACCCAAGCCAAGTTTGTGCTGAGCGTCGCTTATGTAAGAGCTTCTTCTTCAAAATTGTTCTAGATAAGGATGGCACTGACGTGGTGGTGGTTGTAATTGTGATGATGCAGTCCCCGAACGGTAAACACGTTGCGTGTGGTGGTTTTGATGGTTATGTTGGTGTGTACGATGTCGAGACTGGATCTCTGGTTCACAAATACGAAGGTGTGTGGAAACAGTAAGCGTGTTAAGTGTGAGGGGGTCAATGAGGCTCACGTGTATTTATTCCGATACTTATAGACCGTACGAAGCCGGTGCGTTCGGTTGCATACGCACCGGATGGAAAGTTGTTTGCTGCATCGGATGATATGCACGTCAACGTCTACGATGTGTACGTGAATTGCGAATTATGTCAATTAAAGATGCGAGTCCTTGATGTGCTTTTTGTTTGTAGTGCTCATGACAACGTTGTTGCCACTCTGTCTGGTCACACCTCGTGGGTATTAAAGGTAGCATGCTCGCCCGATGGTACGCAGTTTGCTACGGGGTACGTTGCTAGAGTTAGCTACAAAGTGGTTTCGTATCTCGAATGGATTTCTGATTGCATTCGTCTCGTCGCTAACAGCGGTGCGGACCGACGTGTGAAGATTTGGGACATTGGTACGAGGCGCTGTTTGACTACTTTTGAAGCGCACACAGATCAGGTATGAAGAAACATCTTGTATTGCTAGTACGTAAGATGCCGATTGATCAAACAACCGCTTTGCTAGGTGTGGAGCGTTGCGTACAATTCGTCAGGATCGCGATTGGTCTCGGGTGGTGATGATGCGCTGTTGCAAGTGTATGAGACTGTCACATCAGCTTAGGAACCCTCCATTATTGCCTGATGGGTCAGTGGTCAGTGGTCCGTTTCGCCTATACGCTGTATGAGCGAATAATCTCCAAACTGGTGAGAATGCATTCATTTAGACAATGCCTGAAGCTCGATGATTGCAGTCAGAGCTCTGTGTGGTCAACACCGATGGGCTCCAGTAACCGTGATGATGTTACCGATATCAAAACGTTTTCCTGTCCAATCAAATGATTTCATTTTAAAATTGTATAAATTTCCTTCCGAACCAATCACGGATTTCTTTTTTTTCATCTTCCAGTTGAAGTGGCTTCTCGTTGAAGCGGCCGCAGATCTCTCCCATCCTCGTGGCCTCATCCTGTCGTCTACTTCCTCTGCTTCCTACTCGTACTCAAGTCGACATGACATCACGAGCGTCACCTCCGCCACGTTGCGCGTCTTGTGGCGGCCAAGGGACAGCGGAAGTGCGCGTCGAGGACAACGATGGCTGGTTCTACCACACCGTAACGTCCTCTACACCCACAGAGAAACGTAGAGCCAAGTTATTCCACCAAGAAGCTGGTGAGCAGGAGACAAAGGATGAAAGTGGCACTGCATCGTTGCAACAATATGATTGGAGTGGCGAGACGCGAGAAATTGCAGGTAATTTACAAGACAGCATCTTGGCTAGGATCTCAACGCTTCGAGCGCTCTGTGACGAGGGATTTATTACAGAGGAAGAGTATGAACGGTATGTGTGTTTCTTATTGTACTGGAAGTATTGTGTGGTAGAAACATGAGGAGATTTTAATCTGGGATCATATGAGTAGACGAAAAGGAGCCATTGTGGATGAACTTACGTTCTCAGCACTGACGTCTGCATCAAGTAGACAAGACACGATCACGCCAAGGAGATGCACGTCATTTCTACGAACTAAAGGTGTGTAGGTTGTAATGGAGAGGTCTTTCTCTTTGTATGAGAACTGAACTAATGAGTGTGCTGTAATCGTGATAGGTTTGCCATTGATTGTGCCACATGCTCCTGACTTTCGTGAAATAAGTCCAGAGGTGGCAGTAAAGCATGTGTTTAATTATGCTACGCGTCAGTGGAGCAGCATGCAGGTGTGCATCAATCTGGATGAAACGCCGTTTAGCAAAGGAAGTCTTCGGATAGTGTACCATTTGCAAGATTTGAGCACGGAGAGCTCTGGTGGCTTGTCGAATGATGGCTTCTATACAGGCAGCTATGTGGCAAAACTGGCCATCGACCCGGATGAAGACCCACAGACGTACTTTAAGGATATAGAGCTGCAGGCCCATTGCGCACATTATGCGCAAGTGTACAACTCATACACACCGCCGAAACGGGTCGAGTTTATTTCGGCCTGGGTATTAGAACTCCCGGAACGGAATGGCGCACTATGTGCTGTAGAGGCCTATATCCCAGGCGAGTACCGCAAGCACAACAACAACTTTGGGTCCGTGAGCGATGACGAGCGCAACACGCCACAGGCTTTTTCACACTTTACGTACGAGGCCTCAAATCATGAGTTGCTCGCTGTGGACATTCAAGGCGTAGGTGATTTGTACACAGACCCGCAGATCCATACGCTCAACGGACACGACTTTGGTAAAGGCAATCTTGGGGTGTTAGGCTTTCAGAAGTTCCTCTCATCACATCGATGCAACTCCATCTGTCGCTATCTTAAGCTTCCAGCTGTGAATCCGAAGGCCCGTCACGCTGACTCTGGCACTCTACCAGTGCAGGAGCTGATGAATCGCGATCGTGTACGACCTACGCATTTTGACTCACGACACTATTACGAGAACGCGCCCATGCTGCAGAAATACGTGACGCAGTGCCGCGAAGTGGACAGCCACTTGTCCTCCGCATCATCTTCTGCTTGCTCAAAGCGGTCTCGCAAGCGCCGCAGTCGTCATGCATCTGACTTTGCCCTCTTGTGTAAAGCGCTATGTTGTGGAAGCTAGTAACTACGACCTCGAAGTATGTGCGCACTTTCCAACGTGCTTGTCAGGGGTATCTACAGAAGTTCACATCTTTCATAGCTTTGATTCCGTCAGCGAAAATATAAGGCGAATGCAAAGTATATCACTTCTAGACATCAAGCACTGTCAAGGCGCCTGCCTACCTCGCTGACTATCCTTAACAGCTTTATGCCGCTTTCTCACCATACACAGCCTCGTTTACCAGCTCAAGCAAAGCGTCACCGAAGGTTTCAAGCGAGAAGAGCTTCTGAGCACGTAGTCTACCACAAACACCCATCTCCACGACTCTAGTACTATGTTTGGGTCCGCATAGTTCTGCCATAGCCTTGGCAAACGCCTTTGGCTTCTGCTCGCACAAAAAACCTGTTTCGCCGTCAGCGATGGACTCCAGCGGACCACCAGAGCTTACTGCGATGACTGGAGTACCACATGCCATGGCCTCGATAGGAACGATGCCAAAGTGCTCGCGGTCGGGCGTGTACAGGATAGCATGAGCCTTGCGCAGCAACTCGAGCTTCATGGAATTTGAGACCGATGTACGAAATTCCACGTGGTCTTCTAGACCGTGCTTGACCACCACGTCTTGAAGCTCAATCAGATGCTCTTGATTCTCCGTGTGAAGCGGGTCGTATCCTCCCGCGACGATAAGTTTGACACGCTTGAACTCCTCACTAGGCACTTTGTGGCGCAGCTCCACGAGTGCTTCAATAGCCAGAGCTACATTCTTCTTTCGCTCGAAACGATTCAGTGACACGAACAGACCCGAGTCACGCTCTACACTGGCCTCAGCTGTGGCTTTGTATGCCTTTATATCGACCGGTGGATAGAGAATTCCCACTTTTTTCATCTGAAGACGTGGGAAAACCTCATGAAAGACTCCACGCGAGAACTTGCTGTTGGCTACAATGATGTCCGACGATGCGGTTGTGACCTCCTCCAAGAAGTCCAACGGTACACGATACATACGCTTCCAGGGCGAGTCAGAGGGGATACAGAGGAGTTTGTCTGGGAAATGGCCGTAGAAAAGCACTGGCTTGCCCATCGCGCGCAGGAAGGGGATAGAGATCGACACTTGGTCCACCACAAACACGTCCAGGTCGTCAATATCGTATACCGCTATACATAGAGTCACGTATAGTACGCGAAGTAATGCGCAGAACGCATAGAGCTTGCCTAGAATCGTGCGCGGCAGCCAGTCGCCGTAGACACGCACACGTGCAGCCAAAGGTCCGTCGCCCCGAGTCTCTTCAAAGCAGTGGTTCACGTCGTGATGGGCCGTAAACACGGTGACATATGCTCCACGCTGTTGCAGTGCGACCGCTGCATTCACGACAAGGTTCTCAGCACCACCAATACCAAAATCAGGATGCAGAAATCCCACACGAAGCCTTCTAATCTCTTCAGATGGATGAACAGCGCGAGGAATCGAGCAGCTGAGACCGCGGAAGAACGCCCAAACGACAAAGATACTAATGAGAACCCAGGGGGCTATCACTGCAGCCAGTGCTACCGACGGAGGAAGTGCCATGACGAATACCGGAGCAAGTCTCTGTTAATTGCCAAAAAGTTATACCACAGGGATATCCGATTGTGCAAGAAAACGTAGACGAACGGCGATGATGGAGAAAGATATGGATAGATATTGTTTTGTCAGTACCATTGGAAAGCAGGAACAGGTGGGACAAAAGTCGGGTCCCAGCGGCAAAAGTAGCCCTTCCAGAGCCTATAGAAACATCCACATGAGTACAAGAGCTGCACTCTAGGGTGATGAACTTTTGCACGTACTTGATGTTCTTGGAGAGCGTGCTGGGCGCCAGCACAGTCGCTTGCTCGCTGGGTGCGTACATGTGATTCGTAAAGCGATCACTCTGGCTGTTGATCTCACTCCAGATAGAGAGCACCCGATGCTTGGTAAACAGATCCTTCCTGTAGCTCAAAAAGAAGACTGTAAGATCCGTCAAGTTTGAGATAGAAGTGTGCAGTCGAGAACTCACCGTTGACGCTCACAGTCGAACATGAATGTACCAAACTTGCATGAGTAGACGTGATCGGCAAGTGCAAGCAGAAAGCTTTCATTGAACTCGCACTCCGTTGGATACTGGCGAATGTATTGCCAGACACAGTCTATCCAGAGCAAAAATACTGGTGAACGCTGATCGTTCGATACGTCACTCCGAGCGTGACCACACCTCAAGGCAAACTGATGCCCGAAGGCGCACCATTCCTTCTCTACAAGCACCTATAAGTGCATTACAAGCCACAATCAATTAATCCACCCGGGTTACATTTCAATTGCCCATTTCTTCTCAGCACGTACCTGGAAACCACAAAGGGTACGGTAGTATGGATCGAGCATCAACTCGGCCAATGCTACCATTTGTGCCGTGCGGTCCCACCCATCGCTGCAGTGTGTAAGCACAGATCTGCCGTTGTGCACGGTGTATGCCAGATCCACGGACGCTTTCAATACGAGGCGGACGTGGCGTAGCCAGCCTGAACTTTCGATCCGCCCGTAAAAGCTGGACGTGTCCTCGTTTGCACTCCTTTTAGGCTCGAATGTTGCAGCTAATGCAAGCTGTGATTGTCGGACTGCGTGAATGTTTTCAACGTTCATAAAAATGAGCTTTGCACCGTGGTAGTTGCTGGAATTCTCCGTGCCTTTCCCCAGTGCTTTATTACCCACGGCAGCCAGTTGACTACGCGCATCCATGATCACGTAACGTCCAAACGCTTTCGTGTTGCTCGAGCAGCACAGCAAAAAAACAAGCAGCTCATCTTCTCCATTGCGCGCAGACTTGAGGCCTACAAGCGGTTGGCTTGATCGAACAATTGTCGCGCCAGTGCTGGGATGGATCCAGCTAATGACAGGCAAGCGTTGATGCGATCGGAATGCAGCTGCCGCCTTGAGGCGAATGTCGGAGATGTCCGCCGGCACGATAAGATGCCGTGGGTACGTCTCACAGAGCGTATACTTTGAAGACTGATCGATGCAGCGCAGATGATCCGGAAAAGAGAGCAACCCGATACGTTTATACTCCTGGCGGATGTCAAATCGGACTTCTTCAGATGGTGCCACAGTCGGAGAATACGCGAAGCAAAATGCATCAAGTAAGCTTTTCGGAAAAGCCAGAAAGCTTAGACATTGAACAAGCTTCTCGTACTCGTCGTGGTCTGCAATCGATAGTCGTGCCACTTGAGTATCCTTGCACCTAATCACAACCTTGTACGAGTCATCCGGTGTAAAACCAAGGGCAACTTGTGCATTTTCCACTGATAGAGTCGTGGAGCCTACCGCCGATGAAATCGCTCGAGGGTCGATGCGGTCTATCGAGAGGATGGAGAGCACGGGAATCTGCCATTCAACTTCTCCACGACCAAGTAGACGCGTGAAAAAGCAGCGGAAGTTTGTGATAAACAATTTCCCGCTAATGTAGTGAGATAGGCACGATCCGTCATGAGACAGCACGAGTCGCTGCATACTAGTCTCGACGTTAGCATAGCATAATTCACCTGGCAACAATGCTGGTTGCACCAGCTCAGTCATTGTAGTCTCCAAACTTGGCGGAGAGTCTAGGGCATCTGAATCTTTAACAGCAGCGGAATGTTCGGATGTAGTAACTTCGCAGTTGTCATAGGCACCTTTGTAGCGGGAGAACGCAATGTAAACCGGGCGATTGATGAGTTGAAGACGCCGCTTTACTTCCTCCGTCGTTACGTCCACTATTGGTACGCCGTTGATCGACTGAAGGAGGTCACCAAGATGCACTTTTCCACTAGCCTTTGCTTGTCCCGCCCCATCGCTTCTATTCGGATCTTTTGTAAAAGCTTTTACTGCCAGGCGGTTCTCGTAAGGAGCTTCTGCCATTGCTAGAACAATGCCAAGTGAGCCTTCTCGAAACAGGACGACTTCCACTAGCTTGGAGCCTCCATCGGGAGCTACTACTTCCTCTTCATCATTCGGTTTGATGCCGTTTTCACTTTCGACAGTCTCCTCCGTCATTGGGTCTTGCAATATCCTGGCAAACTTCGTCAGTTCCACTGCGCGGCTTTGTCGCTCCAAGTCCGTACTATTTAAATCTTTCTCTTGGCACGTACGCATAAGGATTCGTAAACAGTCAGTGTTATCCGACTGGCGTAGCTGAGTCGACATTTGCAACAACCTTGCTGCGCAAACATAACGCAGTAACGGAAATCCAGTCCATGTCGTTTCCTCACTTCCCGCAACCAGTTTGGGCAGCTGTAGCAAGTCGTTGTCGGACTTTTCGGTCATGTTGATTACTGGAAAATCAATCACCGCTCGTCTGCTATCCAGTATCAAAGCATCCCAGACACACAACAGGTCTTTCAATGTATATTCACGAGCAAAAAGCAAGCGTATCCATCGCAAACAATACGTTTCCGGTATAATCTCCAAGTTTTTCAAATGATAGTATAGCTGCGGGTCTTTCTGCTGCAGTAGTTCGTGCTGGATATGATGGCACAATCGGTGAAGTGCCGGCTGTTTTTGCTTCTCAGTCGTCGTCTCGAAGGACTGCACCCCATTTCTGCTGTCATCCTTTTGAAATGAAAAACTGGCAAAAAGTTTGCGTTCCTCCTCTTCATCTTCACCTTTTTGTCTCATCTCGACAATCTCGTAGAATGGTTTCAGGAACAGCATCACGGCTTCAAATAGTAAAAAAGTATCAGCTTCAGTACTTTCCGGCAGCTTCTTCACGTCCACACTCTCCGTCTCTTGAGTCTGCATTAGAGCAAAGAGCACCACAGCTACTACATCATGCATGCCTTGACGATATGCCACATCTGGATGCAGTCGACACCATACAAATAGCACGTGACGCAGCATAGTCATGCACCTTTCATTCTGAAAAAAATTCTCATTGCCAAATGGATACAATCGGTCCAGATCTGTCTTAATCTCTTCCAATAGCGTCTCATCTGTAAAGTATTGGCTCCAATTGCTGGAAGAGTTGACAACGTCTTTCGTAACAGTCAGTGGATCTGTGGTACCAGTTGCATCGATCTGAAAGACCATATGCTGTTTCAAACGCTCGTATCGTTCTCGTTGCGCCAATTGAATGTCACCTTGTAGTCCAAACGCCGCTGCCCATAACGCCCCGTGACTTGCATTAGCTTCCGTCGTCATGATTGGATTGAAATGAGCCTAAACTTGGTTTTGATTTGTTGGTTTTATTTTTACCCAATGAGAGCTATGAAACATACGGATAATCGCAGATGTTTTCATCTTTGACCAATGAGAAATGGCTTTGATATCGTTTTGCTTCAACGTCAGAGGTGTATCCACATGTTAATTCTTAACAGAAAAACCTATTTAGACTGATATCTTTGGGACCAAAGAAATGTATCATTTAAGAAAAACTGTCAGTTCACAGCACGGCGTAACAGCCATACATTTTGGCTGTTGCGTGCTATATGACCTTTATCAAAGCAGTGAAGAGGAAGAATGTCAGTCACGTCGTATGCTTGAAGCCTTACTACAAAAAGAGACAATTAGAGACTGCGAGAGAGATAGAGAGTACGAGGAATGAGCTCCAGGCATGACTTAAAGAAAAAAACGTAGCCCAGTCAAATAATCAAGCACCCTCAAACGCTCTACTGAGCTGCTCCAATTGGCAGACAACGTCAAACGCAGCCAGAAACGATAGCGCATGGTAAAGTATCATCAGATAGAGGAGGCTTTGTTGGCAGAGTGGTCCATGCCAATCAGTATCGCGTCAACATGAGCGGTGGCCTGCTCAATGAGAAAGCAAAGAAGATCTGGGACTATCGTTTATCTAACCATGCCACTTTTAAATTTTCCAATCGCTGGCTTAATTTCTTTCAGACCTGTCATGTAATCCGTTCATACATGAGCTGTAATGGGGCACCCTCCGACTATACTGATAACAGTATAGTCTATCTTCACTGATGACAGTGAAAGCAGGTGCCTCAATTACCTCTCTTACACAAGAGGCAGAGGAAGCTTTACTTCAAAACAAACGCTTAGAAGTAGAGGAAAAGAAAAACTGTATTTAATATAGTTAACTATCTAATAAAACTAATCTGTTATAACCTATGTTAACTATATTAAACTACAACTATGTATGTTGACAACTTGCCCTCCACTCATTGCGCGCGTCCATCGGTCATTGGTCAGCGCGTTGGTTGATATGATGGCCCATATCAACCAATGAGAGGGCATCTTCAGCTTCAAGGAGATCTAGGAACAATATTATAAGAAAAGATAATATTGTCAAAATATTATAAGTTATAATAATATTTTTATTGACACTTCATATAAGTGTCAATATTATCTAACGGGCTCACCCCGTTACATCACCCCCCCTCAACCAAAAGTCACATTAGTGACTGTTTAGTGACTATGGGAAAGGAGCACTTGTTGGTTTTTCTTTTATTCCAACTACTGCAACGCTATGACTAAGTCAATGCGCGTCGCTGCTAAGGCAGCTAAGAGCTCGGCTGCACGCCTGTGTGCAGCCGCTACTGAGGCTTCACAGCCTCAGCCAGCAGACACTAATGTGTCTGCTGGAAGTTAACATCAGCCTGCAACGCCTGTTGCAAGTCTACGTAGCGCTTCGCCACGTGAAGATGTTGACCCAGAGTTAGTCGTTGACGACTCTGGTGAGTCGGATGACGCATCCGGCTCAATGTCACCTATTCCACTCCCGGGCTCTCCCCGGGGTGATACCTCGTCGTCGAATCTTACGAAGTGGGATCGTGGTACATTGAGTGAATCAATGTACCGTGAAATGTTCGGGTCGTCTGATGAATCAGACGACTCGCCAAACGAGTCGAGGGATAGTGACTCGGGTGGGGACCGTAAGGGTGATGTCAGTGCTTCTACTGACATCAATGCTCGTAGTGTCGGTACTTCTGTAGACACTAATGCTCGTGGTGTCGGTACTTCTGTTGACACCACGCAGGAAGCTTTAGACCGCAACGTATTGCGTATTGCTCCTGATCGCAAGCCATGGATGCTACCTAAGCATCTGCTTGATCGTTGGTCTGGAAAAACCAACGAACAGTTCCCCATACCGTTGTTCGATGCGTCAAAGCTTCATGGCCTTGACGCCAGTGCGAAGAACTTTCGCACTGATAACGACTATTACATCGATGTGTTCCTTGAACATCGATGGTATGGCCCACACAAGAAGCGTGAGGCCGACGCGTTCCTCCAGTCTTGGAACGCGTTTATCACCAACGTTTTAAACGTTATGAAAGGGGATTGGTTTCAAAGACTTTTTGCTAGTCGCAATAAGTTTGAGAAACGAAGTACGTCCGGTGCATGCTATCGTTTGCACCGGTTATCTAGAGAGGCAGGCCTGTTATGCCTCTCTTGGGGCGACCCATGCCCGGGGTGCCTGAGCACCTCGTCAAGAGCACCTAAGGAGGCGTACCTCCTTACTGAGCCCTGGTGGAGGGCTCGCATCTCTTCTGAGATGCGTGAAGGGATTGCTACTTTGCAATCCCTTTACGAGCGCGCTGGGCGCTCGTTTTCCGATGGTCCTTCACCATCAAGTGTCCCTTGTCGTACTGTTCGACAAGGCCGGGAACGTCGGCCATCAGTTGGGCCCGAGGTTCCCAGCTATCCGCCGAAGGCGGATAGCCACGCCACCGGACGAGATAACTCGTCCGACGTCCCTTCACCTCGCGGTGCTTTAGTAAGCGTTCCACGAGGAAGCGCTTCCCACCATGGGAGTCCACCAGCAGATGCGGTGGTGGAGGAAAAACCCTTTCCGATTCTTTCATCGGACTTGGCTGCTGAGTTAGACGGGTTTGCCCGTGTAACTCGTGAGCTCCGTTGTGATGTTGACCACGAACGGGATAAGCGTCGCCGCTTAGAGGACATTGTGCGACAGATTGGGTTTGACCATGAGAAGTCTCGGGCAAACAATGCTGTCGCACAATTGGAGAATGAACGGCGGCTTCATTCTCTAAGTAACGAGCTGGCGACAGGTCGTCAGGAGATCGTTTAATATCCATGGTACGATCTCATCTCTACACGACCAGGTATCGAATCTGGTTCGTGACAACAAGAATCTGAAGGGGATTCTTGAGAGTAATGGCTATCTTCATCGTTCGAAGAAGCCGCGTACTAAACGTACGGACGAAGACGTCCCACGTAAAACGTAGGATGCGTACGCATCCTGCGTGGCAACTCGATCGTGTATGCGTTGCCTAGGCGGCGCAATATACGAAACGGGCCGATGTACTTGGGCAACAATTTATTGCTGCCCACGTTAGTCACTACATGTTTAGGTAGGTTTACTGTTGACAGTAAAACTAAATCACCTTCAATAAATGTTTGAGCATTTGCCCTTCCATTATTGTCTGCGTTTCGCTTTTGCTTATCCACCGCTTCTGCGATGGAGTCTTGCACGAAACGGACTACCGCTTCACGAGTCAGCAGGAAATCCTTAGCTGACTCGTTGCTTTTGTCTGCAGTGCATTGTGAGTGCACTGCAGAGATATCGGTTACTAATTCAGCGAGAACATTACTGTTCTCACTTGTGATACCTCGAACGATGCTGACATCTTCATCATCATTATCAGTAAGAGCGTCATCGCTCTTACTTTCTTCCTCTTCACCGAAGTCGAATGGTACACTTCGGTTACTTTCGCGTCGACCATAACGTCGTCGCGTGATGAGCAAGAGCCAGATTGGTTCTCGCTCGAGCGAGTCTTCCCCCCCTTAAATTAGAGTCACCCTCTACTAAGGTGGGGACACGTGGATGGCGAAGGCCATTCACGTAGAACGGTGTATGCGTCGTGGAGGCATGCACGGAGTTGTTGATGGCGAATTCGACCATCGACAAGAACTCACTCCAACTCGTAAACGAGTGGACGTACCCTCGAAGAATCTCTTCGAGGACGCGATTGGCGCGTTCAGTCTGACCATCAGTTTCGGGATGGTCAGAAGTAGACATTGTGAGCCGTGTTCCAAGTGTTTGGAACACGGAACGCCAAAACTCAGCCGTGAACAGGGGGTCCCTATCGGACACAAGTTCACGGGGTAACCCGTGCAATTGAAAGATTGTATCGATAAACACTCGAGCACAGCCCTCTGCTGTGATCGACTCAGGTACAGCAACAAGATGTACCATCTTGCTGAACCTGTCCACAAACACGAGAATACCATTATTCCCGTGAGGGTCTTTGGGAAACCCAAAGACGAAGTCCATTGATACGGACTCCCAGCACTCTGCTGGAACAGTTAGGTGCACGGAGTGAAGGACTATGCTTCAATCGTTAACACACCTCGCAAGCACGCACGTACTTGCGCACAAACTTATACTGGCGTGGCCAGTAAAAGTCGCGACTGACCGTGAGGTAAGTCTTTTCACGGCCGCGATGCCCACTTATTGGTGCATCGTGACATTCAAACATGATACTTAACCTGAGATCATGTTGTGGCGGTACAACGACACGAGGCGTGTCGTTGTTGACGGCTGTATAGTACAGTAAGCCGTTCCGCTGGGTGTATCGATCGAGAGAAGATCGATACATGGCAGGCAAGCGCTTCTTAGCTTGCGTGGATGGGTCCTTGAGATACTCCATCAGGCGTACAAGATCATTATCTTGTGCGCATGCCCTTCTAATGTCGTCGAGTAAGCTCGACGACAAGAAGCTGGTACTCAGCGTGGCGACAGTGGTGTTTACATCACTGTCGGATTGCACAGTCGGCTCTAGGTCAGGCCGACGTGAAAGAGCATCGGCGACGACGTTAAGTCGTCCCGGCTTATACTCCACGGAGAAGTTGTACTCCGTGAAGAACGACAACCATATCGCCATTCATTGCGAGAGGTGTGGACTATTTACAGCCGTGCGTAGTGACGCATGGTCTATATACACAATGAACGGTCTATCTCCTAAGAGATAGACTCGAAACTTAGCCAGTGCATACTTCATGGCAAGAGGTTCCTTGTCATGCACCGGGTAATTGCGCTCGGCCGGTTGCAGCTGACGCGATTGATAACAGACGACACGCTCTGCGCCGTCTGTATCATATTGCATCAATGCGCAGTCGATTGCAAAATCACTGGCGTCACAGACCACATGAAATGTTCTGTCTTGATCGGCAATCGCCAATACTGGCGATTGCATCAAGATTTGCTTGATACGTTCAAAGGGAAACTGACATCCAGCGTTACAATTCCACTTTACATTTTTCTTGCGTAAACAAGAAAGATGTACTGTCATTTCGGCGTAATTGCGCGAGTACTTGTGCAAGTACGCCGCTAGCCCAAGGAACTTCCTTAGTCCCTTGACATCGACTGGCATTGGTCAGTCGGTGATCGCCTTGATTTATTTTGAATCAGGGCATACGCAGCTCTTTCCGACGATGCACCCAAGAAGTGGTATTTCGCTAGCTGCGAATATACACTTCTTGAGGTTGGCGTACAACTTATGCTCGCGCATAAGTGTAAGAACCTTACGGACGTGGAGTCTATGGACTTCCACGTCTGTTTTCCCGTCCATAGCTCGACTATGGACGAACACATCATCGAAGTAGCTCGGTGCGAATTCGCGCACCAGTCTCAATAGATGTGAAACACATCTATTGAATGTGGCTGGTGCATTACTGAGCCCTTGCGGCATCACCAACCATTCCCAGAGCATGCCACTAGGAGTGCTCACTGCTGTGTACGGGATGTCCCTTTCACGCATTAGGATCTGATAGAAACCATCCATCAGATCCATGGACGAAAAGATGGTACTCTTATACATACCATCTATGATTACGTCCTTTCTCGGTATCGGCGTTTGCGCCGGTATCGTTGCAGCATACAACTTGTTGAACGCGTGTACTATCCGCCACCCTCCTGTGGCCTTGCGCACACAGAAGGTCGGAGAGCTGTGAGGTGAAGTTGACTCCCTCACATGGCCCGCTGCTAGGCGATCGGCAAAGAACTTGTCGATCGCCTCGACCTGTTTCCGAGGCAGTGGTCACTGCTTCATGACACAATATCTGTGCCAGGAACTAGGTCGATCTCGTGTCGATTACCTTTATCCTTAGGCAACTCGCACGGAACGGATTCAGGGAATACATCCTTGAATTCGACCAAATCCTTATACAAAGGATTTGACTTCAGCGACTCCCAGGATTGCGATCTATATCGTATAATCCGAGTCTTCTCGTCAAGGACACTCTCGTCCATTATAGCTGCTGAGAACCCGTTCGTTCTCGGCAAAAACTGTTGCTGACCGAATGTCAGTCATGTGCTCGTCCTCTGCAACGAGCACATCGATCTGCTTGACTTTGCCACTACGCAGATCACGCAAGAACCTTTTAGGTTCTAGCGTAGGCAACTGAGTTATCTCCGAAGTTAACTTCGGAGGCGCGATCAGATCAAGCGTGCAAGCGTCTACGTTTGATCCGTCACTAACCTAGACGTTCAACGTCTCGGTCACTTACTGGGGACTTATTCCCTCAGTGATTATTTCCTGGGGACTTATTCCCGCAGGCTCGATGGGACTTGTTCCATCGACTTCCTCTAGCTTTGGTGGCGCAACCACAGCGAGGTCCTCTACGATCAACTCTCCAGTTGATCTAGGATTACCGTATTGGCGCTTCTGGGCAACCGTTTTACTCTTCGGTGAATGCTGCCCTCTAGGCGAGCATTCATGTCCCGGTCCACTCGACTTATTCGAGTGGTGGACCTTCGTCGCTGCCTGTGCTTGTGCACAGCCGCCGGCAGCTTGCTTCACATCGTGACTGTCTGTCACGCTGAGCTCTTGTGCAGTCGTACTAACGACCGAACCACAAGTGAGGCCATCACACTCACTAGTAGTACATTCACACGCTTGTGAACGCTCCAAGACGTTCATCAGATGGCCATCTGATGAACAAGCGGAAGGCATCTTCACGGTTCGATGCTGCCAGCTGACCCATGGCTCGTACCTTCTGAGCCATGGTAATCCTAGGATGACATCAAATTTGTCATCCAGATCAAGTACGATGAAATCATCATCGTACTTATTGCCTTCAAGCGTGTAGTGAATTCCCACTACACGTTTCTTTACTGTTACGGATGCGCCAGTTGCAAGGCGCACCGTCATCCTCGTTGGAGGGGTCTCGCGCTCAACATATTTGAGCCTACGATCATCTAGCGATTGGCGTCGAACAAAGTTGTTCGAAGCCCCACAATCAACTAGGGCGCGAAGTGACATGTTCTTTGTCACTTCGATCTTCAATATGATGAGGGATACCTCATTACTGGGAGTGGCAACACACAGTGACTGGGTTTGTTGGGAGCAAACTTCGTCAAAAAACCCCGCGAACACTCATGACGTTGCTGGATCAGTAGGGCACTCCACCCCTACTGACACCGATCGTTATTTTATGGTCCACCACGTTGTTGTGATTTCGTAGCAGCGTGGGACCCACGCCTCTGGTCTTTCTTAAATACGAACGATCGTCACTCCCAGTGTTACGAGACACTGGGCATGGGGCAATACACTCATAAGCGTAGTGGCCCAACTTCTGACAGCGATTGCACTTTTGCAATCTCTTGTACCCTGGAGAGCGAGGTCGCTCGCTCTCTATATTGGAGAGGTCCATTTGTTCTGGACCTCCGCCCTCCTGTCGTCTCGGTGGGCGATAGAACCCCGAGTGGACGTGAGGCTGTTGTAGGCTAAAGTCCTCCTATTCCGCTGCAGAGATCGCTTGATCCAGCGATTCTAGTTCCAAGCGGAACAGGTGGGTCTTGACAGGACCATCTGTCAGACCCTTGATGAACACAGTAACCTGCGTGTGTTCATCGATTGAGTTCAGTACGATACAGCTAACGAGGTATCGTACGTGTTGGGCGTAAGCGTTTATATCACGCTTACCCTGTTTCAAATCCAGGAGCTCAGCCCGAGCCCAGAATTCGGCGCGAGGCGGTTCAAACGTGTGTTTGAGCCGCGCCTTGAAGACGTCATACGTTGGGAAAACATATGGGTCGTGCAGTTTGAGCCCTAAGACCCAATCTTTGGCACGTCCTGCCAAGTTCGACATGGCGAACTTGACCTTCATCGCATCGTCATCGATGCGACGAGCCTCAATGGCATCGTCGAGCTCGACGAACCATCTTAACAAGAAGTCGCTTTCGACTGCCTTGTACTTGGAGACATCAATCTTCAAGGACTCGGGTCGACGTGTATACGCCGACCCGGCAGCAACAGCACTAGCCTGCTGTTGTCTCAACAGTTCAGACTGTTGAGCACCCTGCTGCATCAACAAGTCAGCTTGTTGAGCGCCTTGTTCTCTCAACAGGTCAACCTGTTGAGAACCTTTCTACTGTAGCAAGGCGAGTTTCTTTACAACTTCTTCAAGTTCATGTTGTATGAACTTGGCGATGGCTGCATGTTGGTCGTCTCCGCTAAGAGAGAGCAACATGGCACCAACGACAGGGTTGCCGATGGTTTCAGCCATACGCTGAACCGCATTCCATTCGAGGTCACCCAAATGGCGGATATCATCACGCGTTGCGTGATGACGTTCATCACCCGCTGATTCCATAGCGGATGGTGCGGTGGTCGCTGAACGGACCACGAAGTGCTACCAGGGGTAATGTGGCACCCTCCGACTATACTGATAACAGTATAGTCTACTTTCACTGATTACAGTGAAAGCAGGTGGCTCAATTACCTCACGTACACGTGAGCAGAGGAAGGGAATTAACTAAACAAACACTTAGTTGAGAGGGAAAAGAAAACTGTATTTGCATATAGTTAACTATCTTAATAAAACTAATCTGTTATAACCTATGTTAACTATATTAAACTACAACTATGTATGTTGACAACTTGCCCTCCACTCATTGTGCGCGTCCATCGGTCATTGGTCAGCGCGTTGGTTGATATGATGGTCCATATCAACCAATGAGAGGGCATCTTCAGCTTCAAGGAGATCTAGGAACAATATTATAATAATAGGTAATATTGTCAAAATATTATAAGTTATAATAATATTTTTATTGACACTTCATATAAGTGTCAATATTATGTAACGGGCTCACCCCGTTACATCACTGGTAGGCTTCTGGGGATGTAGGTAAAAATTAGAATGAATTAATCAAACAACCATACGTCCTATCGTGCGTCACCTAACGTGCTGTCATAACCTGTCAACTGTGGCATGTCAGATACTCTCCTCAACTATTTCATGTCATCAACCGTCTGTCATACCAACTGGCATGTCAAAGAGACCCTCCCTGGGTAGAACCTGTTGACAAGATAGACATCCAAGGGATCCAAGCAAGAAACCTACCGCTGGATACCGCCGTCGACAAACCCCATACCTGCACCTTCTTTGCCTGTGGGCATTGGATCGTGCAGCCTGGACGGCCTTCAGCGCGGCGCATATAGCGCGCGCCTTTAATGGACCCTGGCGAGAGTAGAGAGAAATGTAGAGAAGAGAGATAACCCGATGCATGCGGAAGTTGAGCCACTTTGGTGGCAAGACTGCTCGCGCAACGCGTTTACATACATAATATAGGAGGTGTGTCCATTACATAATATTGACACTTATATGAAGTGTCAATAAGAATAATATTATAACTAATAATACTCGACAATATTATCTTTTCCTAAATTATTGATCTTGCATCTCTTTGAAGTTGGAGATGCCCTCTTCTTGGTTGATATGGGTCATTATATCAACCAATGCGCTGACCAATAAAGGATGGACGCGCGCAATGAGTGGAGGACAAGGTGTCAGCATACATAGTTGTAGTTTAATATAGTTAACACAGGTTATAACAGATTGGTTTTATTAGTTTAACTATATTGAATACAGTCCTCTTTTTCTTTGCAACTCCTTGTAAATAAGGCTTCCACTGTTCACGTGTATGTACAGTTCTGAGACACCTTTTTTCACTGTCATCAGTGAAAGTAGATTAATATCGATTTTGTTGTTCCACTTTGTGTAATCTACACAACCGCTAGTCACCGCATTGTTGTCAAGATGCTGCGTCTAGCGACGTCTTCGTTTATGGCTCGAAGCTTCTCGACGCTTTTGTTTAAGGCACCGCCGCCTGCACCAAGTCGACGCGTGGTTGTAACTGGAATGGGTGCTGTCACTCCTTTTGGTGTGGGGGTTAAGCGCTCGTGGGAGGCGCTGTTAGACTCGCAATGTGCCATTCAAGTATGACACATTTGATCTTGATGCTCTTATACATGATTAACACAATTAGTTGCTATAAATGTAGGCGGTAGATGCCCTTGCAGACTCAGGATTGCAGTGTACAATTGGTGGGGCGGTGCCACGAGGAGAAGGGATCGGAGCTTTCCGTACTAAAGATTGGATCAATTTACAAAAGGTCCGCTACCAGGAACCAGATTTTATCGCGTTTACATTGGCAGCAGGTTGGAGGTTTAGCAATAGGCCGTTGGTTCAGTGAGTACGTGAAGCGTAATAATATGTGGTTGATGCATTAATGTAGCTGCTGAAGCGCTGAAGGATTCAGGATGGAGCCCCCAATCGGACGAAGAGAGAGAACGAGCAGTAAGGTGGCATTTAGTGGATGGAGTGGATAATGGAGCTGATGGAAAGGTAACTTTTGTTGAGTAGGGCGTGGCTATTGGTGCTGGCACGGGAAACATCCAGGAGGTAATGAATGTTGGTCAGCTTATCAGGGAGAAGGTATTGCTAGAGGATGATTTACATGCTATGCTTAGTTTGTGTACGCTCGTCTCTTATTTATGCTTGTACAATTGGTATTCAATCTTGCAGAAATATCGCCGGGTATCGCCATTTTTCGTGACAAGGTTTCTTACTAACCTTGCGGCCGGTCACGTGAGCATTGAGCACGGGTTGAAGGTGGGGCTCCAATTTAGAATAGAATGCGGCTTTGATGAGGACTGCGACTGAAGGATTATTTCGTTTGCACGTAGGGGCCAAACCACTCTTGTGCTACAGCGTGTGCCACGGGTAGTCACAGCATTGGTGATGCTACGAATTTAGTTCGTCATGGCTACGCCGACGTCATGGTTGCCGGAGGTAGTGAGGGATGCCTCGATGCGATTTCCGTGTGCGCCTTCCTGCGTGCGCAGGCTTTGTCTACAAAGGTAAAGCAAGTATGCATGCCAATAGGCGACACTTATGTATCGGTCTTGTGTTCTAACGGCATGTGGCCGCGGAAAGTTCAATGATCGTCCTCAAGAAGCATCGAGACCGTTTGACTCGCAGCGCGACGGGTTTGTTATGGGTGAAGGCGCTGGTATTGTTGTTCTTGAGGTACAATGTTGTATTCGGCTAGCACACCTGGGTCTGGACTTGCGACTCACAACATATTTTTGATGACTTTGTGATGTTCCACCTCGTTACCGACATAGGAATACGAGCACGCGAAGAAACGCGGTGCTGAGATCTATGCTGAGGTTCGAGGTTATGGCCTCAGCGGTGACGGCAACCATATTACAGCTCCTCATGAATCGGGTGATGGCGCTCGACGAGCTATGCAGTCAGCAATAGCACAATCCGGGCTTGCGCTGTCTGATGTCGGCTACATTAACGCGCACGCCACTTCAACCCCTTTGGGGGACCGCGCTGAGAATATAGCCGTGAAGAAGCTTTTCGGCATACATGCTAGTCGACTAGGAGTGTCGTCGACGAAGGTGCGCAGCTCACTCTCTTTCATGACGCAAGATAAGCTGTGCAAATTCTTCAAGTGCTGTTGTTGTGCTAATTGTCTGTTCGTTTTTGTTTTGTGCCGTGGTCAGGGAGCTATTGGTCACTTGCTAGGTGCTGCTGGTGCTGTAGAGGCTATCTTCTCGATTAAGGCACTTCGCGACGTAAGTTGTATCAATGCCTCCATACTGCTACATGTGTCAATACCAATGTTGTACTGACTGTAACCCTTCTTTTTGCTGGTAGAACGTGATGCCTCCTACACTTAATCTTACGGAGACAACAGAGGAGTTTTCCTTGAATTACGTGCCAAACCAGCCGCAGGAGAAGGAGCTTCGCGCAGTTCTTTCGAATTCGTTTGGTTTCGGAGGAACGAACGCCAGCCTTTTGTTTACCAAGTAGATGATGCTGCGCTATAATGATGCATTATTTTCTCAGGAACGAACGCCAAAAGCCTTTTGTTTACCAAGTAGATGATGCTGCGCTATAACGATGTATTACTTCATGGACGACGTATGACTAGCTTTTATTATAAAAACAGTAGCTCGATGTAAATGAAGTAGCGGTACACCAATCTTTGCACGTCACATTATTGTATCTTTATTAACAAATCACCCATTTGTATCTTTTTAGCGAATCAGTGTTTGAAATGCTTTTCATCCAGTGGTGACGCTCATTCAAAAAGTAGCCGACCTAGTCAATAAACCAAGAGGATGCCGACCGTGGGAGTCAAACGCGACGATCTGTTCGCGGCCATGGGCCAGACGTATACGGACGAGGAATTTGATGTGTTGTGCTTTGAATTTGGTATTGAACTGGATGATATTACAAGCGAGAAGCAGCTCAAGCAACGCGAGCAGGGACAAGACAAGGACTATTCAGCGCACTCGGACGCTGTACTTTATAAGATTGACGTGCCGGCCAATCGCTATGACCTTCTTTGTGTAGAAGGCATCAGTCGGGCGTTGCGCGTCTTTGTTGAGAAGGAGCGTCCACCTGTGTACACGCTAGCGCCCAGAGCCGAGGGTTCGCACCACATTACAGTCAAATCTAACACTAAGGTTGATTGGTGTGAAATGTACTGGATGAAGGACTGCAAAATTGACTATGAGTGCACTGTATTGTGTTATTTGTTTGCAGCTAGTGCGACCGTACGTCGTGTCGGCTGTGCTACGCGACGTCAAGTTCACTCAGGAGCGCTACGACAGCTTCATAGACCTGCAGGACAAGCTGCACCAAAACATTTGCCGTCGACGCACGCTCGTTGCTATTGGTACACACGATCTCGACACGGTGGAGGGACCATTTACCTACAATGTACGTGTGTCAGTTAGTCTTTACTGGTGAAGTAAAAGTTGGAGATGGTGATGATGATGTGAGGATTGTTTATATGCTGCTCATCACAGGCGCTGCCACCGAACGAGATCAAGTTCAAGCCGCTGACTCAGGACAAGGAGTTTGAGGCCAAGGAATTACTGGACTTTTACCGAACGAATGTAGAGGTGAAGCATATTAAACCGTACACAGACATCATCTACGACTCGCCAGTGTACCCGGTGATCACGGACACAAACGGCGTGGTGCTGTCGCTCCCGCCTATTATCAACGGTGAACACTCGAAGATCTCGCTGAACACGAAGAATGTGTTCATAGAGTGCACAGCGACCGACATCACCAAAGCAAAAGTTGTGCTAAATACGATGATCGCCATGTTCTCCGAGTACTGCGCCAAGCCTTTCACTGTAGAGCCTGTGCAGGTGGTCTACGAGGACGAAAGTGTGAATGCGAACGAGATGACACCGGACCTTAGCAAGCGCTCGGTGGAGGTGCAGGTCAAGAACGTCTACTCGATGCTGTTCGGCAAGGGCGAGCCGGTGAACCTGGATGTCGACCGGATTTGTAAACTGTGCGACAAGATGCAGCTCGACGCCAAGCCTTCGGCTAATGGAAACACTATTATTGCGGCAGTCCCAATTACGCGCTCGGATATTCTACACCCTGTGGATGTGATTGAGGACATCGGCATCGCCTACGGCTTCAACAACATTCCGCTCACGATCCCTCAGACCCAGACTATCGGTATGGCTCAGCCCCTTAACAAGCTGGGCGACCTTCTGCGTGATGAGATCAGTCGTGCTGGCTACATTGAGCTACTTACCCACGGACTGTGTTCACACAAAGAAAACTTTGAGTATCTGAACCGTGAGGACGACGGCCACTCGGCTGTTGTGTTGTCCAACCCGGCCACCATTGAGTTTGAGGTTATCCGCACGTCGATGTTGCCTGGTGTGCTGAAAACTATTCAAAACAACAAGGCCATGTCTGTAAAGGAGGGTCTGAAGTTGTTTGAGGTCTCCGACGTCGTCGTGATTGATAACAACACGGATGTGGGTGCCAAGAATGTGCGTCGCATTTGCGCTGCCTATACTGGCCCCACCGACGGCTTTGAAGTCATTCACGGTCTTGTTGACCGCATCATGCAGTTGATGGGTTATCAATCCGAGTTGATGATGTCCGCTCGCACAAAGGAGTACTACACCATCACGCCCGCGGAGGAGCTTACCTACTTCCCCGGCCGTTGCGCACACGTGTCATTGCAGAAAGAAGACGCCGAGCCTCTGCGTTTGGGCACGTTCGGTGTACTGCACCCGGTGGTGCTGAAGAACTTTGACTTGCTGAACCCGACCTCCGTTTTGGAGATGGATTTGGAGCCTCTGGTCTAATCCTGACTGGATAAACATGAGAAGAATGACAAATACGGATGTAGAGTGCCACGAGTGATGAAGGTAGACAGCCAGTCGTTGGAGGCAAGCCAGCGTGGCAGGTGTTGAGATGTGATCAAAATTTACGTGTGCATGCTTCTGGTGTGAATACATTTAGTTTTTTGGTGATGCTAAACAACAGCAAACTTTCAAGTATAGCAGACTAGTGTATTAAAAATAGCGCAGGCTTGGTGATCTCTACACGGCAGTCCAAGGAGCTTAAATTGGGGTAAGTGGTGGTCTCTCGATGTAAGCGACCATTTGGTCTCCAAATATGCGGACTGCTAGTTTTGCCTCGACTGCTAGAAGTGCTTTTCTTTCCCTAGTGCATGCACCTCAATGCTTTGTAAGTCACACAGATCTTCGTAGTTGACATCCACGGGAGTCATATCTCTGTCGTTCTTGATACAAAAGTGTGGGTAGGTTGCCAGGTAAGCTGTTTGGAGGTCGTGGTGAAAAGCAAAGCTGAGACAGAAGTATGCATGCGTGTTGGTCGGCTGTCGAAGGATAAGTCTGTTAGCGCTTTGGCGAAGTATCGCTTAGATACAACGCTTCGCGCGCTTGTGGTATGAAGGAGGACTTCGAAAAGTTGCTCGTGCTGTGATTCGCATTCCAGAATGCAGCGTCCTTCGTGAACGATGAGCGTAGACTCTTTCACCGGTATCTCTTCTGTATCCTCATCGCCACAAAAAGCATTGTCACGCAGTAGCTCTCCGCAAAAGAAGCCCGATTACGGCCAAAAACTACCGTATAAACAAGTAACGGCCCGTTTTCGATTAAACACGGTCAAACGATGCTCAGCACACAAGTCATTTTGCCCTATTGCACTTTTTTGCATTCATTCATTCTCTCTGTATCCAAAAAGCACCGCACACTGGGCACAACTCAACAACTACTGACATGAAAAACATGGACTGGCCAAAGATTTACCTCACGCTCACGTAGGAAGTTGCCTTCTTCGAGTGCAAAACGCTATTATCATTTCATCGTTGAAGGATGTTGCTATGCCCTGCTTGCTGAGCCTGATCATTTCGGCATAGAATCGATGTACTGGAGAAGTCGGTGCTCTGAGATACTTCCATCCAGACCAGGAATGCCTCCGCCTTCGCTAGCAACGAACTTGAAAATCGGCTCTTCGCACTCGAAGCCGCCAAGATTGTACGGAGCCTCCGTAGGGGTGTAGATGACACCGTCCACCTCGTGGGTCACGCTCTTCGCGAACTTTGTCAGCATATACTCAGTCTTATCCAGACGAAAGTGGTCCTTCATACGCACACGAAAAGGTTCCTTCATGTAATCGATTGACTTGTCCTGCATTATCACGATACAACAACGGTGTTCATGTCAACCCTTTTCTTCTTTCCACGCCCTGAAACTATACCAAACCCACATTTTTGCGCGGCACAATGATCTCGTTCTGTAAGCACTGCAATCGTTTCTCCAATTTCTTCTGCCAAATGGGCGTGCCCTCCAAAAAGAGGACGTCAAATGCCAGATATCGGGCCACCCTCGTGTCGTGGTCTTGATCTTCCACGATAAGTCCGTCAATCAGCGTATTCACCTGAAACTCGCTCTAAATAACACAAAACAAAAAAGAATGCAAACTAAGTAATTTCTTCTCGTTGGGGTCACTCAGCCTCAAGTTCGTACCGGCGTCCTTCGTCGCGGAAACTTCATATTGACTTTCGTAAAGGTCATGTTGCGTGACACGACGTAGGTTCCGTCAGCACTAACAAAAAGAAGACAGCGACGACTATAAAGTGAAGCGAGTTAGTAGCTCAATACTCAAATGATGATAAAGTCTAAAACAAACGCACCCCCGTGCTCGCCAAGTAACGAGGTAAGCCTTAGTCAAGCCACCTTTTCGCTTATAAGCTCCTTCTGCCACGTGTGTCGCTGTAAAGGGAATAGTCTGCTCACAGCAAATACAACGACGTAAGCTCAAACATCCTCAAACAATCGAATTCTATCCGCTTACCTCGCATCCAGGAAATCCGTCAATGCCCGTAAGCTTTTCCAGAGATTTGACCAATTTCTGGTGCTCTTCTGATGAAGTTGCAAGCGTCTCACCGTACGCCAGAGGCTTTACATCGTCCACCCACGAACGAATTTTCCTGCGTTTCGTGGGACGCTGCTCCTGGCGATCCGGCGGGATATACATGGGTGCTTTATACACCGGTGCAGTGGGAAGACCGCTAGTCGTAGTTGCCCGCCCATTGCTCGCTGGCAAATCATTTGCAGGTAAAGCAATAGGCACTACAGCCTTTTTCATCCGCACAAACGCTTTCGACCGGTCCTCTTCCGTTACAACCTCATTGCCAACAAAAACTTCACTCTTCCGCTTACGTGTTTCATCGTTTTCCCATCGTGGAGGGGCAGGAACCGCTAATTGTATCGACTCAGACGGCAGCGTACTAAAGTACTTGCGGTACAGTCGCTGAGACAAATCAACACATCATAACAATTCAGTAACGCACCAGCTCATATATCGCGCCAAAGTGCAGCCACAAACCTCAAGAAAATGTCTTGAGTAAATTCCAGGCGGGGTCGACGCCGAAAACTCTTCTATTGCAGCGTTGAGATTCAAGCCGCAATTTTCCACCAAAAAGCTGTCATTGTCACATTTAGCGCTTCTATCACCACCAATTACATCAAAACAATTGTAACGCACCTTACAACGAGATAACCCACCAAGTTGTAGCCTTCAGCACCGAAAACAGCAACATCCATGTCTTTCCTCTCTCCCTCCAAGTGACATTCCACTGCCTTGCAAAAAGCTTCAGCCATTTTGCCGTTAGAAACATCACGATCCTCTTCTTTCTCTACAAAAACATCAACAGCATCAAATGACTCTGAAATTCCATCCTTCCATTAACTTTTCACCAGACTCCTTCTACCTCCAATCGTATCAACGTGCAACTTGACGTACTGGACGTCCCAGTCTTCCCACTCTCTAACAGCAAACAACATGAGCAACAGTCAAACACTTTGCTCTCTATAGCAGCTCAAAATCCAGATCATGTACATACTTGACATCATGGAGGAAGATATCACTGCCTGTAGCATCTATTACAAGTCCCACATTCACGACAGAGCCGGAGCGTGTGTCTGCAATAAGTTTCTCCATCAGTGATGACGGTGTATAGCTCTTTCTAGCCGATAAATGAATCTCATAGCTGCCACACCATGCACATAAAGCGTTAGACGTCTGTGTGTATGCGTTAAGTAACGGAATAAAGTACCACGTACATGGACGAGAGCGGCGCACGAATGGGTAGAATGGGTGCACTCTTAATGCGCGTCGTGTACTGTGGCGTACGCTCAAATTTCTTCCAGCGAGTAGCGTCCCATCGCAGCAATTTGCGGCCTCCCACCGCGACGGTCTTGAGCTGGGCGGCACGCAATTTGGCTGCCACCTCAGCGCGGGTAGCGTCGTCACTCATTGTACTTTAAAACGATTGAAAGAAAGAGTGATGGTCGGTTCATTGATAATTATGAAAAACCTCGAATTCAACCCAGAACCTATTTCCACTCTCTCTTAATCTATATTTAGGTTAGGAGAGTAAAAATAATGTGATCGCACATACTATTGTGATAGCACATACTAATGTATTATCACAGGCTTACTTTTTTATAAATGTCTCTGAAGTAACAGCAATGTTGCAGCGGACGCTGAGTGCATGGCGCAAGTCGCGCGTGGCACGGGCTAAGGAAGGCCATGAGGTGGGTCCTGGATGTCGTCTTTATTGCATGCATATCTTGCGAGATTGAGATTTTTGCAAAGTAGGAGCTACAAGAAGTGCTGGCAAAGATGCGCAAGCTCGGGCAGCGTGGCGAGACGCTGGAGCAGGTGCGTGCCTGACAGCATTGCAGCAAACAGGCACATGTTTGTTGAGGACCTGATAACAATTAGTTGCCAAATAGTTCAAGGAGTCGCCTTTGGTGTCCAAGCTTCGCTCGCCCGTGCAGTATCATGGCCTAGGGAACATGATCTACAGTAATGCCGGTGACAACGACGAGGAGGTTCAGAAAGCGTTATACGTGTGGAAGATGGCAATGAAACAGGTAAGCGGCTGAATAGAAGAAGAAAAATTTGTGGAGAATGGTTAGTGCATTAACTACGTGTGTATAAATTCATGTCTGTGTGTGGCTCTGTGGTGATACAGGGAAGTGATAAGGCCAAGTACAGTTATGCGTTGTGTATGAAAAAAGGCACTGGTATGACGTATGCTTTGGATGAAGCTGCATGTAATGCGTCGAATATATAGTAGATCTTTCTGTCTTACATGTATGACTGTTGTTTGTTGATCGTTAGGTTTCATGAAAAAGGATGCAATGGGTGCTACTAGGCTCTTCAAGGAGGTAAGAAAGAGTGTTTCGGGGTGAATGCGTGGGCTTGTCTAATGCTATATCTTCTAGTTAGCGGCTTCTGGGCATGGGTGGGGTACTTTTGCGTACGCTGACGCCTTGTATAATGGTGAAGGCACGCGCAAGAATGAGAAGAAGGCCTTTGAGCTGTACAAGAAGTGCGCTGAAGTTGGCATTCCACCTGCTTATATGAACGTCTGCAACATGTACACGTACGGAACAGGGACGGAGAAGGTAAGCGCTACAACACTAGTCGGCTCTTAGCTGTAGAGATTCCTGTCTGAAGAAAATGAGCTCATCAATGTGTGCGTTGCGCAGAACGAAGTGGAAGCCTTGAAATGGTTGACCAAGGCGGCGGAAGCTGGCGACCCGTCAGCTAAAGCCCGATTGGGCGAATACTACTTGCATGGCAAGGGGGGCGTGCAGAAGGACTTGAATCGCGCTATCCAGTACTGGAAGGTGGCAGCAAGTGCAGGCATCACCATGGCGCAGTATAACTTGGGCCACCTGTACCTCACCGGGGATGGTGTACCGCAGGACTCGTTGCAAGCTGAGGCACTCTTTAGCAAGGCAGCTGAGAAAGGGTTTGTGATGGCAATGGTGAACCTCGCGCAGATGTATCGCTATGGCTATGAAAAGGTGCCTAAGGACCTGGAGAGAGCGCGCAAGTGGCTAAAGCTCGCCGCACCGCATGATCCAAATGCAAAAGAGCTACTGAAGGTGCTAACGGAACCAATTGCCGCCAAGAAGTAACACAGATGAATATTATCTTTTCTTCTATCTAGTTACTTCGACGTACTTAAAACCCTAAGCTAAAGACTGAAGAGAGACACGAATGCCTGAATGGTGCAAACGGCGCAGATAATCGAGCTCCCTGCGAGAATGATCCAGGCCGTTAGTTTACGTCGGTCCGTATTTGGCTTCTCGCGGCGGATGCTCACGTAGGATACGCACGGCAAGACGTATGAAATAAGGAGACCAACGGTAGATCCCATAAGATTCCACACAACAGATACTCCAGGCGAGATCAGCGCAATTGTGATTACACTGGCCATGATGCCGACAGTTAGCAGCACATGGACGGCAGAATCTCTAAACCTTGCTGGCGTGGAAGCATTTATCGTACCAATAGGTAAAGCTTCACCGATACTTGGCAAAAGCGTTGTTTCTTCTCCAACAAGCTCTCCTTCCTCCGAATATGAAGAATCAAGACCGTAGGAAGCTTTGCCACGAGCGTAGCTGTAGCTTCGGATGATTTTGACAAGTCGAAGCAGGTTGGCACGACATGGCTGGATGATGAGGGGAAAACTCAACTGGATCGTGACTAGCAGCCCGAATCGTCCAAGGTTCACAAGCGGGTCGCTGTCGCTAAAATTGTTTAAAATATCGTCTCGCACTCCTCCTGACTGTTGAAATGCAAAGAGATATCCCATAGTCCCGACAATCATGTAAAATAACCACGCAAAAGAGATCGTAGACGCCACAATCTTTTTCAAGCGGTGACGCGTTGGTTTGTGCAGCTCACGATACACTGGCAGCACGTTAAAGTGACAGAGGAACGAGACGGAGATGATGGGGAAGGCATAGGCAGCATCTACCCAACTATCAGGAGTCAGCTTGATTGGAATATGACTTTCGGTCACGACCTCCATAGTATCTTTGTGTCCAAACATAGCGCCCATCGCCCGAATCGTGATGACAGTTGCCAGTACAAACACCGACACGAGACTGAAGACAGAGGTGAAGCGCAGCGCGTTCATGGAGCGCGCCAGTAGCCCCGGTGACACGAATAGAACACAGATGACCGTCAAGCCGTTCTGCTCCATGTCAGAGATGGGGCGATTATACAGGAATCTCGCACCCAGTGATCCCAAGAGGTCCTTTGTGAGAATGACGTACGCCACGAGCGTGAGGAATGTGAGTAGCACGAGCAGCACAACGGTAATGTGTCCAGCTCGAGCTCCCAGGGCCTTGCGCACTACTTCTTCGTACGAAGCGGCGTGCCCACGTCGACTGCAGCTCACAATGACGTAGAGACTAAAGGTGGAAGCAGAGGCAGCAATGGCCATGAAGATCAACGCCACTATGAGTCCGCACTTGTCGTAAGCGAAAGGAAGCGACAAGATCCCACCGCCAATGATGGTGCTCACCAGGTTAAAAATAGCAGACGGAGCGGTAGCGGTGCGTGTGGTGGCGTGTGGTCCTGGAGTAAAGAATTCGTGGCTTCCACGGTTGCGCTCGTATCTGTACATGCCCGTATCGATCATGTTACCTTGTGATGACACAGGTGCGTTCTCCATCTTTGCGGATCTATAAATGGGAAATTCAGCTGCTGATAACCACTTTGACTGGATTTCACTATGCTTTAAGGTGGTATTATATATTCTCAGACGATTCGCCTGCTATAATAATACCCCAAGAAGATTTTATGGTCAAGTTGAGAGAGAGAACAGATTGTCTTATTTACTGATTAGTGCAAGATCTCTGGTAGGTAGTTAACCACACTAGCAACGCTGGAGGGTCCAGGAATTGCCTACGGCTGGCAGCACGTCTATGAACGCCGGACTGCCCTCTCGGTTCTGATATAAATATGTCGTAACATGCAGATAGTTGGGCTCCACGGACGGCTGTGGCCGCTCTGCAATGGAGACGTTTGATGAGCGCCCTCAGTTGGAGCTGAATCCTATTCCAGATCAAAGTTTCACTGGCTTGTATCGGAATAAGCGCATTGTTAAAAATCCTATCCACGCGAAGTTGCCAGAGCATTGTGATAATGACGGTCACTGCGACTTCCCAAATCGTCCTCCAGGCTGTGGCGAATAGATCAATGTCTTTAGGGTACCGGGCTAACAGCTTTGCTGTGACCTGCGGCTTTTATGGTCAAGTTTAAGATCTGCTCCCTTGCTGTCGTGCTTCACATACAGTACATATGTTACGACAGACTTTCGCAAGCATTTACCCTTTGTGTGTGCTCGTTGCTGCCGAGACCGACGTCTGCATGTCACTACGACCAAACGTGACGAGCTGGCCATCACTAGATACAAACTCTATAGGTACAGCTGGCACAGCTAAAGAGCAATTTGACCGCGTATACATGCGTGACGAGCGTAGCGGTAGTCCAACGCAAGTACTCTATGATCAAAGCGAGATAAAGAGATAAAAGCGACGACTTTGTACAATGAAATGATCGCTGTCGCCATTGCATTGTGTCGGAAGGTTCAATCGATGGCACCAAATTGACATTTCTTCCCGGTTCAACTGGACATGTATATAATACGTCAAACCAATCAAACCAATATATTGTGAAATATACCGTCTTTTGTAAAATACCCGATTTGCAACACTTCTTCTAATAAGAGTATACAAGTTTGTACGCGTATATTTTTATTCAATGAACTCGCTGGGTCTCGAGTACGGATCGTCTTCGTCGGACGAAGAGGACGTAACTTCACCACCTAAAACGCAGACTCAATCTCTTGCCGATCCATCTTCTCTTCCTTCTCCTTCTCCTGCTGTATCTTCAGTCGTAACTCCGGCATCAAAAGTTTCTGCTAATCCAAATGAAGCTTCAACAGCTCAGCCAGAAGAAAATGTTGCAGCACAAGCGATAGAATTCGCAGCAACGCCTACTGGACCAAACGTGTCCATGTCTAACGGAGATGAAGAGACGATGCTTTTGCAAGCAGGGATACCGCCAGCAGCGTCTCCACTGGATGCTGATAACGAGACGCAGCAACGTATTGAGCGGTTTTTACGGGTGCAGCACGAACGAGGTCAGGACTTTCAGACGACACTGCAAGACAAGAAGGAGGTGCGCAACCCGTACATCCTGGAAAAAGTGGTCGAGTATTTTGGAATTAATGAACTGCAGTCCAATTTTCCTCCAAATAAGTTTGACCCTCATGGTTTGCCATTGCACGAGTATGTCGACGTGTTGGCGATGGAGCAGAAGAAACGCGCCGATGTTCGAGCGCAGCGCCAATTACAACAACAACGAGATGGTGTTGACCCTCGCCAGCTTCAATTTATATCGGCTAATGCATTGAGCTAGTGACTTGGTAAAAAAATTTGTAAAGTTGTCGTCAAACTCGTCCCGAAAAAGTTTAAGATTGTCACAGCTTCGCATTTGGATCTAAAATCGTGCATTCTTTTTTCGAGTGTACCTTAACCTCTTCTGACTTGTTTGAATGAACATCAATAATGGTCTTGACCACTTTGTTTATGTAATCTCTCTTAAAACTTATGCCGCATTTTCTAGGGACATGCTAGGCATTACACCCTCGTGATCATCGCTGCTGCGTCAGGAGGCAAAACGAATAACACATTCGTTTCAGAATACAAAAGAAAAATGCTAATTGTCTTTCTTACGTAAGTTGATGTACTGTACATAATGATAAACAATATTTCATTGACGATAATGAAGTCCGAAATGACGCAATTCATTTTAAAACGAATGCCGCGATTCTTCTTGAAAACCATATGTCTTAGTTGAAGCTCCTCCTTACAAACATCAAGACATTTCAACTGCCATCGTTCATACGGTACCGATCCTCTAAAGTTTTTCATACCTGAACACGTTCTCAACCGCCAAAGAGTCGACATGAGTTTTCTGTCTACCTCCCGCTTTCTAACCAAGCGCGTCAGTGCGTTTGCACTGCCTGCTTCCAATCGTGGTGTATACACTAAGGGACTGGCAAAGGACTTGATGGACAAATCTTGTTATAGTGGCGTTAACTTTGTCATCTCTGAGGAGGCCACAGTACTCGAGGCATTGACACGCATGGTGGGCATTAATCTTGGCTGTCTCGCTGTAAGCGGTGAAGATGGCAAGTTTGTGGGTGTCGTGACGGAGCGTGACTACCTGAGAAAGGTTGAGCTATTGGGGCTTACAGCCAAGAATACTCCCGTGGGTCAGATCATGACGCAGCGAGCACGTCTCGTTGTTGCCAAGTATAATGAGACCCCGAACCAGCTAATGAGCAAGATGCTCTCTTCTGTACGCTCTGGTGTACTCGGTGGAGCTATGAAGATGTATGTTGACTAGTTGTTATGTCTATTGTTGCAGGACATTCGCCATTTGCCCGTGGTCAATGACGATGGCGACTTGGCCGGCATGCTGTCTATCAAGGATCTCGTGCGCGAGATTAACCGTGAACATGACGCCGACGTGGATGCACTTTGCAGTTTTGCAATGGGCAGAGGAGGCCACTTTGTACTAGACTAAATGAAGTGATGTCTCTCTGCCAATGCTTTCTCTACACACAGCAGACAATACTTGATTTGCATGAAGAAAAAGAGGAAGCCTGCGATGCCAAGAAGAGTATACATATTCGAATTCATATAAATCACAAACACACGAAGAGCTCTCTTATGTCGTTACAAGCTTACTCCTTCCTGTGTTGAAGCAGTCCTCCAACCACCTTTTTCCTCTTGTCTTAACTCCCCAATCACCTCTTCCTCCCACTCTCCGAACCGTCAGGAAGCGGCTATCCATCGATCTCTTCGTCTCGACCAAGCTGTCGCCCTTCGCCACACTCATCTCTGAACGCCGCCTTTTGTTGGCATGAGCGACCGCAATGACGCGGGTCCCAGCGAGTCGCTCTCGGCTGCACAGGAAACACGGCTTCAGCTTACAGGCTACTTTTCCAGTGCGCTGTCGCTCGCAGGGACGCTCTACGTGCTCATCCACTATGGCTACGTACATTGGTGCAGACCTAGTGCTCTACAGCTTCCTCAACAGCAGCTTGCGCTCCAATTGCCACGTCGTCGCCAAGTGGATTTCATGGACAAGCTCGTGTTTGTATTGGCGCTCTTTGATCTCGTCACCATTGCAGCGCGTGCAGTCGGACGCAGTGTGATGCACGACTCGGTGCTTTGCAGAGCACAGGGGGCGACTATACAAGCAGCTACTCTAGCCAGTTGTATCTGGATTTGTTGCATGGCTTACAATCTTTACCGTTGGATTGCGGGTGGCGAGTCGGACGCTACGCGACAAAGAAGATTTCCACTCTTTTTGGCCATTGCACTTGTGCCTGGAGCAGCTGTTGTCGTCTACCACCTCATGAGTAATTTGATGCAGTACAATAAGAGGTGACAATGTGATCAAAGTAGTGACGGTGGCATTCTCTCTGTTATGTATGATGTGGATGGTAGCAAACAAGTATGGCGACGCGACGTTCTATTGCTGGCTGGACGAAATTCGCTACATGTTTTTGAACTTCTACCTGTTCTACCTACTTATGATTATATTTAACTTTGTGCTGTTGGCACTCATTCACTTGAACATGAAGCAGCGAGTGGCAAGGTGTGTGCGAATGCTAATGGTTGAGATTTGAGTCCTAAAACGTGCGCTAACGCGTTTGATGATGGAATTGCTGCTTATAGGCACGATACAGTGGAAGCTGATACGTCATCAACGCTCATTCGTCGCAAGTTGCTACTCTACATTGTCGTCTTTATTGCTCATCGTACACCTATGATGATCTATCGGCGTAAGTTGGCAGCACTCTTTCGATTTCTTCATTGTGAAGATGAAGTGACATGTGTGTACTTTTCTTTGAAAGTGTTTGAAGCTGGAGGGATGGATAGTCTGAGTGTAGGCCTCACCATGCAGGTGATCCAAGACCTAAACGGCTTCTCCAACTCGATCGTTTACGGTGGCATTTGCCACAGACGAGCTAAAAAGTTGCCACTGCGGCGTGATTGTGAAGCGGAAAGCTTATCTTCATCTACAAACAGCATTGCAGGCGGCTATGCTGCAAAGGAGTGCACTGCGATCGCAGAGGATGATCTCGATGCCATATTCGGTTCATCCGCGAGGATTCGAACTACACTGACCCTATCGGGACATAAAATCTCGAGCGAGTTGGAAAGTAGAGACTCATATGCAGACAGGAATGCTCACCATCGCATGACTCAAGTGGTGAATCAGGAAGAGCGCAGCCCTAGCTACCAGACTTGGCATCAACGCTTGCAAAAACGTTTATCTGCACCGTCGCCTTCCTCCGTAGAAGCCAAAAAGATTGTGATCTTCACGTCCACCTTTAACATGGGCGAGAAGGATGTTAACGAAAGCGAACTGGTAATGTAAATCCCTGACGGCTCTTCATAGTGTGCAAGTGACTAACTAACATTTGATAATGGTTTTTACAGTGCGAATGGATTCCATTAGAACAAGATGTCTACGTGATCGGTGTACAAGAGTGCATGGACCTCGCTGATTTTCAAATCAAGATTCTGCGCCACCTCGTTTCTGGGTCAACTAGTAGATACGTCCGCTACTCGCGCGAGATTGGCAAACGAGCTACAGCATTGGGCTATCATGGATACATTGCACTATGCATTTTCGTACGAGCGACAGCTGTGTCGTCAGGCCGCTTCCGTATGCGTCATAGACAGAGCAGCAACAAAAAGGCTCAAGAGGTATTCTGTGGCAAGTCACTTTTGGTCTTCGGTCGTGCATCTAACAAAGGTGCTGTAGGCATGTCTTTTCGGTTCGATGATACTTCGTTTGCTTTCGCAACATGTCACCTGGCGTCCGATTCATCAAGCCTGAAGCGAGCTAAACGCAAGAGAAGCTCCAATGCTGTTTTACAATGTCAAAAAAGAGGTGACGCTGTAGAAGCGAATCTGCGGCGGAGTAGTGACAGAGACAGTGGTAGAAAAGCTTCCTTGTCCGATGGGACAACTACGAAGGCGCATCAATTTCAGTCAAAATTGGAGCGGCGTAATCGAGACGCAATGGAAATTCTACAGCAACTGTACTTGGACGAAGAAGATTATGGTTTTGGCTTCCAGCATTTGCATCATCACAGCTTTATTCTCGGTGACTTTAATTATCGGATGACGCGGAGAAGTGCGACGCCAATTGACATGCTAGAGCTACTTGTGAATGCTGGGACTGAATACCACAATACGCGCGACAACGTTTATACACTAAATTTGTCGTCACCGTGCTCCCCAGTAACTATTCCAACATCGACGCGCGAGAATTTCTCTCATGATAATGAGAGTGACTTTCGGCAATGCATAACACCCAGAATGCAGAGCTCATCAACGATCGCAGCGACTCAGAAGAGCCTTAGAGATCGGCCTTGTACATCGACATGCAACATGGGTAGTCATTCGCCGCCGTTCCTACTGCGATCACTTGTCGAAGAACACGACGAGCTGTATCAGTTATGCCGTTCACAGCAGATTTTCCACGGTTTTAAGGAAAACGAGATTGCGTTCTTTCCTACTTTTCGACGCATTCGAGGACAAGCTCTGCGGCAACCACTTGATGCAGTCATGTTTCAGCAGAATTACTCTCTCGTAGCCACTCACGGCGGGTACCGGGTGCCATCTTACACAGATCGCGTCTTGTATAGTTCGCTTGCAGGTACAGAGGAATCACTTCGCTGCTTATCCTACAATTCTTGCGAGGCAGTGACCTCGTCGGACCACAAACCGGTGTCTGCTTGCTTCGAGATATCACTGTTGGCGTCGACACAAAAGCCATCCCCAACTTTACCGTTGGCTGAGGATTCGCAGTGGAACGCTGACTCGACAGGTGCTAACCCCATGGTTCTTCACGCTCACCCCTCAGCAAGTACACTAGCTGCTGCTCGAATGAAAGACGTACCTGGTGCGTGCGAGTTACGTCTGCGAATTGAGTTTCGTTCGATTCACTGGGTTGATGCGGTCGACTCAGCTTTGTTCGACCGCGCTGAACATGTGCAGTTCGGCTTCCTCTTTCCATTACCGTGCGAGGATGTATTTGCGCCTCAGCGCAAGTTGCATGAAGTGGCTGAGCACTTGACATTTGGCGGGTTCGATACCAGGAACACAGGTGACATTGACTTTGCGTCCACTGTCACGCCAATCTCCAACTTCTACACAATGAGGTGGCATGAGTTTGTGAATAGTGGTTTACGGTATCATACCACGGCAGGATCTGTCGGTCGCAAGCACGTAGCTGTAGTCCTCCGCTCTCTAGGGCGAGGACGGACAATGTCCAAGACCTCATCGGCTTCGCAATTGTTAGGACGTAGCAGTTCGCTGTCTCCACATACCAGCGCCAACTCAATCGCTTCGACGTGCTCTTCAACCTATTTCAACACTTCGGTGTCGTCTTCATCGTTCTCATCAAAGAAATTATTTGGTCACGGCACTTTCTGCGCTGAAGGCATGATGAAGAAGCGCGATGTATGTGTACCATTAACTCTGGGCGGACGACTACTGGGTCGACTTCAGCTACGGGTGTCCCTACAAATGCGTCAGACAAAACATGCAGACTCGAGATGATACTCGGCGAGAGTCGTTTAGCCTTGGAAGATGAGAATTGACGCACCGGCTTCGTTATCACAGCAGAACACAGGCGTTGGAAGGCCAATAAAGCCAACAATTGAGGTTTGGTTGCTACGATATCACAAAAGGAAGAGCGATTGGATATGTTACATCCGATCACAGGATACCTGAGCTGGTTGTTTTGTTGTTGCGTCGAGATAAAAGACATGACGCCTGGTTGGCGGTTACCCATAGTTCGGGTATGCGAACATTTAAAGCGTTCGGAGGAGCGTTTGGGGTACTAGATGTTTGCCAAGGTGCTGGCAACGCGATTACAATATATCTTGCCTCGCGCTGTCAGCTACTCCTAACAGGGCTTTGTTCAGGGTGCAAAATGACCAAAACAGTTATGATGATGATGGGGCTCTCCTGTCGACTGCAATGGAGCAAGAGGAGATGCCGGCAGCACACCCAGTCGATGTATTGGCTGCTGGGTTTTTATTAATGGCATACGATACCGTAAAATACTGTGGACCATGACTTTTTGTACGAGATTCTACTCCACTTTGGCTTTGACGTGCAATTCATCGACCTAATTCGACGTATTCACACCGGCATGACAGCCAGTCATGTCGTAAGCGGTTATCATTTCCCACCTCTACCAGTCTGGTCAGGGATTATGCAAGGGTGCCCGCTAGCACCTCTTTTGTTATCGTGGAGGTTTTGGGTCTCGCACTGTAGCAAGACCTTCATCGTTACGGACTACAAGTGCCCGGTCAGACCCACCTTTACTCGGCATTTGCGGATGACACTACCTTATTCCTCGAGACAGCGGAGCAAATCCCTCACGCTTTACATCTTGTACGAGCATTTGGCGCTCTCTCCGGCCTACATTTTCAACAGGGAAGGAGTCATCTGCTCATATTGAATCTGTAACGGGGTTATCATACTGAAAGTACTTCACGGTTAAAGTTGCTATATTGCATATAATGTATTCTTAGTACTAATAAGGAGTGATATTTTTTTTTTTAAAAGGTATTTGTTACACCTTATACTATCAGTATCGGTTTTATAGCTGATACAGTAGTACTACGTACAACATACACTGATGATTGGATATTCTATATCCAGATACGAACGATGGCATACTATAATTATATAAATAGTTTTTAATCTAGTGTAGGGTACTTCGAGTAGGATTATTCATAAAGTCTTAATGCAGGAATTAAAATCAGTTCTCATTTGGAGTCGTAGAGATAAAGCCGGTATGGGCTTGTTTTTATTGTGCACTTTGTGCGTTGGTTCCTCGAACCTCTAAGCTTCTAGCTTGTTCTTCCACTTTGTGCGTTGGTTTTCTGAACCCTTAAGCTATTGCTTGTGGACTAGTAGTCCCTCCTAGTTTTGTAGAACGGGCAGACTTCGTAGTCGTGTCATATGTTCCGTAGAACGGGTAGACTTCGTAGTCGTGTAATTAGTTCCATAGAACGAAGTGGCTTTTAGCCTTCAGCTTTGGTTAGTTTTATAGAACTAAAAGGCTTTTATCCTAAAAGTCTACTCTGACTAAAGAGCTGTGTAACCCCGCTACACTTGGTAGCACTTGTAGTCAATCCTATGTACAGATACCCGTTGGAGGATGTACGGAAGTACCTCTCAAAAGGTCGACCTCAGAACAGTGGAAATTGTGGGTCACGAGAGGCGAACGATGGGTGACCACCTTGATCGAAGGGATAGGGCGTCGACAGACTTTGAAGATTACCAACGTCAGCCCTCGCCCCTTAACATTGCACGAAGATGCCAAGGTAGGTATGTGGTTGACCAGGGATCAAGTTGTGAGAACGCCAGGGTTTGTCTCGGTAGGCTCTTGAAGATATGCGGAATGGCTAAATCTGGCTTATGAATCTACCACTGACCAAGTCGACCATCAGGTCGACCCAACGGAAGAGGAAGAGGGGCCACAAGTGGGGAGACCAGAGTATGAGACTTAGTCACACATCTTACAGAGACCAGCAGCCCCAGCCTCAATGATGAATATGACACACCAACCGGTACCCGACAGAGAAGAACAACCGTGCGAAGAGAGGGTGAATTGGCAGGAGGGATCTATACAGGAGCGGAGTGTAGCTAAGGAAGACCTACCCGCAGTGATCACTACCGATGAGAAGGAGGCCGAACTGGTAGAGTTGTTACAGGCATGTGTTCTTTCGAGAGTGGGAAACTTTGGGCCGAGGACATAAGACCAGGATGGGCGGTCATACCGGAAGTGGACCCCTCATCCGAAGGCATTGAGTTAGAAGATATACAGATTCCTGATCAAGATGAGAACACTCCTGAAGAGGTGGACCGGTTACGACAAATAATATGGAAGAAACGGCATCTGCTGATGGGCAAAGGTAACGCCTACCCCCGGCCGCCCGAGGAGCAATATGCGATATCGATGTGGGGAACGCAAGACCGATCGCGCAACGCGTACGGAAGGTAGCCCCTCAATTCAGAGAGAAGTTGGCCGACCTTATCAAGGAACTGTTATCGGCAAAGATCATTCAGTCTTCCACCTCGCCATGGGCCAGCCCTATTGTGATTATCGTGAAGAAGAATGGGGTCGATATTCGATTGTGTATCGACTATCGGTTGGTGAATGATCTCACCCAGCTCATGGTATACCCTATGCCGTTGATTAACGAATTACTGGAGGACTTGGACGGAGCTTTATGGTACTGTTCTCTTGACATGGCGAGTGCTTTTTGGGTCGTCAGTATGACCGAAAGGGCGAGACTAATCTCAGCGTTCGTTACGCCACTGGGATTATTTGAATGGCTTCGGATGCCTTTTGGGCTTAAGAATGCGCCTCAAATATATCAAAGGTTGTTGGATAATGCGTTATATGGATTTTTACGTATTTCGCCAGGGGCTGCCACAGAGGAAACAGAGGATTTGTTCGCAACATAGGAACCAGATGCAAAATTGGGCCTCTCTGTATTGGGTCGACGATCATACATTGACGACATACTTGTTCCTGCCGAATCGTGGGACGTATTATGCCAGAAAGTGGATCGGCTACTAGACGTGTGTGACTATTGAAATTTGTCGGTCAGTGCCGTCAAGAGTACGTGGGGATGTCGGAAGGTCGAGTATCTTGGACATCGAATTTACAAGGAGGGACTAGAGGCCAACCCAAAAGATCTTCAATCTTTGGTCGACCTACCTCTACCGACAACGCTGAAGGCTATGCAATCCTTTCTAGGAAGCCTAAATTACTACAGCAGGTACATCGAAGATTATGCATATACGCGTCGATCCTTTAATGAACTGAGAGAGGTGGATTTTCACGCTTGGAGGTGCAAATTGAAGGCTAATGGTGACGTGGCGGCCCAGGAAGACGACGAAGAAAAATGGTCGAAGGTACAAGTAGCGTTTGCCATGCTCAAGAACAAGATTGCTACGGCGCCCATCCTACGACATTTCGACCCGGCTAGAGAGGCAGTTATTATTGTCTACGCAAGTGATTGGGCCATCTCAGAGTCGTTGGTGCAGAATTACGACGGCCAGTATATGCCGGTAATGTTCACGAGCCGAACCTTCAAGTCAAACGAGGTGAACTACAGCACAGTAGAAAAGGAAGTGCTGGCGTTGTTACGACTATTGGAAACTTGCTTCACGCTGTTGGTCACCCGACCCCTCAAGGTTCTGACGAAGCACTCTACGCTAGCCTGGATAGTGAAGTCTTCGGGGTTGCAAGGTCGCTTAGGAAATTGGGCCGCTCTCTTGTCCCAGTGGGCTTTGGAGATTGTGAAATGCAAGAAAGGCGAAGACCAGGTACTGGGGGCGTTAGCAGCCAGTATTACGCCTCGAGAGAATGTGGACTCCATTCTGTCGTCAATTGCTCCCAAGAAGCAATCCAGGCAAGTGGTCGACCTACCGACGCCCACAGTGGAACTAAATGAAGAGCTGTATGTGATGAGTTTCGATGGGTCGGACCGGGTGAAGCAAGGGGGAGGCGCCTGCAGCGCTATTGTGTGGAGACTTCCTGCATGGACTATAGTTGCAGCTGCATCAAAATATCTCGACAAGTCTACGGTGAATGAAGCTGAATATGAGGGCATGTTACTGGGTTTTGACCTGTTGAAGCCAATGGAGCGATGGCGTTTGATTATTTGTGGAGACTCCAATTTGGTTATAAGACAGATGCGTGGAGAGATTGAATGCAAAGCTTCAGGTTTATCCCCGTTGCGGGCCAAGGCGTTTAGTAAGCTCCAGTCGTGGCCCACCCATGCAGTCCTACATGTGAAACGAGACTGGAATCAGAGCGCAGACCAGTTGGCCAGTGCAGCTTTACATCAGCAACAAGGGGTCGAGTCGATACCAAGAGGAGAGTGGTCAGGTCTAGAAACAATCAATCGGCTGCCAGAGGTGTTGGTCCCTAGAGACCGGGGTCAGTCGGTCAAGGTATCTGCGGTGACGAGATCACGGTTCCCTGTCAGAATATCGGGATAGGTCATGCAAGAAGATGTGGTACAACAACTCCGGATGAATAGGATCCGAGATGCGAAAAAACAGGAGAGCTGTAGTTTCAGCAGCACTCAACGGCGAAGACACCGGCCCGGGAAGGTCGGCCAAGGACACCTCTCTACATGGAGAGGCACCCGAAGGCGCGACGGCGATCAAAGTCGGCTCTTTAGACGGTGGGTCAGCGGACGGTGGGTCAGCAGATGGAAGGGTATAACCAGGGGCGATTAAAGGCGCTGGGGCGACCGAGGTCGGCTCTTCAGACGGTGGATCAGCGGACGGTGGGTCAGCATGCGGTGGGTCAGAACCAGGGGAAGACATGGCTGGACAGACACGAGTTAGAGGTGGAGGAGAAACAAAGGGGACAGTAAAGGACCTACGTGACGAAGGAAGTGAAGACATGCGCGTGCTCAATCCGTTGTACGGTTGAGCAAGTGCAGGGGGCGGCTGTGTTGAAGTGCTAATTTTGTGATGTGGAGGTCCCGGACTCCAGTTGGATTCAGAGTATAGGCCGT